TTAATTTTTATCTGAGAATTAATTAATGTATAATATATATTTCCATTTAAGGCGTATTAATTATTTAGGTTAACAGCATTACAATTCCATATTTTCATCCTAAAAAATCTTCTTAAACACAGCTAATGGCTCATTTAAACATTCGAAATATGTGTAACTGTCCAATGCCCAGATTACAATTTCTTCAAAACCGAAGGTTTTTTGTAGTTTAATTAACTTACCCAAACCTTATTGATAAACTTATCAATAGAAATTAAATCATTGCTGCATTGACTTTGAAAAATTCCATATTCCATAATATTCGGTTAAAAAAAAGATATTCAACAAAATATAAATTTTCTGCCGTAAGAGATTGAAACGACTTATTCTGACAGCAGATTAAAATTAAATACAGTTCTTGGCACTGATATAAATTATAAAATTAATACTCACGTGAGAAAAACAAACCTTCATGGCCCTTAATACCTTGGAGTATAAAACAAAGAATTTTTACTATTGCTCAAAATTTATTAACTATAAATTGCATTAAAAAAGTTACCTTATACTTTGGAAATATATTGAATGTTATGAAACCAAAAACTACATTCAATGTGCCGTAAAAAATTCAAAGTTTACAATAAAATATTTTTTAATTAAAATCATTTGATAAGCTTCAGTGTAATATTAAGCAAGATTCCTAGTATATTTTCATTAATAACGCACTGCAAAGTTTGTCACGTAGTGTTCCTACATTGTTTAAGTTCTAAGTAACTTTTAATAAGCTAAAGGAACGCTGGAAAATCCTAAGAATATAGGGACTTAAATTTTACTTAACACACTTTCCACGTCTTCGTAAAAAATAACGTGCTAAAAAATATTTATATTAAGAAAAGAAAACTATAACTAAGGTAGTTTAAGTTTTTTAAACTTAGATTTTAGTATATAATGAATTCGGCTTTGTTCCCTAAAATGTTTTGCTAGTCCCTTTTTTGGCACACTCCTAGTAAATTGTAAATTAATATTTTTCTTATGTACAATATAATTTACTTGGCCATGAAAAGAGTACTAGAATAATTTACTGTACTTGCCTCATTAAGCTGAATAAAACATTTTTTTATATCAAAGGTAGTAAATGAACAGACAGTCTACTTTATAGAAAGTAGTCATCGTCGCCCAAGGACATCTGCAACATAAGGCATGTTGCGGACGTTTTAACTCTACAATTTTCTAAAAGTACTGTCAAGTTATTCGGTTACTGAGTTCGTCAATATACATACATATATATATGGTAAGCTATAAAATATACATACATATATAAAAATTCAGACAACTTTTTTTGGACGCTTTACCAAACCAAACAACCGATGGGTAACAAAAGTAAGATATTTTATATTTCTTAATAGACTATAATTCTAAATTTTTATTATCCCTGTATTAAGACTGACAATTCTCAAAAAAATATATAAAAATCTGATAGCCGATAACAATTAATTCCGCTCGATTATTTTTTTTAGCTTGCCTTTATAATCGTAAGTGACAATAAATAGTTTTGTTTAATATATGTATTTATATTAAGTATTAAAAAGGTAAATATAATAAATTATCTATACTAATATTATAAAGCTGAAGAGTTTGTTTGTTTGTTTGAAAGCGCTTATCTCTGAAACTACAGGTTCGAATTGAATAATTCTTTTTGTGTTGGATAGTCCAGTTATTGAGGAAGGCTGTGAGCTATATAACATTACGCTACGACTAAAAGGAGCAAAGATATAGTGGTAAATGTGTAAAAAACGGGAGAAATTATTTCATATTTGAAGCCTTCCGTTGCGTGCGCCACGAAAACGGTTCAAGATACACAAAAAATATGTATTAAAGAATAATAGCTCTTTTAATAATCAAAAAAAACAGTCCGCGACAGTATATGTCTATCATTTAAGATTAACTCACAAAAACCGTTTTTTGTGGTACCTAATTTGAGCGAAATAATTTGTTTAAGTTGTATCAACATAATAATATTAATCTTTATTCAAATAAACAAATAAATATGTTGTTGGTTAAGAGTACTTCATTGTGAATTTTAAAAAAACATAGCTTTTATCCCGAAAACTCTACGGGAACTCGACCATTTCGAAAACCCCGCAAGAACGGGAACTATGTGGGAAGAACCAAAAATCTGCCGGAAGTCACTATTCCACGCGGACGAAGTCGCGGCAAAAGCTAGTATTAAATACATATTTTTTCATATTATATCAAATAAAAAATATAATTTATTCAAGTAATTACATAAATAAAATTATATGCGACGAAAGTAAAAAAAATTGTTAAAGAAAAATTTTTTTTTATCGTATTATTAAAATCGTGATAAACAAATCTGTCAAATGCCATCAAATTTAATCCAAGCTTACCTAATAAAAGAGTTGTTCCAGGACATATGTCAAAATACGTTCATTATCATTGTCAATGTTGTAAAAAGACCACTTCAATACAAGCATTGATGATCCGAGACAAAGTATGTAATAAAACCAGATAGTACTCAGATAGTATATAGCTGTCTCATAAAACCTGTATCATAACAACTTAAACATACAATGCTTTATAAAAACAGTCTGCACACTTCAGTTATGGCCGAACACCGTGTACAATGTTCACAATAACAAAAATAGCAAATATTCATACATAGTGTATATAGTATATAGTGTAATAAGTATAACAAATTTAAATCACAAAAGTATGTACGGACAGGTATGTTGTATTAATAAAAAAAAAAACAAGTGTGCGAGGAGTTTTTGTTAATAAAATATTTTTGGATTTAAATGTCTCAGGTTATATACAATTTTTTTACTAACATGGTAAGTTTAATTATATGATCTTATTATTTATATCTATGACAATGAATTTGCGCGGATTTGTTATTTATTTTAATCAATAGAAATATAATTTCAAAAAAATCTGTAACTCCTTTTTATTTAAACTATCTGCGAATAAAAATCTCATCAAAATTCATGTAGCCGTTTCAGAAATTAACAAGTACATTCATCAAGACCGGCAGCCATACTTACAAAAAATATATTTTAATTCAATATGAACCGTGGACATATGTAAATATTTATTTTAATTTTGTTAGAAGATTTTATTTTAATGTTCTAACAGTCCAGTTTTATTTATTTTATGTAGATACACTATTGGAGTAATTACAATCCACAGTTAAAATACATGTTTTTATACAAAAAATATCTTACTTATATGAATGTTTAATGATAACTAGTTTTTATTAAAAGGTATTGTAGAAATAAAATATACTTGTACCTACCTATATTATAATTATTGAACAAAGTTCAAGTTAAATGAGATGCAGTATTGGTTTTTATAATACTATATATACATATATTTATCTAGTTAATTACTCTCTTTTTCTGTCTTAAAGGTCAAGAGCAACATGAGTAGATTATCTCAGAAGACGCTACTCACATTCAGTATTATAACTGCAGCTTTATTATGGACACAATCTGGAGGTACCTATTTAAATGATCACATTAACTAAGAAGTTATAAATACAGAATATATATAATAGTTTTATATCTATAACATTAAAAAAGGGAGAATTGTTCTATTTTCGGATACTAGTGTCAGAAACTTTCATCTTGTCTGCCTCTGATCATTGTTACTGCCAAGGTACAATAACGTCGGGATTATGTAGATACGAAATATTAAAAACCACGTAGTATACGAAAACCTTAGTTTCATTTAGGTATTATTATTCTATACTCGTCATATTTATCTCATTTTACCTTTTAACAGAACCAGTTGGATTAATTTTCCTTATAAATATTACAATTGCTAACAAACATCAAGTTACATATAATGTAATTTAAAAATATAGACTTCTAGCATTATTCTCATATATGTTTATATTTCAATGTTTTCCCAAAAAATCAAATTCTAGTACTTTTTTATATTAATATATTTTCGTAAATAAATATTCATTTGTTCACAACAGTTATATTTACTTTTCATTTCAAAATTGGTTCAAAATAAAAATTAAAAGTCAAATTTCATTCAAAAGCATAAAAAAGCTAATAAGTTCCCAACTTTTAACTTCATCAAAAAATGTTCATTTTTTCTAACTCACGAACTCACTAAGAAAAGGTTTGTCGTAAATTTGCACGCGACAGAAGCCAGAGCGAGAGGTATAGCACAGCGAAATCTTTCTAAAACCGATTAAAAGACTTGGGCCTGTCCAGAACCAACATCAATTCATTCTTAGAACGTTCTTCAAGCTCGGCTCTAGCAGATTCGTTTCAATTTTTGCTTAGATAGACAAGAGATTGGATGGTTAAGGTGAACGTTTAACGCACGTTAGATAGAGGCCCCTCAAACTTACACGATGGTCGCAAGTCTCAAGCACTGTTTAAGATCCTCTCCCTGCAACGCGATGGACACAGCACTATGTGAATTCATGGAATGCTAAGAAGTTTCGTCTCTATACATTTTTTTATATAATGAGTGTTGTGATTAACATTTAATGTTACCAGCTCTTGCTTATATTTATTCTTGGCATTTAGATACTTTATATTTAATTGTCACTGGTTTCATTGTACAAAAAAAATCTACTTCTTTGCTTTTCCTTTAAATATTCTACCGGTTTAGTTGTAATGTAAATTTCTTTCATCACAATAAGGATGGTAATATATCAGAGTTATTTATTCTTATAATGAGATACATATATTCCCTTTATGAGAAAAGTGGCAAATGAGCAGACGGCCTACTTGATGGCCAGTAAACCATCGCCCATGAAAATCTACAACATATCTTATGCGTTGCCAATCTTGATTTTTATAACAAGAAGATGGTAGGAAGGTAGGCTCTCTCACGCATTGGATGAAAATCAGCCATTTAAGACTACTTCTCTAAGATCTTCTATGAAAGGATGGTACTGCCCCAGTCGAGCCAATCCATGTTTGAGCTCTAGTTACCTGACCACAGCTAGGCTCTATCACCTTTATATGTTTTGTTCATTTCAGGTGTCTTCATTCCAAATCTATCAGAGAGTTGCTATCGCTGCCTCTGCCACGTTTCTACTCTTTGCCAGCTCTCAAACGAGTGCAAGGGTGGGTACTGTGGACCTTTCAACATCTCCAGGGTATATTGGGTGGATTCCGGCAAAGTCACACTACCAGATGATGATCCCGACAGGAACAATGGTAAATTGTAAATAAATATTTTAATACTATTTCCGATTTTAAGCTTTTAATTCTGTCAGTCACATGATGTAATCCGATTAACAGATGCTATTCTCAGTGAATAATCACGGCTAAAGTTTTGTTAAATGACGAAGTAAAATATAGAAAGATTAATATTATTTTTAGTAGTTTATAATCTATTTATTATAATACCTAATTATGTTTTCGTTATATATGTGTTATTAGCGTGGAGAGATTGTGCCAGAGACTATTACTGCGCTAAGAAAATCATAGAAGGATACCTTCAAAGGTTCGCTAAGGTAAATGAAATTAATATATTTCGGATTATACTACGCGTATTTTATTATTGTAAAAACTACATAGTCCCGACGTTACGGTTACCTATCAGCAACCATAATCACGGCTTAAAATATTAGTTTCATTTAAATGTAAAATAATGTTTATTATAAAATTATTTTAATTTTTTTAGTTAAAAATATCTCCGTACATTCCTTATTTAAGCCTTTTCATTTATAACAGGTTGTGTAGCATTCATTGTCCGTTTTATCTGACCGTCGCCCTTGATCGTTAAAAAGGTTAAAAAGGGTTATATTTACAGAATGGTACACGAACAAATTCAGTGCTATAAATTTATTATATTGCTTTTGTAACTAATTAAGCTGCTAATAACGTTTAAAACTCTTATTATATCTTTACTTTTTTATTATTAAACTTTACATTTGACGAGAAAAACCCTTTTTAATCAGTAAGGCTTGGCAATTGTTCTATTTTTGTGTATCCTCATGTTTTAAATATATTATATTTAATGTTATATAATTTCGTTATCTTTCCAGGACTGCAACGATGACGGTGTGACAGATTGCTATGACTACATGATGATTAATGGAAACGGAGGGTATGGATGTACCTTGCCTCTGAACAGATCAGAAAATGGAAGGAGATGGCTCAGGAGATACGAGGAATGTCGCAGTTCACTCATCAGAACTTAAAAGTTAATATAATTTAATATAACGAGTTTTATTTTTAAATTAAATCTATCATTGTTTTAAAATATGACAATTTTATAATATTTATTAAGCTTATTCTGACCGTATAACAAATAAGGTACATCTGAAAGAGTTCTAAATATGCCTCACTTATAGGGCGAATACTGTGCTATCAAAAGACACACGTCTTTAATTTTTTTATAAAAAATTTGGTTTAATGTGTGCTAACTTAAATATTTTACAGTAAAAGATTCAAATAGGATTAATAAAGATTTCTAATTTGTTTTTAATATCAATTAGAACAGAACTTCCATCAGTGTAAAGATTATAGTTGCATCCTTTTATGTATGTTAATAAAATAAGTAAAAAAAAATCAAAGTTTTGATTCATACTATAGGTGTCAATGAGTAAATAAGTAGACATTTTAGTTATGTAATATATATGTGTAGAGATTCACATCAGACTGCATGTCCCACATACGGTGCTATCTTAAGACAGATTTATGTGAAACGTCCTTGGAGCATTGTAAAACAATGATTTATATTGTAACAGTGTCTGGTCATTAAAGTGATGTATGTGATGCATTCAAAATTATCCAATATATTTCCTTAATTTTCCTTTAAACATGTTTTCAACAAGCATTTTTAATATAAGTATCACTTTTATTGTTCTACAAATACTCTATTATGAAAATCGGGAAAATTCTCTCTGAGAACTTCAAACAATGAGAACTACAATTTATAATAGTTGAAGAACCTTATTTATTTAGTCGTTTTTATGTCCGTCCGTTAAATGAGATATATATATATATATTGAAGATACTCATAGTTTAGTTACCAAGTCATCAACATAGAAATATAACAAATCTGTGACAGTCATTGACAATAATTCAAAAATTCAATAAAAAATGAAATATATGCAACTTATTACAAATGCAAAAACTGAAAATGTTACACAGATAGCAAAACCAACTTTAATAGACAAAAAGCTGAGTGAACTTGTTCAACTTTAATCTACCCACTTCATCTTCCACATATTGTTAGAAATAAGTTTAGGCAGTACTTCCACTTCGATATTTATTGCTCTACAACTTGTAACAGAATCCCCATTCCAGCATTTACATCCAATTTATAATATTCATATTTAGATGAGAATAAGTTACAATATCATACAAAGTGTGTTAGTTTCCCTCATAAGAGTTTCCATCACATAATAATAGACTGAACATTTATAAATTATTAATTATTAAAAGTTATAAATTATTAAAGCAATGGTGAAATAATTGGACATATAAATTCTTCTTCTATGTACCTGGCAATTTCCCGGCTATAGCCAGGGTCTGCCTTACATGTTGTGAATAGTTTTGGCTAATTGTTTTTTACGACCGGCCGCCTGCCTGACATCAACCCTCTTTTGGGAATCAACATTAATCAGTGATGTCTAAATATTCTTAGAAAGTACATATGACTCGAAAAAATCACAATGGTACTTGCCCGGGCCAGGATCGAACCCGCGCTCTCGGCAACGAGAGGCGGGCCCTCTAACCATTAGGCCACCACTGACTAATTATATATATTCGATATAAATTACAGAAATATTAGTGATATTAATTTACCCTATTATAACTAATATTCACATTGCGCTAGTTCACATATAAGAAATACTATCATTAATATATAAAAGAAAGTCGTGTAACTAACACTATTTATAACTCAAGAACGGTTGTAGGGTTTTGGCTGAAAATTTGTGGAGAGATAGTTTAAAAATAGAAGACCAACTTAGGATAGTTTTCATCCACTTCGAAAGACAAAGAAAAATATAACTCTATAAAATACAATCTCTCCTTATTTACTGCCTCTGAGGCGGAACAGAGTTCGCCCGGTCAGCTATACATTTCAAATTTTGAAACTGACACAGTTGACATCGCGAGCAAAAAGAACCAATAAATAATGTACAGTCTGATTGAATTTTATAGTGGTATAAGATAGCATTGTTAATTTATTGTATTAGTAAATCATTTGATAAGAAAGATATTTTATATATACGTATATCTGTGTAGAAATCAGTCATGATGTCGAAACATTTATCTGATACACCTAAACTCTGTGCAATTCAGATCTACAGATAAAATTCTAAAAAAAACGTATATATAAAACGGATAAAACCGAATGTAAGCTCGCTTGTCACAACATTCTCGTTTCATTGAATACAACGCTGGTAATGTGAAGCGTTATTGGCATCCACATTTTATGTACCATACAAATTTCTAATAAAATGTGTGTTTCAGATACGATCCGGAAGCCATCTATGTTCTATGTGTCCCTATTTGGATTTGGATACTGTTGCCTTAATCTATACACAAATCCGATGCGTTCGAAATATATATCCATGTGTATTTGTTGCCTTTATATATTTTTTGTTACGTTTTTGGCCACAAACTTTGAGGAAATTTGATACAAAATTCTTTTTAATATTAAAGTCAGCTCATTAATTTAAAAAAATACTTATACTAACTAAATGAGCATTTACTATGAAGTTAAGTGAATAAAATTTGACAAGTGACTGAGTTGACAAAACTACAAAAAATGACTTATACTTGTACTTGTATTATCAGTTTTTACACAATTTCATTTCGACATTATTTATAGCCTAAGGACGGGAAATTTACTTCTACACAAACCCAAAGAATACAAAAGAAAGCAGGTTTTAAGAATTATTTCATGGTCTATTTATTTACGCTTTGATTCAATAAAGTCCATAAAATAATCAAAACAAAATTTAAACAATGTATCATTTTCATCAGTTGCTTGTATGTCATAATTATTCAATGATCAATAAAATCAATTTTTAAACAACAAATATAATACATGAATCTCAAGTGTATCATTTAATTTTACTGTCAAGTAAACACTCTAATTGGCAGATGATATGCCAAGTAAGTTACGGGTCAGATTAATCATATTATTAGTGTTACTGGAACGATGTCAAATTGAGAAGAGCAGTTACTGGTGACTTTAACTAGCAATTAGTTTATTGGACACATTACTCGAGTGAAAGAGGCGTTTACTATAAAAGCCCAATAAGATAATGATCTTATTATATTATTATAAATGTATAAGCAGAAAAAAAATTAAACGATAACTCAAAAAAATGTTCACATTCTTAACTATGTCTTTATATATGAATGCTTTATAATATTTGAAACATTATACAACAGATGTTAGCAGATTTAAGAAACTAGTTTTTGCCTGCGGCTTTGTCCTGGAAATCGGGTTCAGTGATAAAAGAGGTAATGTCTAATATAAACATAGTAATCTACCAGAACAATCTATCGTTATTACACGTTTCACGACTTTTATGCCGTGTTACCATGGAAACGGCACTGAATTTTGTCATTAATTCTTATACAGACACATACAGTATACTATTATATTTGATGTATTGTAAAATTTCATTAAAATCCATTAACTAAATATGTTTTATATAAATTGTAATTAGCATTCACATTGACAAATGTAACTTTAACAAAAATATTATAAAAAGAATAAAACCTGATTTAATTTGAATACTCGTCAACAGTTAAGTATGTAAATTTTCATATTAAACTAAGTTATAACTGACTCAAATAAAACTTTACCCAAATATTCACATATTCAGTGACACTATTAGTTTGTTCTTTGTGTAACAAATAGTAATACATACATATGACAGTATAATTATCCTTGGATAGAATACATAACATTCTTTTAACTAATTTTATTTGTGGTTTTAAATAATATGTAAAATATGCTTAGTAATCCGAATATGTACTATTAGTTTCATTGAATTTAATTTTTACTTGGTATATACTTACAACAACTCCACGAGTGAGACAACTTGTTTCAATTATTATAATATACAAATAATATTTGTTTAATGGTTCACCACAATCTTATTACAATTTATATATGTACATAGTGTAATAAATTTTTACGACCATATAAGCTTAAAATCATGATTGATTAGAAAATTGTCATAGATACGTCTATTATATTGTAAAAATAAATTACAATTTAAAAGAAAAGAAATAAATGTAGTAGATAAACAATGGATTTTCTCATCATTTTATTGTTTATGGTGTCTTAGTTAACAAAATAACATACCCAATCAAAATTTAATTTCCCACAATTTATTTTCTATGAATGAAATAAAAATAAAAAACCACGAATATTAATAAATGTTATTTATTTCATATTTATTATAATCAGTTGAGTAAATTAAGTTTTGTGTGACATTCTTCGTACCTTTCAAGCCACATTCGGCCGGTTTCGGTTCTGTCGAGCGGCGGGGTGCAATTGTACCCTCCATTACTGTTAATCATCATGTAATCGAAGCAGTTGATCTCACCATCGTTATTGCAGTCCTATGTAACATAAATAATACATTACTATAACTCATTATATAAAGGTCAGTGGTGGCATAGAGCTTAAAAAGACCGCTCTCGTGCAAGAGAGCGCGAGTTCGAAACCTGGCAAGTACTCGTACCAATGTGATTTTCAGAGTCATATGTTCTTACTAAGAGTATTTAGACTCCATTGACACAAGGTGAAGGAAAACATCGTGAGGAAACCTGGACTTATAATTTCACAATTATAAGTTTGAAATCACCAACCCGTTTTGAGCAAACGTGGTGATTAACGCTCAAACCTTCTACGTGTGAGAGGAGGCCTTTGCTCAGCAGTGGACTCTGATAGACCGATGACGACGATAACTCAATATATCTATTATATATATATATCAAAGATTTTTAATACAAAAGTCGCTGTGACTAGTTAAGGTTTATTTATATGGCAAATTATCCGATAATATTATGATTTATAGAGACAATAATTTTAGTTAAATTATTACCGCAATTTAAGCTGTCATAGAAAATTAAATAAATATACCAAATTATCTAGTGAAATGTAGTAGGAATATATTTATTGGTACCTATTAAAATAGAAAGAGAATAGCGCAATGTGTGAAATATGAGATCAAAAAATTATATATTATTTTTTTAATGAATTTTACGAATAAAAATTGTAATCCATACAAAAACGATGGTTCGTATTAAAAATATTTTGTAACAAACAATGTTATATTGTAAAACAGCGATGTGCATAAAAAAACGAAAATTAATCTTCACACTATAGAATATGGACTATAGGTTTAAATTATAAAAAATCTGGAGAGTGATATTTCGATGCTGTTTTTGTCTTTGAATTTTTCATTCTTTATTTTCTAATTTAAATAATAGCTCAATATAGCTTTAACGTTAAAACATATCTGAGAATATCGAAATATCCTATATTTTTTATGCGGATAGTCAATCTGTTTGTACATTGTCGTCATATATAAGAAGAAATTAAATAACCTTGGCAAACTTTTGAAGATAACCTTTTACGATCTTTTGCGCGCAGTTGTAATCGGTAGCACATTCCCTCCAAGCTAAAACGAAAAAAAGTTTCTATGAACATTTTCCTTATCCATAAATTTTTATATTTATCGTTTTAATAACAAGAATAAATTCAGCAAAACGTGTTTGCGTAAGATGTAGAATCTGATTTGGATATATTTTTTGCTTTATCAAATACAAAAACTATCATTATTATAATTTTATTACATAAAATATATTTATAGGCTAAACTAAATGATAACTTTTATATAAGTAGTATTAATGAATATAAATTATTAATTGCGTAAAAATACTTTAAATGGATGAGAAGTTCACATTAATTCTATCCTTCAAATGTTGTACTGAAATGATCAGGGCTGTTCGCTCGTCCCAAAATTACCTCTATATTTAGGCACTCATCTCAGGAGGTAGAAACAAGGATAATAAACTTATACTATAGGAGAAGATGAAGTTTCCTAACGTGGTGAGAATTGACGCAAATCTACTATCGTAGTACTCAAACACTTTTTCATTAGTTCATACACTTGGCAGAATACGAACAATTGTTGACAAAGGACAAATGCTTTACAAACAAAATAAAAGTCTGTCTTCTATTTTGGCAGAGTCAACAAGGCATATTAACTAATCTTACACGTACATATAACTCAAACTTATACAGTTGATTTAGTACTGAAAGCAAAATTGAGGCATTTAGGAAGAAGTTTAAGAACTGATTTAATTTACCGTTATCGCTCGCAGGATCGTCACCTGGCAGCGTGATTTTGCCAGCCTCATTCCAGTACACCTTAGAGATGGTGAATGGACCACAATAATCACCAAAGCAATTATCTGATGACATACAATTAGTATACACGTGGCAAAGACATCGGAAGCATGCTTGATTTAAATTAGGGACATCTGAAACGAAAGCCATATATATACAAAAACATAGTGACATCGTTTGAATGATAGAACAAGAAAAAGTACCAGAATTAGTCGAATTAATGTGGCACTAATCACAATTAGTAATTAAGTGTAGTTAGTAAGTTCCAGAACAAAAAACTTCACCTGCACATTCAATAAATGACAAAGCAGCGACTATAGATGTTATCGCTAGGAGCTTTACTCTCGTTGCCATAGTCTTAGTTTTTTTCTTCTGAAAAATTAATTGAAATTTAACAATTAAACATACAATCTCTTATTTTTCAACGACAATGTTATAAATGTGAAAAAATGTACATATTTTATTAATTTATCGAAACGAAATATGTCATTATGTCAGCTATAATGTTTAGCATAATTTTACTCAAACAATTCGTTAATAAAGAAGAGTAATAGTTACTCATGAAGATGTAAAACGGCGAGACAAAACTAGTAGTTTATATTAGTGTCTATTTTTAAACTAGTTTAACCATAAAAAAAAGAGTATAAAGAAATTAAAATATTTTTCTCCAAAGTTTAACCATTAAAAAGTAATTTGCTATCCTAAGCTATTATTATATAAACGAAGAGAAGAAATTGAATAATATGAAAGGGTTGAAGTATATAAACACATGTAAAACTAATTATTCAAGAAACATATGTAATTTTGTGATTCATATTTACATCATAACCTGTAGCTCAGGAGGAAAAAGATGAAGTAAATTGATATAACAAATAAATATTGAAATATAGATGATATTTATATGTATATAAAATAATAATAATGATAATATAGTTTTATTTAACTTTATTTAAAGTTATTTTAAAATCGAACTAAAAACCCGATCTAACGTATGTTGCGCTACTTACGAAAATCATAAATTTTGGGATTATCAGACGATTAGACTACATAATTAGACGATTACATATATGTTTATATGTATACATTTATGTCTGTGAAACAATTGATCTATATAACATGTTAATATTCGGCAAAATATTCAACATATAATATTAATAACAAACTTATATAATAAACTTAAAAAACTATATTCTCAATTGAATACTTTTCCAAATTTTATAGTAAAAACGAGCTTTTAATTTGTCTTAAAACTTCAGACTTGAAAATAGCTTTAGAACAAAAATTTACCAACTTTAACGATTAGTATACACTAGTGTTTAAGAAAAATATTAAAGTAATATTTCTGATAACCACAAATTACTTAATCATATTTAAATTTCTAACACAAAACAATATACATACATTTAATACTCACCCAAAGATTTTCCTATAAAATAATCACCGTCCTTGTACGCGCGACCTCTTATATAGCCTTTGAAGAATACACCTAGATAGAAGTAACAAGACATATAACATACAAAACAGTCCAGTTTTATAAAAATAACCTTTCCTTATTGATAACTATGTATAATTTTTACAAACAATCATTTAAGTTTGAGCTTATTAAACTAAATTTATTCGCTTCTTTGTTTTTCATAATTTTTTGTTAATGTTTTTCTATAAATTAAAACAAAATTTTTCATGATAAGTGAACTAGTAAATTATAGTAACTAGTTATAATGTATCGTTAATACAATCTTTTATTGTACGTCCAATGTATGTTTGTATATATGCTTGTTCTGATGTATTGTAATTAAATTTAAAGTAAAAAGTAAATAGTTCCAACGGGTTAGATTGAAATTTTGTATACAAGATCACTTTGAATAACAACGCATACCTCACTTTGGTGACATGTTTTTTAATCCAACATGGCGGCGAATTGTAAATGGCTGATTTTCAATCGCCTTTGTAATATGAGTAGAAAACGAGAAGATTATTGATAATGAATCAAAAAACGATTCCAGCTATAAAAAAAGTCTAAAATGTATTTTTTTTTTTGTAGTAAAACCTTTAAAACTTTTCCCTTCCACTATTAAAGTCAGTCAAATAATTTATACGACGTAAAAGCTTCCTGCGAGATTTACTTGCGCAGAAAATGAGTAAATAAAAAAGCATGGAATTGGTTTTAACTACAAAATTTTCAAAATACGTTATCACAAAAACTAGGTCTACAACATTTTATAAAATAGCTAACTAAAGAAGAATATAATATTTAAAATGTTCAGTTTCTTAAAACAAAATAACATTTTTCTTAAGTCTAAACATGAAACAACTATTATGACTAGATAGATAATATGCATGTGTAGGTATATTAATATATATAAATAAATATATGCATGTGTATTTATATACCAGACTAGATTTTTCACAAAACAAATAAAAGTTAAGTAGTAAAGAGGTGTGCAGTAAGAATTAAATAGGAAAGACCTGGTAATATCACACAGAACTATTAGGAACTGCTCACTAGAAAATCAGACAGAAGGAAAGCTGATAAACTAATACGAGGATGAGCAGACAACATGCTGTAGATATTGAATAGATATTAAACAACAAAACAGTGGAACATCTCAAAATGCCTCTCATACACTACATTCATTAAATGTAATTAAAAATGGATTTTAAATGAAACACTAACGGCAAAAATGTTAAAAAGTTTATTATAATTGTCTCAAACGTCTTATTTTGCAATCAATTATTTAACTCAATTAATTAAAACATAAACGGCTACTATACAGCCTTTCAGAAAGTTCAAAATGTACATGAAATCCTATTTGCTATATTTTATTACAAGGCTTTTTACGAAGAGAAATAAAGTATATAAATCGCATAAAAATGTCCTGTAACGATCTTCATTAGAAGCCTCAATTAGCCTTGTACAACATCGTACATACACTGTAAAAGGATAAAGAAATAAAATAGATTACACTACTAAAATTACAATGTGTCGAATGTACAATTTAGTAAAATACTTGCCTATTTTTTTATCGCATATATGTCACTAAAATAGAAATATGTAATATTGTTTTAAAATATATTCATCCACAAAATAAGTATAAGTAAAACAATTGCTATAGAGTTAAAAAAAAAAACATTTTTCTATAGAACCAAAATTCTGTTTGCTATAAAAAAGTAGAAGAGTATTCCTACTACAAGTCCAAGATGAACGGTTTTTCTTTCATAAAGTCCACATATTTTAGTATTAGTGTATGTTTTAGCACGAAAAACGTTTCGTATACAGTATAATAATGGATACTTGAATAAGCGTAGATATTCGCACTTACATATGTACATATGTTTATTTAAAATTTTATTTAGTAATTAAATTAAAAAATGATATTGTTTGCATAATTATTAATAATACAAACGAAAATATAAATTCATTCAAATAACAAACAAACATTTTAAAATTCTTTTACATATTTTAAAATAAACTGAAAAAAGTTATTGAACGTACATATTTTTTCTATATATTTTTTATCTCCATGAATCAATTAGCTTAATATAAAATAATAAATAACAGAATTATTATAATTAATTCAATTCATCTCATCTAGGTATTTGTAAATATATAATCTCATTTGTTTTATTGCATGCATTGTTTCCAAACCTGTTTTCCTATGTGAAAAATCCCAAAGACGACAATGTCTGGTTCTAAGCCACTAGTTTCTTATGCCATATAACTATAGCTGGTTCTACTACAATTCGATAATCACCTTACAATCTCAACTCTTCAAATTTAGGCCTAGAGGATTTGTAGACGAAATTACAATGGTATTACTGCACATTGCTCTATTGCAATGCTTGCTGATTTTATTCAAGACGTACAAATATTTCACATTTCAAACATAGATAACTTTCGTCACAATATATTTTTTACCAAGAATATACATATTTCAAATCTTTTTACACGATTTAACGCATGAGAGTTTTGCGAATTTGAAATATTGTATAGTGTTGAAGATAATAATGTAAGTATAATGAAAATAATTAATTAGACGAATATTTATTATTAATTACTATTGCTATATCATCTAACGCTATCGTCACTCTCAATAATTATATCTTCTAGACTATCGGTCACATCATGAAAAATTTAATCTTCTCAATACATAAGAAGGGTTTGTAGTTTTTAAATTTTAAATCTTCTCATTTTACAGTATAAACATTAGTATTTGTATGATGAACAGAAAACGCTCGTAATTAGCGTGTTTTGAGTAAATTTCCTGCAAGGATAAGGATGTAGGTATCTCATATCAAATTAAAACATTGTGTAATTTGTATACAAATTCATCATTTGCCTTAAAACATATAACAAATAATGTGACTATCGGCAGCTTTTAAATCATAAAATCCTAAATCTGTTTAGTTTCATATTGAAACATATTATATACTTATAACTTGCAATACAGAAGACGCTTAAACGCAATTAATAATTATTAAAAGTCTGAAAAATTTCTACTTATATTATTAAACTATTTTATACTATGTGGAAAAATGTCTAATAATAATGAGTCCCAATGTAAAGCCAATCTATAATACAACCAGTATCCTTAGTCCGAATGTTTATTATCTGAACACATAAGGAATGTCAACAGTTTTTCATTCATAAATCTTATCACTATAGTATTAACATATGTATTTTATTGCGAGAAAAACGCTCATCGCCTCGTAATCGTTTGTAGTGTGACGGCCACGAACTTGTAGTAATTATTTCGTATTTTATTATAGATAATTTTTTGATAGAATTATTCAACCGTTGAATCTTAAAAATAAGAATATCGCTCTTTGTGTTGTTCTATGATAGCCACAAATTTATAATTGTATGAAATTAATATAACTTGGCTATAATCTCTTAAATTAATTATTATAATATTACTTTAGGAACTTTGTACAGCTAACAAAATTAACACGAAAATATACTAAACATTTAAATATAAATCAAGATCGTAACTTTGAAAAAAAAACTGTAATTATTTTGCTTTAAATTTAAACAATATATAAGAGTCACCATATGTAAATTAAATTAGTAAAGTTATGTATTTTTAACTAAATACATTAAATTCACAATATAAGACTAACCGAAGTTTGTGTAAATTTAATAGTATGTATATGATATGTAAATATACTTAAATGACAACAAAATAATTATAGACAATACGTACGTTCATATACAACCTGATCTGGTTACAATAAAAAACAATAAGCTGTGATGCAGAACTAGTCTGCCAGCTAAAGTGTACGAACGCAGTGGATTTTGCACTTGCTTTAACGTTTTGAAAGGAATTTTATACCTAGTGTTCTGTGTAAGCAGTGCTAAATAGACCACGAAAATTGTAAGTTATATGAACTATATAAAGCTACTTACTCATAAATATTACAATAATATTATATATATGTATATTTTATTCTATTATCATGGCTCGAAAAGTTTTTCTAAATTGTTTATATATTAGTATAACTAATCAATTTTTTATAGCATAACGCCAGTAACAAGTTTTTATAATTGTTAAATAATATGTTATATACATAATTAAAATTTATATGTAGTACATGATTAATTACGATCTATAGTCATTATTATTAGCTGTTTTCCTCAACAGTATTATGTTACTCAGTTTAAATGATAGTTTTTCACTCCGGTTTCGTTCGATCTAAACTTAGAAGTTAGATTTTGCTGATATTATATTCATTAAAAGCTATCCAGTTAGTACAATACTTATGTACATATAATTTATTTGTCAAAGCCTTTTATTTGTGCTTTTTAATCAACTTGCAAGCTCTTTCTTAATAAATTAATTAGACTTTGTTTTGGTTTTCACTTAATAATAATGAGTTATATACAAATATAAGATAGGTTTTGTATGGTAATGAGATCTTAGATTTTAACGAGTATTCATTTAAATGAAACTAATATTTTTGGCTTAGTAAATCCGAAAATATTAGTTTAATTTATATGGTAATTTTACATCAATTCCGTTTTTTAATCACACACGGAAAATATTATGCCTTGTAGTTATAACGCATCATCTAGTTAGTCACAGAAATATTATAGAGTATTCAATTTATCCTATTTCAATAAATGTGATTCTGTTTTCCTTTTTCATCATAATGGACATATTAATTAAAAGAAAATGCCCACCACTTTTTTCTTAACATTCATTTCAAATTCATAAGTTATTTATCTTAATATTCAAATATACAGAGTCGGACTAAAGCATTACATATATATATAAAAAGTGTATCATTTAATTATACAATACTTATTACTTATGAGTCACACATATCTCCTCACACATACATATATATGTACATAAATTTTAATAATATCTTTTATAATTTATTTTATATAAATAATAAATATTGAGGATTAAATAAAATCAATATGTTTTGTGCTTGTTTTTTCTTTAAATATTTTAATCGATTTCTCAACTGAGCACGATAAATAAACTATAATAGTTGTAATACTTTGGTTCAATAAAATTTCTCAGTAAAGTAGGCAACCAAATTAAAACGTTTGTGTTTACTTTTTTATTTCTATTATTTTCCCTGTACAGTTATTTTCAGTCTATCATTAATCTGATCGTAATACATAAACACTGAGTCATCATCATCATTAATTGGAAATTATAAGTCCAGGTTTACTCACTATGTTTTCCTTCACCGTCTGTCACTGGTCTCTAAATAGTCTTAGAAAGTACATATAACTCGGAAAAATCACATTAGTACTTACCAATTGGTACTTTTAGAACCCGCACCCTCGTACATGAGAGGCGGGCCTTTAACCACTAGGCCACCATGAACATACTAAGTCAGCTATTTAAATTACATTTTCATATAAATAAAGTTTTATGCTACAATGCTACATACTTTCAAATTTTAATTGTAACTATTTCTGTGGTAATTATCGTTACTTAAATCTTTTGGATAATATTATGAGTTTCATTTGTTTATCATATTTTCCTGGAAACTACATCTTCAATGAATTGTTTTTTATGACACATTTCTCGAAAGATTCAATTAAAATTCACTGAATGTCGTTTTATTAGATTATCCTCACATTTTTTTCTCTATTTCCTCATCACGAGGATAATAGTAATGTCTAAATATAGCCATCAATCATCAGTAACAAAAATATGCAATTGAGTTTTATGATATGCATTCACTGACATGACTAATTCTGACAATATAATATTTCGTTTATTACAAAAAACGACCTCTAATATTAAGAATCTCTCATAAATAATATTTATTTTATTGCCGACCGTTGCTTTTTGGACATATATCGATAGGATTTGGATATCCTTTTAGCAAATCGCTAAAAGGCATAGTAAAATCTATCTATCTAGCATTACCTTTCAAAGAGATGAAAACAATGGAATGGTAGAAGTACTTTCAGATAAATAAAGACACTGCCATTAATTAAAAAGGGTTTGCGTTTTCATTTGATGAACTCTATCTTGGGTTAGTTGTTAATTTTACAATTTAAGACAAAATTCAGTGCCATAAACTTTAGGTCTGTACTTTGGAGTTTGGTAGAACTTTTCATATTTTATGATATTTTGCAGTACAGAGTCTTCTTAATTGTATTTTATTTCCTACTTCCAGTTAGAGAGTACAGCATGATTACACCAGCGCAAGTGGCATTACTGTCGATCCTACTTGTCACGTTTCTGTGGACCAAATCTTCAGGTACAAGAAAATAATTAATACAGAATACTTTAAACTGTCAAATATTTCCCAAAAACAACTCAAGCTTCCCCCTTCATTTCTACCATTGTGACTTGTATTTTATTAGAAATTTAAATTTTAAAGAACTTATAGGACACTCTGTATAATAAGAGTTTTTTATCGCTACATATATCAAACGGGTTAATATTTTTTTAATTTATTTTTAGAGCAGATATCAATATATAGAATGCTTGTTATAAACGGACCACATGTTTTTTGTACCGAATAAAAATTTTGGGCGCAAAACCACCTTTACTATTTAAGATATATGTCTGCGAAATATAGTTCTTATGTTATACAATAATTACCGTTTTTCAGGTGTGTTTATACCAAATCTAACAGATGGTTGCTATAGATGTCTGTGCTACATTTCGACTCTCTGCGACGTATCCAATGATTGTTCCGGAGGTTACTGCGGTCCATTCAACATTTCTAGAGTGTACTGGGTAGACGCTGGCAACATCACCTTACCTGACGATGAACCTGAGAGAAACAATGGTGAACATATTTCTGATATTGAGAAATATAATGCAATATAGCTGTCCATTTAATTATACTGCTGTTATTAATTGTAATTGTAAAAAAGGAATAAAACCAAGGTATCCCTTAACTACAAAAAATACTTTAGTGACCCCAATTTGACATTTAGTATCCTTGATTAACATATTTTTATCGGTATTTACTTTATATTTGTAGCTTAATTAATGACCGCTTGTATAATATTTTCTCTCTTTTTCAGCTTGGAAAGACTGTGCTCGGAATTATCAGTGTGCGAGAAGAATTATAGAGGGATATCTACAGAGGTTCGGAAAGGTAATTATACCATAATTGAAGTGAAATTTCTAATGCAACTTTCAATAAGGTTGCGTTAAACGTTCAACTCTCTTGGGGAGGGGGAATTCAATTAATGGCTTAATTGTGAATTGTAAGCAATGTTTATAAAGTTAGTCTTAAAGAAACAACATTAGTTCACTAAAAATTTATCTACCTCTTCCTATTTTCATTTCCACATTACGAAGTTTTATTTTTTCCATACGGCAGGACTCCACGAACTATTATTTAAATACTTACAAGCTTTTTCTTACGGCTCGACTTATCGTACGTTGGTTAATTATCGTACCAAAAACTGCATTGAAATTAAATTTCATTTAAATAATGCCAGATGTTCAACCGTATCAAGCAAATACAAAAAGAAACATTTTATACATTTCAAGACTATATTATAGACAGTATGAATGACATAACAGAGTTCTTTAATGATATCTAAGATTTTTGAGTCTACACATTTAAATATAACTAAGTTTTTCGTATACATACTTGGTGTTTTTTATTATTTGTATCTACATGATCTTTACAGCAACCATGATTAATACCTTTACCATAATAACTTGCATCTCTTCTGACAGATTTTTGTAATTTCTATTTTAAAACGTCCGGTATCATCTACATATTTGTGTTCCCAATGAAATAGATTTTTGTCACAAATTCTTTTACCAAAGATATTACTCTCTACTTAGGTATTATAAATGACTTTTTCATTTACTTTAAAGTTAAGAATAAAGAATACATTCCTTGATATATGTAAATGTGTCTCTTTCCAGGACTGCAACGATGACGGCGTGACAGATTGCTATGACTACATGATGATTAATGGAAACGGAGGATATGGATGTACTTCACCTCTCAATAGATCAGCGAATGGAAGGAAATGGCTCAGGAGATACGAGGAATGTCGCAGTTCACGTTTAGTAAATTAAAACTATGAAACATATCAATGTTTTTCTAACAATATATCCCTCAATGTGATTCGGAAGAATAAAACAATCATGATTGACACTTTATTACAAGACCACGTATACCTAAAATAGCTCAGTGGAAATAGATATTCAAGGTTACATAAATTCGCACCAAGCTGAAAATTGAATGTTTGTTAAATGCAAAAAAATCGGATATTGCAATCTTTGACCTTGAATTATTTATTTTTCATACTTACTATCGGGGATTTTTGACAATTTGTAATAGCGTTCCAAACATTCGTGCCAATTTTCAGCTTTGTACAAATTAATAAGAGGTTACCCCTATTTTTGAAGGTACAGTATAGGTGCAGGGCTAAAGGACCTTAATAGCAAAGAACTATATCTTGATAATAAATTTTTTATAGACAGAAAATGCTCACAGTCTCAAACTTACTTAGCTGTAGCTACAGCTACAGCTAAGTAAGTTTGAGTCTAGACAGGTATAAAAGACAGTCTTCTAATATGACTTTATACGTACTGCCATTGAGTGTGAAAAATTAAAATCATAATAATCCGTTTTGCTTATCAGTTAGCTTTATGTCGCGACTTCACTGGACTAGAAGATTTTAAAGTCTAAGAGCGAAAAACGTTTGCATCATCTTTATTGAAAACTTAAACAAACTTTAGTACTTTAGATAAACTATTTGCATTAAAAAAAAGTTGCTTATGTACGAAGCAATGAATAAGCATTTTTTCTTTCATAAGTACTTTCCCCTATCTTTCAAATACTTAGTTTTTGTTCACCCTACGCTCCTATTGATCTTAACTTTATACTCGTAACTTAAGGCTGAGTTATTCGACATAAATGGGCAATAATTTTTATGGGTTTTATACGTATCATTTAACAGATAAAGAATAAATATTTGCTCATAAATTTAAGCTTATTAGGATTAATTAGGGACATATCGAGTGTCTGGAACAAACAGTGCTATTTTTCTTATATACGAACAAAATAACAGGCAATCGCTTGTAACATATAATTTATAAAGCTATTAAAAGAATTTATCAAGCAAGTTTGGTAATTTATCAGTGTCATTTTCCTCATCATTATACCACACTGTGACTGGGTCAACCTCCAAGTCCAGGCAAAAAATTATGTCGTATCTCCTATAGAATATTATATTAAGGGTTAGCAATACTTTTAGATAAATAAAACTAAGATTTTCGGATTTACTATGCGTTTTTTATTTTTATTTTAACTGCATACTGCCAAAAAAAGATGGAAAATTCTTCATCTCGTCTGCCCGTGATCACAGTTACTGCAAAGTAATTGAAACGTCGGGAATATGTATCTGAAAATACTAGTTTTATTAAATGAATACTCACGAAAGTCTTAGATCTTAATACTTTCAGATATTTGGAAATCTAGTATAAATACTTATAATGATGATACGATGAATTTAATTCAAATTTCAATGGCAACGGTATGAATTAATTTAATTACCGAGAATCTAAAATAGTCTTAATAAAACTGTTAGCTTTACGTTTAAATGCTATTATGTGAGATTTTATTAAATTATAATATAAAAACAACGGTATACATTTTGCTATCTCAATTCTATTATCAGATTTAAGTATGTTAAAGGACATAATCAAATATTTATTATAACGCATGTGGTATACGGAAATGATGCTCAGTTGATGTAGGTACTGGAAGAAGATCTCACTCTCACAATATTTGCTATGAACGTATCCAGAATACAAAAGATATTAAATTCTTAAAATAGTGATTTTAAGTTTTAATATCTTAATCGGTATTTTTCTATGAAAAATATATTTTTTTATTTAGTTAGTATCTGAAACATACACCTGGGTCATAAGTACCAGGCACTGTTGAAACTCCTTTCCCTGCAACGCAATGGACCCAGCACCCGCACGGTGAATACATGGAATGCTACGGAGCTTCATCTCTTGTTGTATTAAATAAAAACTAAGCTCAAAACTTCATTTGATATCTCAACAAGGATAGTCGTAATCTTTCTTTGAAAATATAAGAATATCGTAAAAAAATAAAAGCTCCATATAGTAATTAGATATTTAGGGATAGAACATTTCTTCCCATAATCCTTATCATATAATTAAAGGTTATCATATAATAAAAGGTAAAACAGTTCAATACCCAGATTTATCAGTTGTCCCAATTCTTCTTATTGCCCCGAAATCCCTATTGCCCCGAAAACCCGCATGCAAGTTCAGCGTATTAACCCGTTATCAAACCGAATGTCGTTTAAAATTATTAAAAAGAATAAAAGGGGCAAACCAAACACATTGTGAAACCATAGACAAAAATAAAGACTCCTAATTGGTTCAAATATAAGCAAGTTACAACCTGAACCCCTAATAAAAAATATGTCTTAAATTAACTATTAACTATTGAAAATCTCTCAAATTTTATATTATGAGATATTTATTTATTTTATTTTATTTTATTTTCGCCAATTGCTATATAATTAGCCACTCGAATATTTACCTTTTTATTTATTAACGGTGGTTTTATCATTATTAACGGTGTTAGAAAAGTACTTCAATGCAAATCATTCTTAAAATGGAACAATTGTTATTTTTAGTTTAAATTTAAAAGTTTACAGATTTATAGGCAACTATCACAATTACATTACAAAAGTATAAATCTATGCAGCGATTTTAATTACAAAAAAGAGCGAATTTTTGTCTTAAAATTTCTATTTGTTCTGATGATCGCTCCAAAAAAACATAACTATTCTAATAAAAAAAAGGGTTGAGTTTAAAATCATTCATATTTTCTGACTAGGCAGCAGAGCAACTAGTTATTAACTATGTGAAAGAAGCCAATATTTATGACATCTATAGTATGAAATCTAGTGTGATAAACTTCAAATATATCCACATACATAATCGTATAATTTGTAATTAATAACATAAATTGAAAAACCTAAGTCTAATCAGTTAAAATTCGCTACATACAGTTTAGCAGTTATATATTTTTACAATTATTTGGTATCAAAAATTCTATATATATGGAAATAATACGTTAAATAATAAGTAAATTAAGGTCATGGGCAGTATATTCAACAATGTAAGCGGTTATTCACTAGCAAATTGAGTAAAAACAGATCAACTTCACTAACTTACTTGGTTCTTGGCAACCCCCATCCATCTACTCGACAAATACGTACACAAAAACGAGGTCTCAAAATCAGTTACTTGTCTCAATTAGCGTAAACACAGACAAGAAATTTAGACAAAATAATAATTGATTATTACAAAATTGGACAGCCGTAAAGCCATAGTAGAAGCAATGTTTTTTTAATCCGCTTACACCAAATTCACAAAATTTATGGATTACATTATATTGTGCATATAATCAACATATATATATACTCTGTTTTACAAATATATAATAATTACAGATGGCCACCTACGTAATATTTTTTTAACCTCTGAACTATCATCTATAACGTATAAAAAGAATTGTAATAATTATAAGTTACAGAGTTCGATTATATCGCATTTCAAGAGAACCTTTCAAAAGTCTGGGATAAAAACTATCCTATGTTCTTTCTCAAGGTCAACCCTATGTCTGTACCAAATTTTATTAAAATCAGTTCAGTGGTTTAAGCGTGAAAGCGTAACAGACAGACAGAGTTACTTTCGCATTTATAAAATTAGTATGGATAATTTTATCTAACAAATTACTTTAAGGTAAATTTTATTTTCGCCTAAAGGACAATACAATGTGATGACATTTTAAATATCCACCATTTGTCCGTCGTGCATATGAAATCGGGTCTCGTTATCACAAACGTGTCCTAAAGGACCCATCCTATCCCAAAAGTATTAAACGCACAGCCATTTATACCTCACAGTACACTGCACTACGGTACAATAAAATGTAAATTTACATAAATATTAATTTCTTAACCCATACATTTAAAGTTATTTTAATTAAACCTAACAGACAACAGATAACAAATTAATTGGTTTTAAAATGTCACTGTCATTCTTGCAAAATGACAGTGACTTATCTACAAGGAGACTAGAAATCTAGGTATTGAGGCGAATATATTGTTCTTCTCCAATATTCCACTGAATTTATTCATGGATTATTATTTGAGAGCTTATCATATCAAGGTTATTTCGTTCGGAGGGTCGCTCGTATCCTCAGAATAGAATACAAATGCTGATTCCTCAATATACCTGTTTCAGTCTTATCTAGTGCTTATTTTATTCAAAATCTTTTCGTATTTCGATACAAGAGCTTTGTATTAGCCTTATGAGCATGTCCATTCTAAAACATATTTGTGAAGAATATATACTAATATAATTAAGAAGTATGTAAGGATATCATTTTAATTTTATTTAAATTATGCTTCAAATAACAAAACATCAAATATTGAAAAAAAAATGTAATATACATACTAATAGCAATTGTATATGGTACAAAAAAAAATGCACTGCCCGGGAATCGAACCCGGGTCGCAAGAATGGGAATCTTGCATGATACCACTACACCAGCAGTGCTTGTGTTTATGGGTTGAAATTGTTATACATACTAGGAGTAATACATAATCAAATATAAATGAATTACATTACTGATGTAAATATATTTCTTTTATTTATATAAAGTTACAAACAATCAAAGCCTTTATCACTCTACATTATATATATACTGTATACGAAATATTAAAATTAGTTTTAAAAAAAATAATATCACGTAATTATTTTCACACAATTTTATTATGAATTAATAATAATTAATTCATGACTCACATCTATACAAGACTACTAAAAGACAATTGTTTATGAAAGAAGTAGCTCCCTAATTTATTATCCGAAAAAGTAGAAGGTTGCCTCATTAGTAAAATTTGATTTTGGCAGACATCTTAGGGAAGAATATGCCTGTACCTGACCGTCCAGTTAATGAAGAAGAGCCTAAAAAATGGAGAAGGTCCAATAAAAGCCTTTCAAGATGACTTGGAAATCTACACACACTCGTTATGCCAAAACAAACAATTGTATTTCTAATGTGCCTACAAAGAAGTTTTGCCCATACTCCATATTATAATTTGCAATGATTAATGTATGTATTTCTTTTCATTATTCATTCTTCAATAATAAGGTTTCCGAAGATTAAATCCTAAAAATCTATTTATAATTATAATATTTTGTATTTTTACATGATTATTTTGGGATGTATGACGTCATACGAAGTTCACCAAAAATTTTCTAAATTTAAATATTAAACTCCACTACATAAAATAAATTCCAAAAATATATATTTTGTATTCTTAAATCTGCAGTACGAATTCACAAACAATAATTATAATTCAATAGAAACCTTAAAATATTAGGAACCGTAAAATCTAAGTATCCAGTATTGGTGTTCATTTGAAAGTTTGAAACTAATTTTATCTCCATAATTAAAGATTAATTGTCGACTGTCCAAAGAAGGTTAGCGAGTTCATCTAAAAAGCAACCAAAACATTTACTAATTGACCTTATATAAACTTAATCATTGTTTTATCTGAACACCAAGGGTATCAGATATAGGAATAAAGGTTTCGACTTTCATTCACTACCATTCAGTTGGACTGATAGCAAAAAGCTATGAAAACAATTCAGGTAAGCTAATGTTGCTGATTTTTTGATATGGGCCCTTGTAATAAAATAACGGATTTATAATTTTTTTTTTGGGAAGCTTCTTATTGACGTTCTTTAGGTTACTCTGTTACTTGTTACGATGGATCAAATTTTTTTTGTAAATACATTCCAAATGCGAAAAAAAACAAAAAAAAAAACACTTTTTGTATTATAACAAGACACTGTGTTTAAAGGGACACTCACAGTACCTTACCTACAAGTTAAACATAAGACCAGTAGAAAATATGAAATCAATTTTTATACCTTTTCAATTACTGTCCCCTGATTCCAATCTTTTACTTTACGAGCTGAAATAGGATATAGCCGTTTCGTGTTTATTGTTTATATTACAAAACGACGATTTAATAAATATAGAGCATTTCAGAGACCATAGACAAACAACAATAAGCAAATGAAATGTTATAACTATCACTACACAAACACACAAGGAATTCCCTGGAATTTTGTGTTGCCTGAAAACCACGATCGTAGAGTCGATCAGTGATACGTAAAATACGCCAAGTACTTAAGTGGATTTTAACTTTGTCTAGTTTTACACATCAAGGTTACTTTCTCAAGTAACTTTTAATCAAAGACATAAAATAACTTATGATCCTTTTAAAACTTCAAATGTTTAAATCATTAAGAAATACGATTTAAAAACTTTATACGTATCAAAATTTATCAATTTATTAAACATGATGTATTCTGTAACCCTGATTCCAAGTGACAGACACGTTGGTATCGATTAATTATCTTTTGGTACTAGAATAACATAAAGTAGGACCAATCTATCACAGGCCCAAGACTCTTACAATGGGGAAGACAGGTCTGAACGAAATCTTTTGGAATATTAGAGTACAAATTTTAGACTTGGATTGGAACTGGTTTCATTGTAGGCGAAGTAATAAATTTTACTATAAAACGATCACAGTAAAATATTTATCAAAAACTTAATAAGAAAAAAAAGAAGACTGATCAAACATATCATCACACATATTTAAGTTAAACAAATAATAAGAAACAATTTTAAAGTAATTTATATTTATCTTTATATATATATAAAAGAAAGTCGTGTTAGTGACTTCACTTATAACCCAAGAACGGCTGAACCGATTTAGCTGAAAATTTTCAGGGAGATAGTTTAGAACCAGGAAATTGCAATAGGATACTTTTTATCCCGTTCGACAGCATTCCCGTGGGACTTGACATGAAACGTCAGTCACTATGAAACGTGGAATAACACAATTGACAGCTATGCAATTGACGTATAATGACAGATATGTAATGACATATGGATGACAATTAGATATTTGTAAGAAATCTACTATATAAAAATAAAAATATTTAGGTATTGTGTTTGTAGATTGAACTCTTAAAACCATTTAGTATTTGTTGTATAAATTTAGAAAATCATTGTTTTTCACATGGGCAGTTATATTTTGCGTGTTCACGAGTTATGAAACCATACGCTTTATTTGTGTTAAAGTTAGACTAAAAAACAAAAAATGTGGTTTACAAAGGAGCACTTCAATGAAACGGATAATTTGCGGACACGTATAACGCTTCGATTCGGTATCTACTTTGGATTCACTTTCAACTAAATAACACTTCATTTTTGTAATCGAAATGAATTCATTACTGTTGTGAAATGAAATAAAAAATTTCCTTTTCAAATATAAAACAAAAAATTCTTCATCTTTTAATCACCAAACGAAATGTTATATAAAAGCCTTCTGGTGGCGAAACGGAGTTCGCCAGGTTTACTAGTTTTAAATATAATTAAAATAAGTACACTAATTTTCGAATAAAAATACAAAATATTAGTTACACGTATTATATTAATTAGTAATTACTAGCTGTTGCCTGCAGCTTTGCCCACATGAACCCTTTTTGAGATACACGTTATCATCCCTTTAGGTTTTATTCAATTTCTCGAGGACCCTTTTATCAGATCCTTTCTTTGTTCGAATAGAACTGCCTCAGGAGTCAGGACAACACCCTATCCATTGAAAATATAATTTTAAAATCGGCTCTAATTGACCGGTCTGTCTGATAACTGAGTTGTTTTTGAAGTCGATTTAAAAATTTCCTAAGTTACACTTAATGGCACTACTTACGTCCTAGTGAAATTCCCGTCAATTTAAATATGTACAGCCATTCTAGAGATTAGCTGGAATAAAGAGAAAAAGCCAAACAAAAATTTAAAAAATACCATTTCTAATTTTAAAACAAATTTCACATAAATTTTGTCAAAAGCTGTTTATTTGAAATTACAAACATACATGAATTTTATTTAACCCGCACCTTACAATAGCGCCATCTTCGCACCACTAGCAAAATTTTCAGGCATTGCTACTTAGTGTTACTCGCTTTCCACTCCTTTAACTTATCTGTTTTCAACCATAGATGTCTACTTAGGTAAATTATTCTATATTCAACGAAGATAAATTAAAATATTATATATTTCGTGATTTAAAAAATTATATATATTTATTGATTATTGTAAAGAAACTAGCACTATTATAATAACTTTTTACAATTATTAAATACATTTGTATCATTCATGTGCTTATGACAGCCGCTAGAGGCGACACAGTGACTTAGATTTACCGCATGCGTAGTTTCATTTCCTTTTTATTCAACGTTCCTTAATTTCATGAATGGCGATAGTTCACTAGCCGTCTGTAGACCAATAAATTTATTATTTAATGTTTGAAAATGTTAGATCAAACTTACAATTACAGTAACGAACCAATTAGATAGTGTTGTGATACGGAAACAAATTGGTTTCCCGCTTTTTGACAATAATAACGTAAGTACACTTTTTTCATATTTCCATCGATTTCATAAAGTATTTATATATAAAAAATCTCATTCGTAAATGGTGTTCATATCATTATTTGACATCGCACTGTTTATAGAGGAAGAAATTCCTTGAAAACAAAACTGCGGAAATTTTATCGATTTGACACTTTACCCCAATTCAATGTTGTGAATCGTTTCCATGCGAACTTTTTATGTAAGACGTGAACTTAACATTTACTTCCACAGTCCGCTGTTTGCTTAATTTATAAAAAATACGGTGCTAGTTTATTATTTAATTTAAAAAAAATGTAATGTATGTACTACAATCTGTAAATATAATACATATCTTATTGAATTTTATTTTGCAATACTACTAATTTTTATTAATAGTAGTATGTGATATTGTATTAAAAAAAAATACGTAGAACAATAAATGTTTTTAAAACGTAGTTAGAAAATAATAACGAGCAAAAAAAAACTGTATATTTTTTTGTTGAACAAGCGTTGTCTAAGTCATTAATACTTAATGACTACGTGTGCGCTGTTTCTTTGACTCACATTTCTTTACATCAAACCAGATCTCGGTCAAGGACTATATTTTTAAAACTTATCTATTCAAAGTAATATCATAACACTTAAATTATATCAGCATTTATATCATAGAGGTCTTACGTACTTTTAATTCTATGTCGCTTTGAGTATGGTTTAATAAAAATAGTAATATATTTTTACAGTTTAATCATGTCGAGCAGCCCTTTTCCATACACGTGTGAGTTATGTGGGGCAGAAGGCCTCACAGACGAGGGAATGCGGTCACATACTCTTGAGGCCCACGTGGCCGGGAGACCAGACTGCCCCTTCTGTGACTGCACAGTACCTCAACCACAGCTCGTAGGTCACGTCCAACGAGCACACTTACATTATCTGACGCCAGAACGAGAACTCATGGCGTTCATTGATGATCAGAGCCCAAGGTAAGTTTGGCAGCCGGGTCTGAAGGTGACAAAAGTTACAACAAATTTATTTCTATGCTTCATAAAATTTTGCTAGCTTCATGATATAAGGCATATTACAATAAATATCCGCAATACCTCACACCGAAAAGCATATTAATAAGATGGCGTCCTGCCAACGGAATATTAATATCGGGCGATCTTGTCTCGGTCAAGAAACCTGCACATATATGGGTTATTCAGTTAGTATTACAATTGATATTGTTACTAGTGGCGCCATCTGCACCCTGCTAATTATAATATACTATAACAATTACAATTGTTTTTATAAATGATTATTATTAATTATAATACTGAAGCATCGTAATTTTGTACTAGCAATATTTAAGTATCAACTTATATTTGAAAACTGTAAATACTGGCTTCAACCATTTTGTAGGACATTATTGGAAGTAACGTTGAATATTACAAAACAACTGAAACTGTACCTCGTACAAGAAAGCACTTCCAATCATTAAAACAACTGCAACTAAATATACATTTTTCTTACTATAAGTTATAATAGTCATTTGACATGTCGACTTACTTAAAAGCCTTCTTTTCTTCACACATACTAAAAATCTCAAATACTTCATGTAAAAGTAATATCGATACATATAAATATGGTATTAATTAAAGTTTCGAAGAAGATTCCAAAATGACGACAACAGATAGCTGCAGTTACAACACGCCGGGCTCTATGAACGGCTGGCACAGCCCCGAGGTGACGTCCTACCACAACGGCGCCATTTCAAAAAACTACTACAACGGCTTCCAAGACAAAGACAATTATAGAGAAAAAGATGACGATAAATACTCGCGTTCACCCAAAAATATTAACCTAACAAATGGCATGAAGAGCATGAACATCAATAATACGGCGAAAAAGAAATGCAGCAGAGAGAACTCCATCGACCGTGATTATATTAATGGACACGATAAAAAAGGTATTATATGTCGGCGTAATGACGTAATAACGATGAATGGAGTGTGGAATAACATTCAATTTGATTACATTTCAATAAACTTCGATGTTTTTATGTTAATATCAGTATTATAACTGACCTACTTTTTTCTTATGTTATATTTTATGTATACAAAAGAAAATGTTTTTTTTTTCAGCTGCACATACTAACTCAAACCATAACAGTAACGATAGCTCACCAAATAAAAATAAAGTGGGTATTGTATACGAAACATTTTTCTAAATAAAATTGTGTACGAAAATATATGTTATAAATTTATTATTATATTTACAGCTAACAATGGCAAGTGCGGGTCAAGGGTCGCCTCTTAGGTCACAACTGGCACTTAAACTGAAATCCAATACGCCTAAAAAGAATGCGCCAACACCCAGCCCTACGGTACAGGTATATAAAGAACATTTATATAAAATAAAGAATATAAACTATCAAAATTCTATCTCTAGGCCTTTTTGAAATATAATCATATTAACATTTAAAAAAAAAACCGTAAAATTGAAGTCCTTTGCTTTATATATGACAAAACAAAATATAGATGGAACCAAAAATAGCTGTCAAAACTTATAAACGTCAAATTGAAAAAGAAAAATGTTTTAGGCGCGAAATTTTGGTTCTTAATAAGTTTTTTAGTATAATCAATTTTAACTATTATAATAAAGAATATAAAATACTTATATATATTTTCAGTGTCTTCTATGTGACTTTAAGTCGACATGTCCAAGAAAACTCGAAGAGCATATAAACCGGGCTCACTTTGATTTAACATCTCCGTCAGTGTTGGGAAATGCCAATGATAACTCCAATATTACTAACAACGCTACACTGAGTCTTAGTAACGCCACCATAACGCTGGATAATCCTACCCTGGCGTTAAGTGCTATGTCAATATCACCAGGACCGCATTCTTCGAGCTATCAATGTCCTATATGCGAAGTCGAATTTTCCAATGGCTCGGAGGTCGAAGTTCACGTCAATGTTGAGCACAGGGATATCTTAAGCCCACAGAAATCTGTATGTCACATAAATTATCTATTACTCTTATTAATATCCAAAATTATGGTTGTATAAATATTATATATTTAATTTAAGGACCAAGCGGACAATGCTTTGTGTGATGATGTAGTTATGATGGAAGAGAGTCCTGTTAGTAATTGCCCTGTCTGCTGTCAACCGTTGCCTCTATCACAACATGAGTTGGTATGAACAATGAATTCAAGATAAAATTAAAAACAGTATATAGTAAGTTATTAATATTAATGTACAAAAAAATAATTTCAGATTCAGCACATAGAAGAACATTTCGAGAGAGGTGAAGATGGAACGGATTCTGTGACGGCTGCTGAAAGAGAAGCTCAGAAAAACAGAGAGGAACAGGAGTTTCAATTATTAAAAGTAAGATGAAGTGCAGTGGACCCCCGGTAGTCCCACAAACATTTTGCAGGGCAGTGTCGGACTATTGAATTCGTCGGATTATAGAGTACTGCCTAAGACCCCCTATAGTCCGGATTTTTTTACAAAAGAGTACCTTGTAATCTGACAAATTACAGATTCAATGATAAGATTATTTACATATTATATATACATACATATGTTAAGTATATATGTACTCTGAAGTACAAATTCAAATTCCAACTAAGCAATCAGAATCAAAACAATAGCCTATGCATCGACCACAATAGTGATGGTGTGTACAAGTTGTAACTTGTTCAATCATGCAGTAGCAAATACAAAATATGTATTCAATAATAAATAATAGATCATGTCGGATTACAGGGGGTGCCGGTTTAGACAGGGTCCCTGTATTGAAAAAAATTACTTAATATGATAACTAGTAATTGTCTTTATACCAGTAGATTCTAGTATTACTTAATACCTAAATAGTGTAGTCTTATTGAATTGAATTGAATCTAAATTTTTTGAACCTGAATTTTACAATCAAAATGATGAATTTAGTGTGTAAATTCTTAGACCATTAAATCCTAAGGTTTCCAGAACTTTTTCCAGAGTTTTAAACATGATATTAAGTATAATGACAAAGTGATGAAAAATATATAAATTACACATATTTCATGCATATATCTCCTAAGAATAATTATCAAATTAAATAAACTACTGAAATAAAGTGTTGTGTACAGAAAGTCATACTAAACTTTTATATATTATAAGAATTAATTTGTAAAGAAAATCTGAATAAAATTTATTCCTCCAAAACAATATAGATAGAAATAAAATTATATTATAATAATTTATTATTACTATAGACAAAAATAAAAAACATTAATATCATAGAGCAATATAAAATGATATCTATAATTTGTCTCTTTTAATCAGGCTCAATATGGTATGGAAGAAGACGAGGAAGGTTATACAAGCCGTGCAGCCAGCAGTCTTAAGAGGGCCGTGTACAGCGGAGCCCTATCTGTGGCGGGGTACTACGAACGGAGTGTGGGACTTAAGAAGGCCTCCGCTCAAGGTGTAGATGCTGGTTGCTCTAAGACAAATGGTATTTACCTTGAAAATTATATGTTCTTGATATATTCCTAAGTATATAAGTGCCAAAACTTAGTAGCGGCCTAGTGGTTAAAAGGTCCACCTCTCATGCATGAGGGCGCGGGTTCGATCCTGGCCCGGGCAAGTACCAATGTGATTTTTCCGAGTCATATGTATTTTCTAAGAATAATTAGACATCACTGATAAATACTGATTCCCAAAGAGGGTTGATGTCAGGCAGGCGGCCGGTCGTAAAAATAAATAGCCAAAACTATTCACAACATGTAAGGCAGACCTTGGCTATAGCTGGGAAATTCCCAGGTAGAAGAAGATATTCCTTGGTATATGAAATAATTATATAAGCATATAAATTGTGACTTAACTAGTTTTTGCCATATTTGTTCCCATTTTGAGAGAGAAATATGATTAAAGTCTACTTAATACAATGTTCACAAATATTCATCTATTGTATGTAGTGTGAAGTCATATGATACTACATACTACTGTTCTCACGTTGAAATTCATTTATTATATTCACTATATACTGAATTTTATAACTACAAATTAAAGGAGAATTTCGTCAAAATAAATTCAGTATATTTTATCTAAATGATCAACGAACATACATACATCCTCAAAAACGATCATTATATATATTTGTCTTTTAATTAATTTATTTTTTTATTATTCTTTATTGCACTAAAAGAAATGTACAAAGGGCGGACTTGACGCTGTTACAGCATTTTCTGCCAGCCAACCCAGAATAGTGAAGGAGAGTAGTGAGTAGGATGTGCACAGAAGTTAAAGAAAAATTTAAAATATATACATAGTATAAAATACATAAATATACATATACATAAATATGCACAAACAAATACATATACAAGTATATAAATTAGTAAATCTAATGTATTAATATTCTGTTCCAGGTATATTAGAGAGGATAGCACAGTTGAATGCTCAAAACCCGAGCATTGTTAAGACATATCTATGTAGTGCAGTGGATCACTACGCTAGTACATACGGAGACAGAGGATGGGGCTGTGGTTATAGGTAAATTAATATATTATGCTAAAAATTATATATATGTATATGTATATACATATATACCAGCTGACCCCGCAAACGTTGTTTTCCCATATAAAAAATAGGGGTTGGAGAAGAAAAAGAAAAATTTTGGGATGTATGTATTTTTTAATGCTACGTTATAAAAAAAAAAGAAATAAAAATTAAGGGTGAACAACCCTTATGACTTAGGGGTATGATAAATAGATATGCTACACAATATGCTCACAAAATTTCAACAAAATCGGTCTAGCGCTTTCGGAAGTGTTCTCTGTCTAACACCGCGACACGAGAATTTTAAATATAAGATATCACTGGATTCTGCTTATGTTTTATCTCATATTCACTCTAAATCTTATGAAAATTAATGCTTATACAGGGTGACTGGTGAATTACTATCAATATTTAAGGAGCATACTCGGTACATGATTCTCATTCGAATTATGTAAAAAAAATAGGTACTTAATTTTTGACCAAATTTCCGTATAAATAAATAAAGTGTGTACACGTTCCAAGTATTCTAAGTGTGGACGTGTGCGGCGGCGTGCTGATACAACACTACGCCGCCGCCGCGTCTGTGTGAGTGTGTGTGTATACCTAATCTGTAGGGTGTTCATACGATGCGTAATTAATTACATAACTTTTGGTTAACTTTACTTCGAAGTTTATTAATATTTATGTTATATTAATTTTTATTTTGTCATATATGATCGTCAAATATCATGTCCTCAAGTATCGATAGCAATTCACCAGTCACACTGTATATTGTAAAACGATTTTTATCTTTGACTTCTTTTAAGGCAATATTTGAGCTTAGATATTACTAACTAACTTTAATTTCATACTTCGAGTACCAAATAATGTAGTTTGAGACTACTAATAAATTTAATAACTAATCTATATATGAATAATTCTATTCTAGGAACATGCAAATGTTACTATCTTCTCTGTCACGCCATGGGCCATACTTAACTCGACTGAATGAGGGTTTAGGGGGTGCGGAGGGTGCAGGATGCGTTGGGGGTGCAGGGTGCGTTCCATCTATACCCAGCCTACAACTGCTCGTAGAGAGAGCATGGCAGATGGGATTTGATACCCAGGTACTGTATTCCAATGTATCCCTACTAATACTATAAATGCGAAAGTAACACTGTCTGTCTGCTTGTTACGCTTTCACGCCTAAACCACTGAACTTATTTTAATGTAATTTGGTACAGAGCTAGAGTTGACCTTGAGAAAGAACATAGGATAGTTTTTTATCCCAGACTTTTGAAAGATTCTCCTGGAAACGCGATATAACGGAACTCCGCGCGGGCGAAGCTGCGGGCTGAAAGCTAGTATATATATATATGTTTGTGATAGAATGATTTCATAAATGTTCCAGGGTTCAGAACAGCTCGGCTGCAAGCTTCATAACACAAGGAAATGGATTGGAGCTTGTGAGGTGGTTACTGTACTATCATCACTGAGAATACGGTATGAAAAACAATATAAGCCCTAGTAGGTTCTTTTCAAATTTGGTTAGGTAGTGAGAGGAGCTTGGACAGTGGAGGTGAAGGTATAACGCGCGTTAGTTAAGGGGCCCCTTAAACCTACACCTGGGTCGCAAGTCCCAGGCACTGTTGAAGCTCCTCTAACTGCAACGCGATGGACCCGGCACCCGCACGGTGAATCCATGGAATGCTGAGAAGTTTCGTCTCTCTTATGATACACAATAGAAGCAATAAAGTTAGGTGGCTGTGTTAAAGAATGATATAAAAGTAGAGTGACAAACAGATGAATAAATAAACATTAGTGTTAATGATATTTTTCTATAAACTTTACATACACTATACATAAAGTTTCTAATAATTTCTAAGTGTTGTGAGTTATCCTTTGTCTGTATCATTAAATAATATGATGTCAAGCATAATGTAGGAATCAATTTATCACATTGCTTTATGTTAGCTCTTAATACTTACAATACTAAGCAATACATATTACGAATTGAATATAGTTTTATTAAACAATCAATCATATTAATGTGTTCTATTTAACATATAGTAATTTATACATATATTGTTTTCAGCTGTCAATTAATAGACTTCCACAAGCCAACGGCGGCTGACGGCTCTCATCCTGCGCTCTTCGACTATGTGTTGAGATACTTCACACATGATCCAAACGCGTTCAAACCACCGTTATACCTTCAACATCAAGGTAAAGGTCAAGGGTTAAACAAGGGGCAAGGGTCACACATCGACCTTATAACTGCAAAAAGTTACAAGTATAGTAAAGTCATACAATGACAAGAATATTGTGGTTGTTTCACATTAAGTAAATTTGGCCGTAAATATTTGAACTTATTGTAGATTATACTTATAATGGCTTAAAACCAAAGCCTAGTATTTTGTATAATTATAATTTTAATGAAACTGTTATATTCTTATAGACAGTCTGTATTTAAGAATATCATTATGACAAAGAAATATATATTTCAGGACACTCCAGAACAATCATTGGTTATGAAAAACACAAGGACGGTAAGGCGACACTACTAGTTTTGGATCCATCGCATTCCCCGGCACAGGTTAACTATTTTTACTCATAATAATAAATAATTTATTCAATAACAGATATAAATGTATACAAAAAACTATATGTTATTGTTGACATAAAATACATTTACGATTTTCTTGTTAACTAAGCTATTAGTAATTAAAAAATAAGCTATTAGTAACTAAGATATTAGTAATTAAAAGTAGTAGTAGCTATTTTAACTCACTACGATGTAGATTGTAGCTTCATATATTACAAGTAGCGACATCTTTTTTTTACATTATTATCAATCGCAATTTCCAAGCCAGATTTAGCTCAATATTGTTTTATTTTTTTATAATACAAACGGAACTGGTTTTATCTTAGAGTGTATATGCATTACGTAGAGAACCAGCGGTTCCAGGAAAACTACGAAACTTACTTATATATATATTATAATAAAAATGACATGTTAAAACTTATAACCTACACCTAAGACTACATGATTGACCCGATGTTAGGATAGCAATACTATTCCATAGCTTCTGTGGTATCAGGAATCTTTTGATTCACACGGCTTGGTGTTCGATCCGCGCAGTCAGCGGCGTCACTCGTTATATGATATCTATTGCCCCGGCGATGTTCAATTATTTCTTAATATGTAACATATATCTAAACGTTGTATAATCTTTGTTATGTAGGTCCGGCAAGTGTCTGTAGGGTCGTGGTCATCAGCGGCTAGCGCACTCCGTTTGCTACGACGAGGAGCCCCTGCGCTTCGAGCGAGACAGTACCAACTGTTATGTGTGGATGGACTCATCACCACTGACCAGGAGTACCAGGTGATGTACCACCTACCATCTATATATACCACTTACAACCTATATATACCACTTACAACCTATATATACCACTTACCACCTACCTCCTACATATGCAATTCATAGACGGTCTCATCACCAATAGACAGGAATATAAGGTGATGTACCATCTACCACTTACATGACTACCTACCACCTACAACATATATTACCTCCAACAACAAAATTTACTAAAACTTCATAGTTCAACAGATTTTTATGTACATACATACTGCCAGTTTAGCGTACAGATATATTTCTGTTATGATTACTATATGTTGTTCTAATATTGAGTTTTTTACTAAAGAACATATTGTTTTCATCTACAACTATCTATGTTTCTTATGATAGATTTTTCTTTTGACTATTTCTATACTATCAGAACATATACAATATTCAGTAATAATGTTTAAATATTTTTCAGGCTAGCAAAGTTCTTCAGTCTGTCCGAGTTCCCTAGTTCAACAAGATACTATCTGTTTTATAACATGGACTTAATTAATATTTATACTATCATTTAGATATGTTTTAATGTAAATTCTAAGTTCCTTATATATTATGTTCATAGTACTTTCTATTAATGACTATATGTTGTGATCTCATATAATTCCTCTTCTTTACTACCTCACTATGTGTTGTCAATTGTTTGTAATAATCAGTTAAACAACGATCCCTTATTAAAATTAATTCTAGTTTAAAATCTAACGCACTGTTTAAATTTATTCAATAGTTTAAACTTTATTCTTTTATTTTGTTAGTCTGACTAAATAGGTATTAGTTGCATTCTGATCATAAAACCTACTAAATAATTTATTTTCTTTAATATATAAATTTAATTTATAACCTAGTCTTAATATTAGTAATAGTACACATGTAATGAATGCTTTAAGGCATTGCCTTCGATCGTGTAAGTAAAGCTTAAGGTCACATAATTTTGCACTCACGATAGTTCCTAAAGGAATTGCAATTAGATAGGTTGAAAAGCGAGTTGTGTGGAAATTATTATAATAAAATTGGTTTAACCTGTATCAAATTATTTCAAGGGAAAATGTAATGCTTTAATCTTAATACTATTTAATCACAAAAATAAATTAATGAAACGAAAATTTTAATTGTCATAATATTATTTAAAATCTTGATTACTAACGTCGGTTCTAAGAATCGGATAATTCCATTTAATTTTCATACAAATGTAACTATATAATAATGTATTAAATGTAACGGTGATTTTATTTTATTGTTGAAATTAAAATCATTATCGTTTTATTTAATGTTATATCTGACATTTTTATGAAATATTTGACAGTTATTTACTAATGTCAAAATTTCATTGAAATGTATTAATTATCTATTGAATGTCAATTATTGGACAAAAAAACATATTCGGTTAGTTGTTGTGTAATTTTAGTGAAACGACCAATGGTTATTCGTCTAGGATTGTTGGTAGATTCGGAAATAACTTGAAAATTATGTTAAATATTATATTATTTTATATAATGCTTCCCTGTGAGAATTTTCTGTTGATAGTCTCGCTTAGATAATTTCATTTGAACGCCGGTTCGTGGTTGTGGTCGATGCAATACTCGTAGACATCAATTAATTAACATAACTATTAATTATATAAGGAACATTAAAATTATTTTGAATCGAATATTTTTGTAATCGTCACTGATCCGTTTCTTCTAGTCGGCTGTAATATAATCGTAGGTTAATAGCGCACTCATTCATGTGATATTTATTCAGAATCCGCTTATATTTTGTAAGGTGAAAGTTTCGATACAAGTCCGAGCACCTTATACTTGATTCAACCTCGGGGTCGCGAGATGAGGCTTTAGTCACCAATATTAGAAGTTCTGTGATAGATGTGAAGTTTATGAATTGAAGGGTCAAGTTGTCTGGTCAGGAGTTAGTGCCGGGAGCTTGGTAGGAGCAGCTAGGCTGTGCTACAATGTTTCTTCAATAAACTATCATAAGTTACAGAATGTAGTTTTATTTTAATGAAAAGTCATTGATATTTTTGAATAAACTTTATTAAAAAAATATGATTCACAAATTCTTGTCATTCAGACATTTTGAAAAGGCTACAATATATTATAAATTGTCTTCAACCATTTTTACATAGCAAGATATTTATAAAAACTTTTTGTCTGCTTCATAATATATATTTATGCTATTAGATACACAAAAAAATGTCACTATATATATTTAAGCTTATATAAATATATTATACATATATAAGAGTATATTTTTAAGCTCAAAATATTTTCACATAAGTTACTAGACAAGTTTGTTCATTGTTACTTACACGTGACTGCTTATCTTCTATAAAATAAATTATTTATAAGACAGAAAATAAGAAAAATGATTCCAGTACAATAATAATTAGAATTTATTTAAACTAATGGTAAATTATTATATAATTGTAATAAAAATTGATTACTTACAATATAATTCACTCTAGTAATTATGTTCTAATTAAGATGGAGATGGAATAATGATTATATCATAAAAAATACTGTATTTATTACTAAATTTACGCTTTACAACTTTGTAAGTTACTGAGAGTGAAAATTGACTTTGAAACATTATTGAAATGTCACAAAGATCACAACTGGAGCATTATACATAATTAACTAATGGCTCACAAAATAAAATATTCACAGACAAGAAAAATTTTACTAGAAGCCTGCGATAAACGAACGGTCGAATACTGAAGTATTTTAGGAACTAATAACGATCGTTAAGATTCTTTATAATTCCAAAAAATAATACGAAGCAATAATCAGAGACAAACGAAGACATCCATAGACAAACCTCTTTATCACAGTTGTCGAAATGCACGAACATCTAGCCCTCTACACAAGCACTCTGTAAATGCAATGGAAGAAATCTAACTTGTAATGTAGTAAATAAACTGACTTAGCTATGGAGGCGGTCTGAGGGACAATTAATTAATTATAATGCAAAGCCATTATATTCATCGAGTATTTCAGTGTAGAGGGATTGCATTGTCTCGTTATAAAGCTAGGTGCGAACATGGCGTTAACTTACTATCTATGTCTTACGGTAAGTAACGAGACTTGTCTATGGTCGATTTTGAAACGAACAAATGATTTGAATACTGTTTGAAAAATAACTAGTATTCAAACATTTATTCCGACACAATCACGCCGATAAACTAGAATGGCCGAGTTCTGAACCGTCGTTATACATTTAATACGTACTTATTAAAAAATACTTAATTAACTATAAGAAGTCTCGTATTTTGAAGATATTATGAATTTTGGTCCCGGAATGAGATTTATAAACGATTATATTGTAGTATAGTAAATATTGTAGATTTTAAATCAATGTTAAACATGATTTACATAGTAGAATATTATAGAAAGGCCTTCATTAGTAATTACGAGACTTCTATTTTAAAACTAATCATATGAGTCGGGTTTCCTTGTGATACATGAATCAACGCGGCCGGACACATCACAATCCATTTATAAACAGTCTTTTTTTGTTATTTTTTTTTAATATTTTTTTCTTTATGTCCACAGCTCGAGATATTTGTATGAAATGTTGACTATATTAAATACTACTGAGATTCGTCTCTAACTGCGACGTACATTTAATATAAGATGGTCTCTGTATAATTGGTTGTACATCATATTATACTCAGTCAAGTATAATTTTCAAAATTGTATACAAAATTTATATAATTATCAAAATCTATTTTTTAGTATAAGAATATCAAAAGAGAATAACTAGTGATGGTGTGGAACATATCAGATGTTTATAAAAGATAGAATTTTGTTTTTGAAAAAAAAAATAATTTTGTTTGAGAAAAATCAATTTAAATTTAAAACTGGGATACATCTTACTGTAGCATTGAGATTTAGATTGTTACTAACAGTAACGCAAAGTCAGGAAAAAAGTTTATAGATTGAATATAAAGTCAAAACGTTTTATCTAACCGTAAATGGCATTGGGTCGGAATTAGTTTCACCAACAGCCACTAGATGGCGTTGTTTCATTCTCGCCACCGAGAGATGACGCTAGTGTGTTTTAATAATAAACTAAGCCTGTTGTTCTCTCAATGGAGTGAGTTCCTTAACGACCGGCTTGCTCCAGGGCTGCAGCTCTCCGGAGCCGAAAATTAAGAACACCAGCGCCCCACACGCGTACGTCCCCGCTAAGATGAAGAATACTATCTGCCATTGCTCGTACGTGTTCTGAGAAAAAATATTTTAAGATTATATACTAAGTAAATACGAATATTTTGTTATTTTAAAACTAAACACTCCAGACGTTTCGGTTACTTTGCAACAATCGTAATCACGAAGACCAGATGTGGATGTATGTGACACGTCGGAAGTATGTAATTTAGAAATACATAATAAGAAACGCATAATCCGAAAATATTAGTTTCGTTTAAATGAATAGGTGCGAAAGTCTTAGATCTCATTTCCCTTAATATTTTTCACTATAATATCAACAAAGAAAACAAGTTATAGTTTTTAAGATAAAAATTACGACATGATAGTAAAAGTCATACCGGTAAATTTGCATCTATTTTCTATTGGAATCGACTAATTGATACTGCATACTTTTAAACATAAGTAATAAAATTATTGTGTTATACTAAGAAATGTATAGTATGTACATATAGAATTACCTCATGCTTAGTGAGTTCTCCGACCATGAATGTGGACAGCCAGCCACCGAATGAAGATAAAGTATTTGCTATACCGAAAATAGTACCTGGAATATATAGGCAAATGATTACATTATAAAATGTATATAAGAATTATATCGTCACTGTAATAATATAAGTATATAAGAATAATTATTTAAAGTTATCATTTGGTATGAATTACTACTGTACTTGTACTTTTTTATCCTAAGGCTTCATTTGCACTGGAATTATGAAATATTTTGCCAATGTTTTTATTTGTGGGACGAATTATAATCTTGAGTATTGTGTGGTAATACGAAAGAGTTTGTCGAATTGGATAAAGGCGTTTATTTAATTATTATTATTATTTAACGAAGACTAAGTTGTATTTTGTATTATTTTTATTAACTAAGTAAACATTCACACGTCATATTTCCCGTCCGTCACAAACATTACACACGTCATCCGAGTCGATGTAAATGATAATAATCAAAACAGTTTTCCTTGTTTGTAAATAAAATAATTACATCATATTGATTGAATATAAGATTGTTCAAGAATGTTATAATTAAAAATAATTTATTATGTATTCTACATATATTGTGATTATATTTACTATGTTGGCGACTTTGTTTACGATTAATTATATGTAATAATTCAATTTATAAAAATATAAATAATCTAAGCTAATGCATTGAAATTATTGCATAAAGAGACAGACAGTACAATTTTACTTTTATATACATGTATACATGTGTATGTATGTCTGTATGTGTGTGTGTGCATGTGTGTGTGTGCGTGTGCGTGTGCGTGTGCGTGTGCGTGTGCGTGTGCGTGTGTGTGTGTGTGTGTGTGCGTGTGCGTGTGTGTGTGTGTGTGTGTGTGTGTGTGTATGTGTAATATATTTACCGCTAAATTTGGGTGCGATGTCAAGTCCGTTTCCAAGGTAGCCAGCTGTTACAGCCCCGTTGATAGTGAGAGCGGCCGTGAATATAGCGATGGACCACACACGCTCGTAGCCGAAGTACGCCTGCATCACCATCATCACACCTAGAACAAACTCTTTTTACGAGCCGTCTAACCGGCCTTAGTGGGGCCGGAAGGGATGTGTGAGGCTCGGCCTGGGCAAGCCCCTACTCACTAAAACCACTGCGAAAGCCATCGGCCGCTATGTTGATGTACCCCGGATCTGTCAGCTACAGGGCATACCAGCGAAACATTATTTATACTACTGGAATTATATTTAAAGGGGACTAGAATTCAATATTATTTGTGAATAAGAATTATTGGTAGGCTTCTATTAATTTTACTTTTGTTAGATCGTCTACTTAAAGATATATGCAGGGTAAAATTTTGATATCAACAGAAATAATAAATCTAGGATTAGATATGATATCTAGGTTTAGATGAGTTTACATTATAAATTAAGATATGTAAATATTAAATTAATGCGTTAAAAGTTCACCAAATATGTAGTATTTCAATTTATTATGAATTGATGAAAAAAAACTGAAAGACACATTTTTAACTTGTTAAATTACATTCCATTGGTTACGGATTCGTTATCCTATAGTCTAAATAAAAATTTATAACACTATATACAAACATAGTTAAGTTCACGAATTATCCTACTAATATTATAATTGCGAAAATTTTGAGTGTGTGTGTATGTTTGTTACTTTTTCACGCTCAAACGGCTGAACCGATTTTGATAAAATTTTGTATACAGCAAGCTGACGTCCAGGAATTACACATAGGTTACTTTACATCCCAGAAATCCGTGGGTAACACCGCGGGGCGCAGCTAGTATATTAATAAACATACACATTATTTATAATATATTTGTGTGTATATAATGCTAGTACTCACCAGGTAGTCCCACAGCGAATCCAGTGAATAGCTTCCTAGCTGCAGTCGTGGAGAGCTTTCCACTTCGTCTTAATGAGTCCGCTAATACAGATGAGGCGAGGGCGCACAGGTACTTGCCCAGGTACGGTAAAGATGATAGAAGACCGTTCTGATGATAAAGTAGATATTAAATGATAAATAAGAGTTAAGACCAATTTAAACTAATTTAATTTAAATCTCTAAATATATTTAAAAAACGATTAAGAACCCATATATTAGATGATTTCACTGATCTTGTTTATTTAATTTATAATTTTTAAAAATTTCCTTTGTAAATTGTAAGCAAACTTTGTTCTTTTTGTAAATAAACTTCTTTAAACCTAAGACCAACTGACAGTCATTCACATCTCGTCTTAATAATCACGGTTGTTGTAAAGTTATGTAGTTTTTTAGCAAAAATAAAGTCGCGTAAATCTGAAAAATATTAGTTTCATTTAAACGATATTAAATACTTGGTGAATATAATTATATATTGTCTTGGTACAAAGACAAAGTATATACCAAGATTTAGCTATACTGAAGTATGTATATTAAATTTTAAGGCGATTAAAAAAGTTTGTATAAGTCTTTTATAAAAAATAAATAATGAACATATATGTATGCAATCTTTTGAATGATTTTGAATTAGGAATCTTTAAAATTATACCTATCCTATCCTAATCGGTAGTACTTGTTAAGTTAAAGTTTTTTTTATACATAAGTATTTCTAAATATAAAACCTCATTTCTTTAACCCGCTAACATAATGTGTATCTAAAAATAACCACAGCCCTAGAATGCTAAGATGGCGCTTGTAAACGGTAGGAATTCTCGTCAGGCGCCATTTAACTTTTTTTTTTTTTCGTCTTGATAGAAAGTCACGTGCAATAACATACGCCATGTTTAATTAGTATTTATGCAATCGCCTCCATTAAAATAGACTATGAGAATAAAAAATGTATTAACATATTTATATATACATAGATAGACAAAAGAAATTAAATATAAGAACTACATATTCTTGGGAATTTAATTAGTATTAATTATTATTATTTCGATAGTCTGTAATATATTTTAATATTTATGATAATAAAGCCAGTTTTTTACTATATCATCGGCCTCTGTAAGGTTTACCTTCGGCTGTCGACCTGTGAGTAATTTTTTTTTTTCCAAGTACCGATGACTCAGGACGTCGCGTCCGTTCATTTCTCATTCGTTCCAATTATTCAAATTAATTCAATTAATTTATTTATATTCAGAAATAATTCAATTAATTTATCAATTATAATTGCAACTGCAATTTTTGAATAATTTAGATAGTATATATTTAACTTTTTAACTAAGCGAATATTTTCAACAATTTCCTATAGTACTAATAGATACAGTAGTACAAACATTAATTCAAGGTTGATAATGAAACTGGTTTGAACATTGACAAATAACTATGTTAGGATCGACGTATTGAGTATGATGTACATACTGGTTGTGTAGTTAATGAGAAACATGTAGATACATACAGAATACACAACACTCTTTAGGGCGGTTTCAGACTAGCGTTTTATACGCGCGTATGAGCTGGTTTTTGGAAGCGCATGTAGGCGCGTAAAGGCGCGCCTTTTGGCACACGCTCAACTCGTACGAGCGTTGACGCGCTTCTAAGCTCGTATAAGCCCGAGCCGCGAGAGACATCTCTCCGTAAAGTGTATTAAAGTGACCGGTTATCAGTCTTGATGCAACTATCGGTGACACCCAGCACTTTTTCCGTCGACGGCGAATAAGTAACGCAAAAAGTAATGTTTCTTCGTCAGAATCCATGTTGATACTGACACGATACCACCGGTTCGAGCGAACACGCCGAAATATGCGCGTTTGCGCGCGTCCGGTTTTTTGAAGAGTGTAATGTAGCGCGCGTGTAAGCGCGTATACTGAAACGACCGTATACGCGCTGAAAAAAACGCTAGTCTGAAATCGCCCTTATACTGTATTAAGTAAGTCAGTTTGTAAGTTCGAGTCAGGTAAATTTCAAATATAATTTTTTAGTCCACAGTCAAAAGTAACTAATGTTTGAACAGTACTTATTTTATGTTTTTAATTTTAAACATTTATAATACCTTCGTTCGTAAATAAATGTTTTAATAATACACATGTTAAAAACGCGAAACTTTGTTAAGATTTATCGTAAAGATGTTTGTAAGTCATTAATACGAAAACTACAAAACGGATTTTATTGAAGCTTTTCAGTTATGTAGTTCTGACACTAGGAAAGTACATAGGAACCAATTTTTCTCTTAATTACGCTTATTTTGCCATTTAATCATTGTATAATAATTGTATTTTGCAAGAAGTCACAGAAATATAGATTCCGCCACTGTTGTTTACGATATAAAAATCCTCTCGGATCGGGTAAGTTATAATTTTTATTTACTATTATTAACAACCTAATTTCTATGTTATTTTTCAGTACTCACTAAAACGCAGAATACCAAAGAATATTCTATATAAATAAAAATAAATAATAACTAATTCAAATGAGATGTTCACTGTGTACAAACCTTTACGTACTAAAATATAATTTTATGTCTCAAGATTAAATCGATATTAAATTTTAATAGAATATAAATCTTAATGATTACGAAATAAGGATCATTATAGATGGAGGTGTGGTCGCAGGTAATTGCAGGCGCCGTGAATCTTAGCCGGTGAAAAATTACTTTATACGATATTCATTAGTTTGAGTTAATTTAATTTATATATTATAATTAGTAAAGAAAAACAATTCTGAGAGATTGTATCTGAGATTTTTGTGTACATTTAAATGATACTAAGTTTTTCGTATAGTATGTATGCGTTTAATATTATTTTATATCTACATACTTCTGACGTTTCCGTTACGGTATAGCAATCGTGATCATGAAGACAAGATGAAATCATTTAAAACCTAATAAAATCATAGTATCCGAAAATCTAAGTTTCATTCATTTTGAAAGATTTTTCATATAAATTTTAATTATTAACTTATAAAATATATTTGATGTATAATAAAGTAAAATTTTAGTTTAATGAAATATGAATTCAATTATCAAAATCTTTACAATCTAATATGTAAAGGCCTTGCCAATTGCATTATTTTTAATCCTTGCTACAAATATACATCTTCACAATTAAATACGATAAATATTATAGAAAAAGCAATTATTGAATAGAAAACGGAAAACTATAGGTTTGTAGTTTTAACATTTAAACTTGTAGTAAGCATTTCATAGCCATCGGTGAAATACAGTTGTATTAAGAGTGAATTACGTCAATTGTATCGTTTATTGGTCTTTCAATTCCTTGTCATTCATCCTGTCATCATCATAATAGAGATTTCCGGATTAACTTGAATAATTTTGCTTACCACAAGTTTGTATAAACACACTACGTACGACGCGTTTGTCGTTACGTTAAATAATCTACGCTGATACTGTGAGATTTATGAATGAAAAATTGTTGACGATCCCTGTATAGATAAGAACTTCTGATAAGATTAAATTAAAACTGGTTGTATGCGGATTTACACAGTACTATAATTTTAATGTTAAAAATAATATTTTACGTAAATTGAAAACTAAAGTACATATATTGCTTGAGTGTGACTTTAAATAGTATTTTGGTCAAAATACAAATAATTTTTATAAAACTGTAGTAACATGTTTAATAAACAAATGCTAAGTCAACATAAGTTAAAAATCTTTTTTTATTGAAGGCTTTAAAATTTAAAAATACTTCATACTAATCCGAGATGATAGGTAAACCATAGCTATGTCAAACAAACGAGATAAATCTCTTGAACAGAATAACGCACAAGTCTTAAGAAATAATAAAATTTTGTACGTATATTTTTTTACGAGTCACGTATTTAGTACAATTCCAATAGCTAAGGTAGTTCTAAATTTACCTACAGTTATAGAGTACCCTCTTAAATTTTTTAAAGAAAAATAAGTTCTTTGATATTACGAATTTGTTAATATTAATTAACTATTTATAATACTTCATGTATTCTTTTTTTATAAATTAGTTTTATACATAATTGAAATTTATATTAAACCCGGACTTATCTATATTGAGAATGATTTTTAAAGAAAAAGGAAATTAATTAAAAAATATACTATTAATTTAAGAAGTTATATTATTATATCGTTAAACGTAAATGATTTCATGAGACAGATGTATTGAGTGTTGAACGTGTCGATTCTTTAATACGACACAAATTATAAGCGCAAATACTGTTAGACATTCAGTTTTATGAAAAAAACCTCATAATCACGTGAATTTACAAGATTAGATGTATCTTCCGTCTTTAAAACCTGACAGTATTACAACAATATTTGACGAACAAATAATACTATTGTAATGGGAGATACGGTTATGTAGGGTGACCATCACTATATGTGACATTGAGGATATTTACACGGAATTATAGAAATAAAAACGGATCTTGTATGAAGGATTCCGATTTGATTTTGGTTTTATAAACATTTTTTAGAATGTCTAAAACTAAATTGTAATATAGATTGTACTGAATCGTTTCAAAATGTATGGAGCTACGTGAAGGGAAGTTAGCTTAGTAAGGTTTGCAGTATATTGCTTCAGTGGATTATGTAATAAATAATATTTTTTCCTAATCTTATAAATTATAATTATTAAATTGGTGATTTTTATATGAAAGCCGTCATTAAAACCTCATAATACTTAAAATTTATACAAACGACGATTCGTTTTTCAAAATATTTCCATAGACAATCGAAAAATATTCTATTTTTAATTTATATAAATAATATTGAAGTTTTTATTACTAATCAGAAACATAAGTAATATTTTTTTTAGATATTAAAATTCCTAAACCAACTAGGACAAGATTATTAAGAGTACTGTTGTTCTTTGCAATCACTACCACAGCTCCTTAAAAAATACCCTACAAACAATACATTTGCAGAACGTATCAAAGAAAAAACTCTTATAAAGAAAAAGTATAGAAAATTTTTAGAATTCGCACGTATTTCATTAACTCCAAGGTCCTAAAGCCAGCCTTATCACATAAAAATTGAGGTTATCCGCTTCTGGCTGACGCAACGCACTAAGAGACTTGCGACTACAAGCAAAATAACATTCAACTAACTTGCACAATATATTATGAATTTAAAACGTTTCTATACAAAAATCTTGATAAATATGCAAAAACAAAATAACTGATAAATATAGAGAAAGCTTCCAGAGAATTCGATTCTAAGATCATGATTGGAATAATTAAAGTTAATTAGAAATAATTATCATGTGCAGTAACAATACTCGTGCATTGCTCTGACGCATTAATACTGAACTCGTGGCTACTATGAAAATAAACAGGGACAATTATATATTAATCTATTGTAAAAATACTAGATTATGCATCTGACTTCGCTCGACTAGATGTTTATTATATTATAAACTGATGTTTGTTTAAAATGATAATAAACTTCTACATTTATATCCCATAGATAAATGAACCATCAAAAATTATAAATTATATATATTTAAAAACACTGAAATGTATGTCCCATTTATAATTAAATGACCGTCACCCTACAATTCGCCGAATCAGTAAAAATATTTGTAAACAAAATTAGACACTTTATTATTGTAGATAAGGATTAAAATTCCATGAGGTCATATAATTCGTTATTCGGTAGTAAAACGAATCAGGCCTTCGCGAATTGGACGATGAACTTGAATACTGGGATTTTCCTCGTGCAAGAGAATAAACTATTCCATTGAAGTATTGTTATATAGTTTCCGTGAGCTTAGTCCGAGTTTGCCGTCACTCATACTACTCGTTCATAGTTTCTCATTAATAAATCGTACAATAGAGTATAAGCGTACCTTATTGAATGAAAAACGGATGACGCTGCGTATGTAGTTTCACGATGTGATGATGTAACTTGTGCTAAGGATACTAAACTTGCTTTTGTTCCGGAGGGAAAAATTGGTGGTCAATTTATATAACCTTTTCGAATTATAATTAAATATTGATTGATAAAAAAATAATTAATATAATAATAATTAATTATTAAATATTTATATACATACATTGTTATGGAATGTACAATTTGAAATTAAATTTGCAACCGACAGAGTAAGAGGAATTTTCAATTTAGTCAGACGGTTCCATTAAGATAAGAGATGAATCACGCTCGCAATTGTTTTGTTTAAATAAAATAAAAAAAATATAATGCATAATTCGATATAAGTAATATTTATTGCTCATATATAAAGTCATCATGTTGTTATGTCACTAGTTGATATGAACTCATAGTTGCATATTCTATATTTGGAGTTTCCACTATTGGAATTATTATTTATACATATGTATAAGATATATATATTATCACTGCATACATTCAACTTGTTGTTACTAAAGTCTCAGGTTCAAATCCCGGTCGTGTCGATTATTATTTATTCTATGTACTATCCCTACTAATATTATAAATGCGAAAGCAACTCTATCTGTCTGTCTGTTACGCTTTCACGCCTAAACCACTGAACTGATTTAATGCAATTTGGTACAGAGATGAGTTGACCTTGAGAAAGAACAGGATAGTGTTTATCCCAGTCTTTTGAAAGGTTTTCTTGGAAACACGATATAACCGAACTCCACGCAGGCGAAGCTGCGGGCGAAAAGCTAGTGTATAATAATATTTTACTCACGTGTTTGATATCGTAGTGTAGTATGGACTCTATGTACGTGGGTAGTTGGTTGACGACGGTGAAGTACCCGAACACAGAGGCGCCGTGTGTGACCACGATGGCCCACACCGGGGGTGACGTCAGCAGGGACCTCCACGGAACTGGCTGGTTCTGGAGATAACAATATATATCAGTTAATAAGAATATATATTATATGTTACACTTGGTTCTGGCAATTAATGGAAAGTTACAGTTGGTTCTGGAATTTAAAGGAAAGTTACAGTTGGTTCTAGAAATAATTATGAATAAGCAAATCAAGCTTTCAAGTAATATTTTATCGTAAAAGCTTTTATAGTTTGAACAATAATTTGATCAGTTTAAATTTCTGAAAGATGAAAATATTATCATGGAATTATGTTATTGATTAATTATTAATCCTGATGGCTATATGAAAACCAGGGAAGTGGTTAATTAGATTAATTTCAAATGTTGCCACATTTAAAATTGCTATCCAAAGTAATATGTAGTATCTACCAAATAAAGAACCTAGAAAATAATATTTCTTTGCATACAGACTAATTCATGCACAGAGAGACATAATTTAATTCAAGTCTATGATAACATCAATTTCTATACGTGTACAGGCTGCCTCTGAATAATCTAATCTATATAAAAGAATTCACAAGTCATTAGTTATCAGTGGACAAACATCTGTACCCTTCAAACATTTCCTGATGTACGTAAGGCGTGAATTTGTTTTGTCAAAGTATGTGAGCCTCAAGGCCGTGTGAGACTCTCCTCTATTATTCGACCATGATCTGAATTGTTTTGCAATGTATCTACCAATATATGATAGTTTTGTGTCTGTTGAATATTTATAACAATGAATTTGTTATTTTTTTGCTACTTATATTATTTTCGAGTCAATTAATTCGAGTACAATAAAAATTTAATTTAATTGTAAGTAAAGTTGGTATTGTTCACAGCGGTAAAAATTAGTTAGGCGAACGAGACCTTAAGCTCTAATCTACATGCCCTAAAACCTAAAATACCCTAGATCTACTATATCCTTAAATAAACAAATGACACAATCTTTGCAGCCCGCATTTCTACATAATCAAACACCCCAAAAAATATTCACAACGCTTAGATCTCCATAAAACCTAAAAATTTTGTGAGTGTGTGCGCTTATGTGCACATGTACATATGTGTGTGTGTGTGTGTACCGGCTGGCTGGTGTCCTGAGGCAGCGCCTTCATGAGCGCGTTCCTTTCAGTGTCGGAGATGCGAGGGTGTTGGTGAGGAGAGTCGTACACTACGGCGAACCACGCCAGGGACCACATCACACCGATTATACCTGGACAGATAGATTGATGGATTGAAGAAAAATGAACTTTATATACATAGTTATAAGAACTTTAATATCTCTTTGTAAAATAATACATACATTTTGGAAAGATAATTCAAGTCAGAATTATATGTATTTTCGTTATAACATATAAATTGGGTCGTTATATAATAAAATATAAATGTTTCTGCAAGTACCAGTAAAAATACAATCGATATACATATTTGTATAAGATTTTTTTTTTGTTATTATTACGATTTTTTTAAGAAAAAATATCGTTAAACTTTAGTATTATAAAATCATTATATAATTTTGTTAAATATATATGTTACCAGTGAAATAAAACGCCGACTCCCACCCGAAGTGCGCGATAAGGAAACCACAGATGGGCATCGTGATGGCCGCGCCCAGGGACGACGCTGGAATTATATTATATTAATAACAGAACTCATATATAACATTAAAATATTGAAGTATATAGAAAATAAAAATAAATAAACTCGTTTCCAAAATATAGACTAATATTTGGAATTTTTTTTTTTACATCTGATTAAGAAAATTGTTTTTTTCTTTACATATACATATTATGTAGGTACTATTGAAAAGTATAACATTAATTGAATTGATTACTTTGAAAAGCCTATGATTCAATTTCCATTTTAGATAAAAGAACCTTTTTCTCGTTTTAAAATTGAGATAATTTTGTTACAAATAAAAAAAATTCAATATAATATGTATATGATTATTCGCAATACAAAAAAATTTGTTCTACCTGAACGTGTTATTCAAAGGACTTATATTAATTAAATACCGAAACTTTAATTTTAAAAAAAGTATTGAGATATTATCAAAGGTAAATTAGCGACGAATTTATTAATTAAATACCGAAACTTTAATAATAATAATAATACATAAAGAAAATTTTATTGAGATATTATCGAAGGTAAATTAACGACGAATTCGCATTCAATGTTTCATTTACAAGTCAAGGTGAGGAGGTGGCAGCATTAATATATTTTCTTTCCCCGTCAACACCTAGACCCACTTCACTGAGGACAACACATCAACATTAAAAACGCCCTTTGACAGTTAAAGTGTTGCCATTACATAATAAATTATCGCCAGAATGAGTTTTTAATCTCACTAATGAATAATTTAAATGTTTATTTAACCTTCGTTATGCGAAAGATATTTCATATAATTGTTATTTGTGGTTTTCCTGCGGGCTCGATTTTGTTTTTTGTTTTTTGTTATTCAGTCGGTATAGAATTAGTTTATTCAATCAGAAAAAAATATTAATAAAATATAAAATTTTACAATTTATATAAATATAAATACCGGTTCTGCTCGTTTGTATTTATAAACTGAAAACGGTTATTTTTCAGTCTTAATGATCGTAAATAATTTCATTTGATATTAAGTATTTTTTCCCTTAAATATTAACAAAAGTAAATTTGAATTGAAAACGGGAAATCATCAAATATTTTACAAAAAATAAAAACAGCCATTCAATACATACTTCATAGATATCATTTTATTTTCGTCAATATTTAAAGGCATGTACAAAAAAAATCTCGCCTTGGATGATATTAAAAAATAATAATAATTTTCAATGGAGAGACGCGTTCTATTTTATCTCAACTCCAGAATCGACACTGTATTCAAAGTCAGTATAAATTGTTGTTTTCTAAAATAGTAACGTCTACGTTTTCCTTAATTATTCAGTAACATTTATAGAACTAAAATAAAGTCGTCATATGTGTTAAAAACTAATTATTATAAAGAGGGACTTCACAATATTTTTTATCGGTTTAATCCCGACGAACTGTTACGACTGATGAATAAACATTATGTATTAAATCATTGATAATGTAAATAAATCGAGTTCGAAGTATTAAGGAGATAGTGGATGCTATTTAGATTTACAATCGTAATAGTTGTTCCGATAACAAACGGCTTTTATATGAAACATACTTGATATATCAGTACTGAATTGATTTATGGCGGAGAATTCAAATAACTGTTTCGGAATATTCCTTAAGCTTCGGTGCTTCGATGGCATTGATAAACGATAATATAGTATTTTAGTTATAATCGAATTTTAGTTTTTACTCACGCATGTGACATTACTATAGTCACCGTAGCGTCGACAAAAACAATTGGGAGTCAAAATCATACAGTGTATAATTTCGTCTCATCAACCTTACAATACACATGACTGGCATACGAAAATAAAAGCCAAACGGCAAACATTTCTCCGAAGCGGTTAAACGCGCATGGCAACCGTTGCGCAAGGTTAATTCGCGCCGACCAGCCGACCAATCGGAACGCTCTATTCGCGTGACGTCAGCGACCACGCCTGCGCGCGCCTCCGACGCCATTATGCTTTGGAAGTGTACTGAAGTGTTACGTTCGCGATAACAATTCATCGGGCCCATCTGACGTCGGGAATTGATAACAAACGCGAACTACGGAGTACGGACTAAACTCCGGTCAAGGCGACCATTGAATGTATTGCGTCTCACATAAATGGCAATTAAATAACTATCTGTTACTGTCAGTTAATACCAATTAAACATCATTTACAAATAGAATACCTATGTAGTTATTAGTCTTAATGTAACTCACCCATCATGTTCGACATGAATTTCGATCTGTCCATGGGCGGGATCCATTTGGACGCCATGGGCAGTATAGCTGGCCATGTGGCTCCCAGGAAGAATCCCAGAAGGACTCTTAGAGCCACGATCCAACCAAAACCGGCTGAAGCAGCGGCGGGCGACAATAGTGTTAGGATACTAGCTAAGAGAGTGCTGTAACCGAAGACCCGCCTAGTAAAATAGAAAAAAAATCTATAAGTTATATGTGAAGAAAAAGCCTATAAGTTCTATGTGTAGAAATAATACATATTAAATACAGTGGGTTTGTTCATATAATACAATGTAGGCATATTTTAAATCGCTTTGTAGTATCACCATATCGGTAACTAGGACGTGAGTCATTTGCATGTAGCTAACCTACATGACACAGGTTCGCAACAATATTTTTACTTACAAATATTATAACACGGTTAAAATATATTTAAATTCTCAATAATGTGTTATATTATGAGTAATTCACATTGATAACACAGTAATATCCATTTACACGAACTTATATGAAATTCATGACTACTTTTTCGTATGTATATATCGTAAAACAATTCTCAAGCAACAATTAATAAAAAACATTAAATATTATCTGACATATCAAAGGTTTTAATAATTCAATGTATTTCAAATAAATGAATCAGTCAGTGGTTATACAAACTGTAGAATTACGATAACATCCCGTTGGAAGCTAACCTCGCCATAACAGACTAAGCAACTTATTAGCTGACTCATTACACTAAGCCGATGAGCCTGTATTTAATTATATGAAAACTATGAGTCGGTATTATTTTATTAAATAAACTACATATATTATAGGACACATTATACATTTAAATGTAACTAATATTTTCGGATATACTACGCGGTTTATTTTTGTAAATGACATTCACATCTCGTCTGCCCGTGATCACGGCTGAAAAGTAGCCGAAACGTCAGAAATATGTAGTTTTATACAAAAATAAACGTAGACGCAGTATATCCGAAAATATTAGTTTCATTTAAATAAATTAAACTCGCGAAATTCTTAAACCTCATCACATTTATATGATTATTTTTTTAATTTTGTGGTACCTACTGGCCACTTCGACACGAAATTCCAATTTTAAATAAAAAAAAATATTTATTTACTCAGGCATTTGTTTTTACGAAAACCATATATTGTTTTTCAATCTTTGGATTTTCTTTGCGTCAGATTACAAAATACATAAAATATCGCGTTATTTATATTAAACAAGACAGTAGATACTTGCGATTCCACTATTAATAGATGTCTTACATCATGTGTGATGTATCAAATGACCGAAATGTATGTAATCACGCATAGTTGAACCCCGAACCCGCCAATTAATGGCTTCTAGAAGATTCGCGGGTCAACATGGCGGCTGTAATTTAATTCTAAGGATTTCTTGTCTGTAAACATATTTGAATAATATTTAAGATAAGAACTTATGAATGAGTTCGTATTAATCATACCTGTTGACATTTAATTGCTATCACATTTTTTAAATCTCGTGATTGTCCTACTTTGAAATCAGTACGTAATCAGTATTTATTTTTGAAGCTTACTATAAATGATTATATATTGCCACAAAAAATTAATGATGAAGGGTTTCGTGTGTATATTTTAAAGCTCCAAATGAATACCATCGATCAAACTGAAAATATAAAGTCGGATGAAGACGGGAGTGGCGCCAGTAATGTAAGATATAACTGGTATGAACACACATTATTACATAAAGTAAATTCCACACAGTACCCTTAATAAATGTTTGTATAGTCAAACTGAACTGCTTTCTGTTTTTTATTAATAAAATTACATACATGACAGTATCGAAGTAATAAATATGAAAACTTAAAACAATCTATGTATAGTTTTATGACATAGTCGCGGTAAGTGTATATATAACAATTTTAATGCATAACAAACATATTTTTAAACGTATTATTATACATACGCAATAATTGATAGGAAAATAAAATACAATGTCTGCGAAATACATATTATAACAAGAAAAACCAATGCGTCATAATACTGACAGTACGTCATATTAATGGTTCAAACAACGCAACGGTTGAAATCACTTTTGAATTTATAATCAAACAAATTTAGTTCAAAATGAATCTTAATTCCATATAAATAAAGTTCATTATAACAATTGTATGTGAATGCAACACCAGGAATTCGTTATCGCGAAACGAGATTTCGATCATAATGAGTAATATTTGTATATATATTTTTTTATAATCCCTCGATAATTAAACCGTACAATATACATAAGAATTTTAATCGAACGTTAAACATGCTAAGAGCATATTTAATAATACTTGAGATTTTCAGTATGAGAGATTCATTTTTATTAATTAAAAATTACGTACAATAGTTTGAATATGGGACACACAACTATTAAAAGGCAATCCCTACTAATATTGTAAATGCGAAAGTAACTCTGTCTGTCTGTTACGCCTTCACGCCTAAACCACTGAACTGATTTTAATGAAATTTGGTACAGAGATAGAGTTGACCTTGAGTAAGAACATAGAATAGTTTTTATCCCAGACTTTTGTAAGGTTCTCTTGGAAACGCGATATAACCGAAATCCACGCGGACGTGGGAAAGCTAGTATATAATATGCTTGTAGACTTACCGCGCGCCTATAACTTCAGCCAGACGACCACCTGGTACTTCTGTAAGTACGTAGCCCCAGAAGAATGAGCCCAAGAGGTGATTCTTCTGTTTCGTGTCCCAGTGGTAGCGGGTTTGTTCGATGTGTTCTGGGTGCTGGATCAAAAATATATTTATATAGTACGAGCTACATATAGTATGGTTCAGTTATTAAGTCTGGACAATATTACCTTCATGTCGATAGTAATAAGAATGTCTAAATGCCTAGATTAGTGTGAAGACAATTATACCTAAATATATTTCTATCAAGAAAATAGTATAGAATACTTAAGTAATAGGGGAGCGGGGGGCAGGTTGTTACAATTTTTAGATAATTATTAATATCACAAAAGCTACCAAAAAATGTATACATCTGATTGCTTTTACCATTAGTGTGTCTATTCAGCTAGTAGAATACAATTGGAAAAATATTAAAATTTACGTAATTTTTCCCAAAATAGAGAATTAATGAAATAAGTCGATTGCAACAACTTACCCCTGACTTGGGGCTAGTTGTTACAGCTTCGGGGCACGATGTTACAGTAGGTAAATGAACAAAATGAACAATAATAAATCATTTATTTTTTATTATTTCAAAACGTTATGAATAAAACAAACTATTTTGATCAGTCTTATAACATTTATGAGCAATTATAATATCTATATCGTAATTTTCCAACTTTTTAACAGTAATAATCACATAACTTTAGCAGGAACTTTCTTAAATCTTATATATCGTTTATTTTAGTTATTTTGGTTTATCGGTTAATACAGCGGACTTACGGTTACGACGGTTATGGATGGATTGTTTTCGAGCCTCTGCCTTGGGAAAGGACCTTATCTTTGAAGGCGAAAAATTTTCAAATGTACTTTGTATACCAGATGGACCTGGTATCTCTAATTCAATTTTATTTTTAAAACTTGACGAATCTGCACTCGGTAATGTTGTTAAACATTCTATATCTTGCGAACAAGCTGGATTTGGAGAAGGTGAAACATTAATATTGTTAATAGTGTCAGGTAAAAGTTGGGTGCTGTTTCGATTGCCTGTATGATGTCATTTGTATGATTTCATTTTTTCACTTTCCATTTATTCTAAATTTTAAGTACAGCGTAGTAATTTCTAAATGATAGTCAATGAGATGAACGGTAATACAAGATCTGAGGCAAGTTGTAACATGTAACAACCTACCCCGAAAAACTGTAACAACCTGCCCCATGGTGTGTTTTTTAATTAAAATTAAAGCCGCCATTAATGGATATCAATAGCAGAATAAAACGCTATTACAAATTAAAACTCGATACATTATGAACGTTCGAGGTGAAAAGAATTTAGAGAATAACAAATATAGACAGCAGGAATCAAAAATTTCGTAAAAGATTTTGTTACGAACTTGATGGAAATCGAGACACGTGCACATAACCTAACAGTTAGCCGCTTGGCGGGTCGCTGATTGTTTTTTTGCAACGCACGATGTTATAAGAAAACAAATGAGTCCACTTACGTCTACCAAAGAGTTAAAAATCCCGGTAAAAAATGCGCGTAACTTCTTACCCCTGTAACAACTGGCCCCCCGCTCCCCTACTTGCATAACTTTGATGAAATAAAATTTAATTTTATATGCAAATATTATAGCAAATAAATTGTGTTATAATATTATAATGATAAATTATTTAATTACTTGTAAATTTATTCATTTAACAGCATGTTTGTATTAAAAAATGTGTGATTTGCATAAAGATAATATGAGGGTATCTTAACATTTTTAGCTCAATACTTATCTTGTTCGATTATTAGAAGTGTAACATAGATGTAGACATACATTTAATGTTTGTTTAAAATAAATTTATATATTCAAGTTATACCTATATAAAATTTATCAGTAGTTTTATAAGAACCTTGATGTCACAACTTATCCTAAGACTATTGAAATGTATTCAATGACATCTCTATAAATTGTTATGGTAATGTTGTACAAAAATATTCTTATGGCAAAATATCCAGTAGAAGAAAAAACAAAAATTTTAAATTATCTTTGATCATATTTCTCTTGTGGTAAAAAAAGGAATTCCAAATTTGAAGTTTCTAATTTATGTATGTTGCAAAAACATCCAAGGAGTTTTAATTAATGTCATAAAAAAACAATTATTTCATAATATTTTCCTCATCTCATTTTTAGTGTATAGACTTATAAAATACATAAATTCTAAATAGCTGGCAATTTAATATTTAAATTCAATTTAGTTTTTTTTACCTCAAAAGTAATTAAATGAATAAAATTGATTATTTTCCTTTTATTGCACAATATAGGATAATTAAGATAAATATATAAGCTAATGGTTTTTTTAGTAAAGTAATATTTTATTTTATAAGTAATTTTATTGTTACTATAGCAGACACTAGCTGGTTATATTATTTATTATTTAAGATATTATATTTGTCTAAGAACAAATTAAATATTACATATTACACAATTTTTCTTAGTTCTTTACACAAAATTGATATTATTAATAAGAATAAAGCTTACTGATTTCTTTAAATCTTTATAATAAATGTATTAATCCTCATAATAAAAAGAGATTAAGGATTACTTTATAATCTGTGTTTCACATTGTAATAGACTTCATATCTATACAACACAATCAGACACTATCTTACTAAGATTATATTCAAGGTGTAATAATACATAAATCCTTACAACAACAGTTCCTGTTGAATGACTCATAATACTGCATGGCGAATTTTGAATTTAGAAACAATTAAATTGTATTTTATTTAATAAAATCACGTTGGATTTAAAAAATATATGTCTGCCAGCAATTTTAAAATATTTATATGTAAATCGTCTAAAATTACGAGACGCATTACAAATTCTACTCACATTAAAGCCATTTAGAATAAAGACAAAGAATCATGACTGACATGCGTTGCTGAATATCTAAATAGGTTTTATATTTTAAATTTAGAACATTTTTTTTATTCTATGTTACAAACCTGTGTAACGTTTGTGGTATTGGTGTCCGTCATGTTGGTAACCATGGCGGCTGCATCTGTTTTGTTGTCATAGATCATTTCTACGATGGCGATGGTAAGGTTGACTCTCAACGCGTAGTTCAACATGAAGCCCAGCAGTACCATTATGTTCAGTACTTGGACGCATGTTAGGCAACCTGGCGATATTAATATTATTAGTATATGTAAAACTAAATTTAAAAATAGAACATGAACATATATTTTTTAAATAAGTTTTAAATTGATAAAGTAATTATTATATGGTAGCATTCAGAAGAAAATCTTTGTATTCCGATTAATTGATTTACATTTAATATAGAATGTATGTTCTAGTAATCGGATTATTGCATATAAAAGGGCAGCCAGGTCGGTTTTGAGTCACTCTTTCGAGAAGCGATGCAAGCGATATTATCTATTATCATAATAAATTAAATATTTGTATTTTCTGTTAAATATTGTCTTTAGGTTGCTAATAAGACCCTACCTAATTACAATATTTATAAAATCACAATCCGCAGACAACACCGCAGAATTTAACTAGTATACTTTAAATGTAAAATTCTTTCACATGAGAATTTCTATTCGTGTAACTCGTGAGCGGTAATTGGTTCATTAAGAAACAATATACAAAGCGAATTTTAAACACATTATATGTACAAAGCGATGTTTTGCTCTTGAGGAATATTACTGCATAAAATTTATCTTCACACCAATGTAGCCATACAAAATGATTTCTTATTTATTTATACCTACAGTTCTGACAACTTAATGTTTGAATCATATCATAATTAAAATTAAATCGATATGTATATGAAATCAACGGAAATCGTTCGCTTCTAAATCGCTATCCGGTGTTTAATTTGCTTCAGTGTTTGTTTTAAAACTCACCTGGGAAATAAGCGAGGAAAATTTTTCAATTTCGTTTACAATCGAACCTGTATACCGAAGTTAATTAGGTATTTTAATACAAATTCTTTTGAAATTAATTAAAAAAGTTACAAACAACTTGGCAAAAACAGAAATATTCTAACAAAACAATCTTTTTTTAAATTAAAAAGTAAGTATGTATTGCTGAGATTTTATTAATAACTAGCTTTCCGCCCGCAGCTTCGCCGCGTGGAGTTCGGTTATATCGCGTTTCCAAGAGAACCTTTCAAAAGTCTGGGATAAAAACTATCCTATGTTCTTTCTCAAGGTCAACTCTATCTCTGTACCGAATTTCATTAAAATCAGTTCAGTGGTTTAGGCGTGAAAGCGTAGCAGACAGACAGACAGACAGACAGACAGACAGACAGACAGAGTTACTTTCGCATTTATAATATTAGTAGGGATTACCGATGCCAAGTAGCTACACATTGTTTACTACTTAGTGACTGTATTTCTAAGTAGTATTTTAAGACTTAAAAATAAAATGAGACATTTACAACAGAAACCGCTTAAACATGACACACTAATATACATATTATTAGAGCATTCAAAACGCGATCTATTTATAAGGCGCGAAAATAATATTCTAATTTGACATGGCGCCGTCTTATTTTTTTTTTCATAGATAAAACCCGTTTGAAAAGTGACATTTTAATTAGATTTATTTTGATCAAAATTGTTTATTGGGTCAAGAAACAAACAGGTTTTAACGGTTAATCCTAGTACTACTTTTTTTGCTTTCGAATGCCTGCTTCATTGAATAATTAGCTTCTTAACTTTTTCTGTTTATAATAAGGACAGAATGTTCTAGATCAGATGGTATTTCACGAGCGTTATAAATCCGTCTTCAAGGTCACGGTTATACGAACACGATTCACAGCGGTCAAAATATAAACTATTTTTAAAAACATAAAAATTAATTTTATAGTCTGTTAAAACTGAAACACTATTTTATGTTTAAAAAAAATATTCACTTTTTATTACTTACTCAAATGTTTTTTTTGCAATGGAAAAAGTCAAGTTATTTTAATATCATTACTTTATGTTTTTATTCAAGTACAAAGCGTCACTTATAAAATGATATACGTATTGACTTATAGAGTTAAAGAAAACAACTTAGCGTAGAGGAATCGTCATACTTGTTTACTCGTATTAGAAGCAATTTTGCACGTGTAACTTTTTTAACGGGCAGATCTTAGTTCATAACACCATAATGTATAAGTAAATGAATTGCAAGATTCTTTTATAATTCCACGTGCGAGATTTAAAAACCTACGTAATTTTTTTGAATAAAAACACTTAATTTTTATTTTATTTTCTTCTTCACAGCTACTCCATGTAATATATTATATCTGTAATCCGTAATGATTTCTTCATCTATTTCTGAACTAAAATTTCTATCAAATAAATAAATACTATATGTTTTTTTTTATGTTGGCATCACCCAAATGATGGTTGAAGAATGTTTTTTTTAATTTTCTGGCTTATATTACCTGTGAAGTGTATAAGTTAAGGTATATATTTTTATAATCTGTAACAGCTTGCATCTCATAAACCCGTCTGACGGTTGTCTGAGGTCCGGAAACTCGTAAATACCTCAACATGATGTGACTAAACTTATAGAACCTTATGAAATTATTTAGTTTTTATATCTATCGAAGGATTTAATATAGACTATAAAAAATGTATGTTTTATATTATTATATTTTTTTTATTATTTATTTTTTAATCTAATTCTGTTTTTTTTTATAAAGCATATACATATTATATTTTTTTTGTATCAAAATCGTATACAGAAAACCTTTAATTAAAAATTAATTTTAAAATATTAATTCCTAATTTATATTTTACAGTATTCTATATTGAAGATATAAACTCATCATACCTGTTATATGACATGTAATAATAAACTCGTTACAGGTCATGGTCGTCAACCTGATAGTCAGGTTCTTAAAACAACAGTAGGCGAAAATGAAGCGGGCATTTTTATGAAATACATTAACATAATTTTATATTCATACACATGGTCAGGCATCACGTTTTATACTAATTCATTGATTCCATGGTCAACTAATAGTTTATGAATGAAAGAGCTTTCCTGTCAGTGTTGCAACATTAGTATTAGGTATAACAAGTTTGAAATTTGAATCATAGTATAGCGTAAAAAGTTCTGTTTTGAATGGACCTAAGCACTGTGTATAGTATAAAGATCAAAAATTTTTATCTCGTCTGCCCGTGATCACGGTTGCTGTAAAGTAACCGAAACGTCGGTAGTATGTACTTAAAAAAGAGTAGTAAAATTCGAAAATATTACTTTTACTTAAATGACGTAGGTCTTAGATATTATTAAGATCAAAAATTGTCAGTACAGACAACTAAAAAAGTGCTTTGGGTAGCCAAGATATAATAATAATTTCAATTCAATATTAGTGGACGTAATAATGTTAGACTAATTATATGTTGGTTAAGTTTTTTCAGCCTTAGTTTGGAATCCATCTAGTTGTGTCTGAAGTTTACACCATTCAGCTAAACGTAGAATTTGCTGTTTCACACTCGTATACTAACGTTTAGTTTGCAATATAAATGCATACATCTGGTTATCGTAATGCTGAACAAACCATATTTATTGAATACTGAAATTTATTCATTGAAATAAAGCTAATATTTTCGGAAGTAGGTCCTATGCGGTTTTATCATTTTAAAACTACACACTTCTGGCGTTTCGGTTACTTTACAGCAACTGTAATCACGGGCAGACGAGATGTATACGTCGATGTTTATTTATTACTGTAAATTTTATATATAATTATAACAAATTAATGCTACAAATTTAACCTGCGATAGAAACATAAATAGTATATGTATATATAAAGATTGTTTTCTCATGATTCATAACAATCAGCTTACTTTATATCTAATATTGGAAAACTGTAGTTAGCCAAGTCATCGCTTCCGCGAGTTATATTTAAGACTAAAGGTCAATGACCCGTGTTTAATTTTAAAGATTTACTTACTACGACAATTCATTCAGTAATAATAAACAGATTTGACATTACTCGAACACCTCAACTTACTATATACATAATTTGATTTTATACAGGGTGACTGGTGAATTACGATCGATATTTGAGGACGTGATATTTGACGATCATATATGACGAAATAAAAATTAATATAACATAAATATTAATAAACTTCTAAGTAAAGTTAACCAAAAGTTATGTAAATAATTAGGCATTGTATGAACACCCTACAGATTAGGTATACGCACACACTCACACATACGCGCGCGGAGGCGTGTTGTTGTATCAGCACGCCGCCGCATGCGTCCACACTGGGAACACTTGGAACGTGTCCATCCTTTATTTATTTATACGGAAATTTGGTCAAAAATTAAGTACTTATTTTTTTTACATAATTCGAATGAGAATCATGTACCGAGTATGCTCCTTAAATATTGATAGTAATTCACCAGTCACCCTGTATAAATTTTTAGTTATTATCGAGATTTATATGAAGGCTAGCCATAAATTCATTGAATTTTAAATTATTTTTCATACTGAGTTCTATCAAAATGGTCTCAGCCATGACATTCGACATTTGAATTGAAGTTTTTACCGAACATTATTCCAATTATATGAAGTGACCAAAATTTAACAACTTTATAAAATAACCCCTTATTTAATTTGAAATGAATATTTTTGTGAGCTTTTTCTTATGTTACTACCTACTAACTCTCGTAAATAATATGAGAAAAAAATTAAACCATCTTGTACCCGTCCCTAATTCGGCCTACAAGTATTAGTTGCATGTTTTACATTATTTAGGTATTTTCATTTCAGCAATATACTTTTTTGTACATACTTTTTCATTTATACTCAGTGCATATATTTTCCAATCATTTTTAACTTCGATTTTCTTGAATAATTAATGTATTAACTATTGAGAACTACATTACTCCAAGTTTGAATCGTCACAGTACCGATCTCATTACATACAGAGCGTTAAGAGTTTTTCATTAATACTCTATACAATACTACCGTAAGACATTGTATGAGAAACGTGAAATGCTTCGTATGACTGTGAACTTGTACTAAAGGTAGGTACTCGGTTTAATCAAGGTTTTAACTTGGAAGTAACATTACAGTCATTTTAATAGTTTCCGCACGTGTCTAAGAACGTATTTATATTACACGGAATTATTAAATTCATCATTAACATCTGTTCCCTTATTATATATCAAATAATTAGTCACATTGTATTTACATAAGAAATAATAATAATAAATGTAGCCATAGTCGCTCCTGATTACGTCAGCTATCTGATAGTGAGAATCCCATCAAAATAGAGCCAGCCATTTCAGAGATTAGAGAGAACATACAGACAGAATAAATTAAATAAAACACATATATATTGGTATCAAGAAACGGACATTTCAATTTTATTTAAAATACTAACACTATCATACATATAAAACTTTACTTATATATAAAAAAAATTTAAAGGATGTCAAAAAACTCGTATATACACGCTGTATAATATTTCTCAATAGAAGCACGCACAATGGCGTTCTGTTGTAATTTACTCTCCCACTTAGAACCCGGTCCGAGCTAAGCTGTAAAAACAGCTTGCTTAACGGTTAAGCATTGACCAGCTCGACTGGTTACATGTTTATAGATATGAACTACGGTAACCATTATCTTAAAACGAGAAAAAATCATACTAAAATAATCATAGGAATAAAAGATGAACGCGGGAATTTACTAGATTCTTTTTTTAAAATAATGAATGTGACTTGACAGCACTGTGTAATAAACTTATCCATACAGCCAATATTATATGAGAAATTTTAATAAAATTGGAATAATTGCATTTTATTATACATCCATGTTGTTTTAGTGAGTATTAATAATTTTACCCCGTTATTAGTATAATCCTACTAATATTATAATTGCGAAAGTTTGTGAGTGTGTGTGCATGTTTGTTACTTCTTCACGCTCAAACGGCTGAACCGATTTTGATAAAATTTTGTATACAGAAAGCTGACGTCCAGGAATAACACATAGGCTACTTTACATGCAGGAAATCCGCGCGGCGCAGCTAGTCGAAAATAATTTAAAAAAAATGTAGATATTAGTTTCTTTCGTAACAGATAATATTTAAAAAAACAGGATATATTTTGAAAGAAAGCAACCTTTTCTGTCTATTTTAATACCGATGGTCTTAGGAACAGTTTTATTAAGACTCTGTATTTTATTTTCTATTCAAAACCTGCAATTTATTGTATCGTAACATATACATATATTAATTTTTTACACAAAACTATTTACTACACTATTCTTCGAAACACTATTATCATAAGAATTTATTGGCTAATTGTCTTTTTAATTAATTTTAATAAACTATATACGAACAATAGTAGATAACAATTATGCAAGAAACACCTAGTCATTGTCACGTGCTGTTTTTTTTTTTTTCTAAAGATCCATAAGTTTCATATGAAAATGTTTATGACTAAAAAGTATTTAATAGAAATAAAATATTCTAGGATCTGGTATTGAAATGGTATTCGACTAGTTTATGTTAAGTACTATACGATTTCTATCGCGCTTTCTCTCGCAAAACGTGGGAAGGACGCGGCAAGCGTGGGCATTTTAGTCCTCCATGTTTAAATTCAATTGTTATTATACAATACATATATGTAAATAATATAATACACATATATTATTACTAATATTATTACACTATTACTATTACAAGAAAAAAATTTTTTCGACATCAACTCTTTTACGTTCTAACAAACAACATTATTGAACCAAAAAATTGCGCATAAATATTTTTGACCTTATTTTTTTATTTTTTTTTAAGATAAAACTTAGAAAGGTGAGTAACTGTATAATATAAGATGTCAACCTGCTATATTAATTTGTACAAATTTGACACATAATTTTACGATTGACTTGAATAAGCGCGCGAATAAATTAAACGCAAAACGACATGTCAATCAAAAAAGTGATGTTCCAATTTTTATTATCAAATTTAACTTTCAATAAATTGTGTTTTAGGGTTAGACAAAATTCGATTTTATTTCAATATAAATAATTTTCATATTAGCTTAACACGATTATGACAGTTGTTAATATTTTAAAGGATTAATATGATCATGATCAAAAACAGTTAGCCCGTTAGATTTGTCAAACATCCACACAAGTTACACCTTGACATAGATTAGCAATATCTGCAAGCTGTTTTGTTTACAGAATTCATTAACACCTGTCTTAAAACACAATAATTCTATGTTTATTAATTTTACTCCATAGCAACCAAGTGTACTGTGAAAGACCTCGCACACGTCTTGTATCTTATTGTTAAGTTTAAATATTGTCTGCAAACAGAACGGAAACGCGATTACGCGAATGCGCGCGATTATTTTCAAAATGGCTGTCTGCCAACATGCTACGTCACGTCGGGCGCGTCCGCGCAGTTGTGTAAATATAATAATAAGACTTTAACAGTTGCGAATACTTTTAATATTTAATAAGACTGCCAAAATTTATATATCTACGTGTCATTGACGTATCTTTATAAAGTAGGCTGAATTTTAAATATTAATCAAATAAAAAACTAATAAATCATCAATGGAGTTCAACATAGCCGACCATTTAGAAATAATTTGAATGAAAGAATAGAACCGGTATGTATAGTTGTTTTTTCTTACCTGTAAAGTTTCTTGGGAACGACTTCTCTGTCTTAGCCATATTTGGAATGAGCTCTGGAAAAAAAATTACAATTAGAAAAAAAGGTCGATCAACCTCAATACAATATTGACACAAATATCAATAAATTTAGTTAACCGAATAGTCAGCTTTAAAAAAATATACATAAGCAATAAAATGCTATAAATTAAACGTTACTTCACACTTCATTGAAACCGCTAAGTGTCTAAGCAACGAGAAAGCTGAAGCGTTGGCCTAAACGTATTATCTGTCGTGAGGCCAGTTGAATGTTTTAATTATTTTTTACTATTTGTTCACTGACCTATAACTATCGAATGACAGTGAGACAGTTATTATAAAACTTAATTTGTATATTTTTTCTTATTATTCTAATACGAACACGAGTTTAGTTTAAATAAAAAATATTGGTTTAGTCAAAATACACATAAATTTCCTGTCAGCTAGTGACGTGTCCGCAAATCACATCGCGTAACCGTTAAGCACGCGAGACATTTCGTTTGGCGCCATAACGGGGCATCTTTAGATTCTAAATGAATGAGAATTAATTAGTTTCGATGTCACAAAAAATATATTAAAATTAATAGTAAATATATTGAAAAATATCAAAGTTCAAATTATTTTTTATAATCATAAATATATATTAATATTCAGTAGATTGAATCATAGGTTAGATCTTACACTACATTATCGGCTACTGCCTACTGGGTCAATAACTTTAGGATTTAGGCTAGGCTTAGGTTGACAATATTAGCTATTTGTTTTGGAATTATACACGACAAATATTTTTATATTAGACTACATTATAGAAACGAAAGCAAAGAAAGTAATAACCACGTGGTCTTCGTAGTTGCCAAATCTATTTTCGTAGCTACCAAGGCTGAGAAATGCGTCAGGGCGAATGTTCATCAATAATACGAAGAGCAAGGACGGTATTTCTTTAATATTAAGACAATTAAAATTATATTATAAAAACAGCCAACTTAGATAAATTACTTCTTGAAGTATATTTTATATATATAAATATAATTTCTCATAAAATAATACTGAAAATGAAGTCGATATAAATAATATTTTGATTTAATATAAGAGTGGTTCACTCATGCGCACCCGGCCTTATGCGTAGTGATCAGTGACGTCACTCCGTCCAATGAATAGTTGATGTAACTTTTGTGTTTTTTTTAATACAAGAAAAACCTGTTCGACATGCTCGTGCATAATAAAATTCTTTTTAGATTAACTCGACTAGAAGCTTCAAGTTGCATATAAACTGAGACATAGAATAATTAATATAACCATTTGAAGGTAAAAAAGTCCGTTGTTTTATCTAGAACTGTTTATAGAACCATTAATTGCTATTAAAAGACATTGAAAGGGTTTTCTCCGAATGAGAATGTAATAATACCAAAAGGAAAAAGCAATTTAAGATAGATAAACTTCATACCGAGTATTTAAATACGTACATAAAGCTTACAACTACCACTAACAAATAACTTTCATAGTAATTATAACTTTCGCTTTCGAGAATGACGTGATGGGTACATTAATATAAATTTATTAACGTTCTCTATACAACAGATCCTAAAATCGTGTGTACGTACTAAGTAAGATGTAAATTACATGCAAATGGTCAATTGACGCGTGTGTTGCCATGTTGTATTTAATAAATTATTATTATGCAGTTTGAATCGCAACCACCGTTGAATTATTATTAAATACGAATTACTCTACGTTACATTTTTATAATCTCCTTATCACCACAGGCATGGTGTAATACTATTTTATTTTACATAGTATACCTACATTTTACGTGAGTTAAAATCAAGAATTAAATTCCAATGAATTGATATCAAAAATAAAACAGTCAGCCATATTTAGAATTATTAACTCAGCATTGTGTGTTAATTTAGTTTGTGGGACAAAATGAGGTCTGTGAATTCTTATATTTATTACATGTGAACATGTAATATGACGACAAGCAATAAGGATAAGGGGTGACGGGACTTTCCAGGCCCTTTGGATATCAACGAATTCCAAAATGAAAATAAAAAATGCAAATTTAAATCTTAATCCGGCTTAATAAGTTCCAAAATTGATTGATCCTTATTTAACAGACTTCCACACGTTACTTTTAAAAATAGGGATCTATTTAATCCAGCATAAATAATATCATTTAAAAAATAGTAATTGTTTCACACTAGTTGTAGAACTTCCGAATATAACAAATCATATCCTAACAGCTGTTCGCATATTTTTGTTGAATGTAATTAAAATAATAAATAAATTTCTACATAAATTTATTGAACGTAAATATAAAATTTTAAACTTACCGATTAAATTGTTTAAATAATTAATTAATAAATCACACTAAAATTGCAATACACTAAAATTAGCCTACACTTATTTCATATATTTATAAATCTAGGTATAAAGTTACACTTTTTAAAATTACGAAATAATTGTTATAAAAAATTTAATGTTACGTGAACTCGAGTCGAGAGTAACACACCCAACACCGGCAAGCGCAGAAACCCGACTGATGCGACATCGAGTGGAGAGCGCTCAAAATACATTTGAATAGATTACGTTCCGTTTGTTATTCAAGTTTTATTTGGTACATGAAAAGCAAAAATTTACTTTAAAAATAAATAAATATCCTACAATTGTTGATTAATAAAGTGAGTTCAAATAGTTTTTATTTTCACTCACTCGAACGTAATGTCTTACAATTCTGTTCAGTTTTATCTTTCCGAGCAAAAATCGATACTAATAAGTGGTTTTGATTATAAATAATAAAATAATTGTTAAAGTTGTGCTCTATAAAATGGATAAATGAAATTTATAAGCAGCAAAAAATTATGATGGTATGAAATCTTTTTACTATATTACCTAAAGTATAAAAATGTATGCGTTCGAAGAATTTTTCTTTTTCGCGCCATTATACTGTGACGTATCCGTGGTACGTAATCTCATTGGCTAATCCATGACAAGCCTCCTACAAATGAAATAAAAACTAGTCCAGATTAAAAAAAGACTGAGAATAATTTTTAGTTTTACCGTCTTTGTGAATACTTAATATGGAAACGGATGAAAGTTCATTGAACTCTTACTTATAATAATGCAGTTATAAAAATCCCTACTAAAAACTTTTTTAAATACCTACCCTCATCTTTTCATTTTATCTTTTGGTTTACTGGATATCATCTCCTTATAATAGTTGGGCTTGGGTTAGCAATTAGAGAAGTTGTTTTAAAATAAATTATTTAAAAAAATATTAATACATATTTTTAATAATTATGCGGAATATATATATTTTATTTATTAATTGTTTTGCATTATAAAAATTTATGACCGGAATTTAAATATTATTTTATAATAATAAATATCATAATGGAGTCTGCAAATTTCTTAACAGTGAAAAGCCATCTCTCAGAATTCAAAAACTGCTCCGACAAAGACACTTTAAGCGAGGTGAGTTATTGTAAATTATATTATAAATGAATTAAATAAAACATTTAATTCAATAGACACAATCCGCCATTTTGAAAATCGTGGCGTGGTTTTCGGAAGCATACATCTTTTCCATTTTCTGTATTAAATTATCTTTCAACATTTCCACACGCTAAAAGATTGTAAGTATATTTAAACTTCTTTCAAGCATGGTAGTAAATCGTGTCACAAACATCTAAGCTCAATTTTCCCGTGCGGGTAAACAAGTCTCTTTTTATTCTTTAAGCGAAAAGCAAGTTATACAACTTAAATACTTAATACTATATCCAAGATGATAATAAAATTTGATGGCATCATTAAAATAGGCATCCGAAAGTGGAACGAGCAATTCCGTGACGTCAGCAGAAGACTTACAGAAATTAGCAGTAATACTTGGACTGAATAGCGCTGAGGATGTATACCAGGAAAGATTTCGGGTCGACAGGCGTCGTTTGGAAGCTATGTTGGCAGGTAGGAGAGATAGGAGAAATTAAATATTAATATGTCTTTACCTAACGATATACTATTTGATAAAATTTGTTCCAGAACATCTGGAAGAATCGCAAACTGCGCAGGCCTTCTTCCATAGGGTAAGTTTTTTTTAATTCAGATATATTTTTTTATTTTTTAAAGAAATAATATAAATAATGCCTTTATTAATTTATTTTACATCAATTTTATTCAATCCAAATTATTTATAAAATATTATACATGTTTTCGAAAAAGGTTATGAACGAAACAAACACTTTAATTAACTGGCCTGCTCGTCTGAAGATCGGAGCGCGCTCGAAAAAAGGTAATATTTTATTATAATTTATTTTAAAATAAGTATAAAGAAACTTAAATAATATATTTCATTCATTTTAAACATTTAATAAGCAAAGCAAAAAAAAATACACACAAATTTAACGGTAATAAAAAAATCAAAATTTTTGAATTTTGAAATAACCGCTTCCTACGACTCACCTGTAAGCGGGACATCATTTTGGCGGGATGGCGCCAAATTGACAACGCGCGGCGCCCGTCTGGCGCAAATTATTACTCGATTTAAAAAGTTTACACTTAATGCATTCGCGGTCATAGCAGTTACAGCAAGCTTTTTGAAATCAATTATCTTTTTGAATTTATTTTAATGAATTAATGATGGTTTTTAATAAAAATTGTGACGAACTAGTATATGAAGTTATAAAAAAAATTCGTGATAGTAATTTTACTCAGTTTTTAGGTAAATTTAAAGTAACCGTTCGTATATTCGTCGCTTGTGAATGTGAGTTATAATTATTTTAATAAATAATATTTTAATGTAGATCCTCACGTACGAATCGCTGGTAGACCTGACGATGTGAAACTTGCTAGAGAGAAGATAATGCAATTGCTGGATACAAGAGTAAGTGTAACAATTCTGTATAAAATTTATTTTCATTCAAAAGTTAGTTATAAAAATGATATTATATATTAAAAACCATGTTAACGGTTTCTTAATTTGAAAAAACTTACGTAAAATACATATAGTAGTGATTTCAATATTAGTTTTGTGTGATCTAGTCAAAATTAGGTAGGATTTATTATCATAACGGTTTTTTTACGTATAATATAAGGCGTCTTAAGTGTTCTACCAAGTTCTGCAATACATACTTTGTTATTCCTTTAGCTTCGCTCGTCGCTCTGTTCATTATTAAACTCAGGCTCAATAAGTATTAATTGTTCTGATATTCAACCGACGTACACTATATTCATGTAGTGATCCATAATGTTATTAAATTACTTTTAAAACATTTTCGTAAAATGACCGAATTTATTAAATAAGCAAACTTACTCGTCTTTTAAACATGGCGAATGTTACGTGAAGAATTTACAATAAAATTTATTTTTATTCACTATAAAGCGTTATATATTTATTTATATTATTATGTGCCTAGTTTTAAATAAACACGTTAATTTCAGAGCAACCGAGTCACTATGAAGATAGACGTCAGTTATACAGACCACTCGCATATTATTGGCAAGGCAAGTCATTTTTATATAATTCTGTCCATACTAAGGTAAGAATCATCTATGTCTATACCTAAGCTATAGTTACATACTTCAAGACAATCCCATAAATAACCATTGATGTAGCTTAAAATAGAGTAAAACTATACTACTACTACTGTACTATACTATAAAAGTATACTTCTACTCGCCATAGCTGGAAGGACTAATGATTGATAGTATAGCTTCTAGAAGTAAAAGTAAGAAGGCCGTCTATTAAATAACTTACCACAAGTTTTGCATTACACACTAAATACAGATCGTTTCGAGTCTAAAATTTATCAATATTAGCTTTATTAGTTAAAACGTGCATCGCTGCGTATGAAGCTTTGCATACTAATAATAAGACCCTGGTTAGTGGTGACCTTCAAAAGATTTAAAAAACTATATGGGTATTATAAAAAAGTTAGCAGAGGCACCGGGCACGTATCGAGTTTCCTCACGAAATATAAAAGCAAAATCATTTTAAATAATATCAACTATTATTTTACAAGCCTTTCATATTTGTATGCTTAAAGTTCAGATTTAATATATTTATTACCTGTTTTATGTAATATATGTATATATTCTTTATGAATAACTTACTACTTAGATATAGTGTAACTAGCTTTCCGCTCGCAGCTTCACACGCGTGTTGTTCGTTTCCAAGAGAACCTTTCAAAAGTCTGGGATAAAAATTATACTATGTTCTTTCTCAAGGTCAACTCTATCTCTGTACCAAATTTCATTAAAATCAGTTCTTTTCTTTAGGCGTGAAAGCGTAACAGACAGACAGACAGAGTTACTTTCGTATTTATAATATTAGTAGGGAAAACTGGATGTTTCTATTTATTAATATAATAAAGTATTAATATACTTCTTTCTATGTATATACAGGGTGGTTTAACCATAAAGCGTGTGATGGAGGACACTGGTTGTCATATCCATTTCCCGGATTCAAACCGCACCAGCGCCCAGGAGAAAAGCAACCAGGTGTCCATAGCTGGGGATATGGAGCGGGTTGAACGAGCGAGGGCCAGAGTCAGGGTATTATATATGTATATTTATTATGTATTTTATATGTATAGGGTATTATATATGTATTATAACACATCAAAACTGACCGTCATCACAGTTGTTTAAAATTAACGGAAACGTCGGGAGTATGTATGTAGTTTAGTATGAAGCACGCGTAGTATATAAAAATATTAGTTGCATTTAAATGAATAAATCTGTTCAAACTGTTAGGGTTCGGTATAAAGAACTTTATTTCTCATAAGAATTTTACATTCACTTAAATGAGATACAAGGAATATTTGCAAGATAACAATTTTAACAAACGGGCCGTTGGACATGACAGACTTGCTACATTTACTACTACAGCGAGGATTATTAAATATTTTTTTAAGGGTTTGCAGCTAAAGCTGAGTCGAAACTAAAAAATATCAAATTATCACTATTATCATTATAGCGAACGTAATAAGAGTATAAATGAAACTAATATTTTCGGATTGCTTCGCGTATTTTATTATTTTTAAAATTATATACTACCGATATGACGTTTTGGTTACTTTGCAGCAACCGTGATCCGAAAATATTAGATTATGTATGGTTCCAAGACCTAATATTCTTTAAACTTATACTACATAGTTTTTCATTATAATATATGTATATATATTTACTTTTGTAGTATTTAATCGTAACCTCACCTATTCTACCATCACTTCAGGCCCTGACTCCGCTGGTGTTCTGTTTCGAGCTGCCGATAGTGGCGCCCTCTCAGCCGCTGCCCGACATCAACTCGCCCTACGTGCAACAGATACAAGAACAATACAACGTGCAGGTAATCTTCTATATATATAAAAATGGATTGCTGTTCCTTAGTCTCGCTAAAACTCGAGAACGGCTGAACCGATTTGGCTAATTTTAGTCTTGAAATACTCCTGGAAGTCCAGTTAGTATGTCAATGTCATTAGAGTATTTATAAGAGACGCTTTTCAATTTTATTAATTAAAAGTAGTAAAATTGATATTAAAACTTTTTAAAATTTTATATGATTGTTCGATATGACAATTTAGAATTATGTATATGAATAATGAAAGTGTGATTGAATTAAAATGACTCATTGATGTAACTTTTACAAATATGTATATTTGATTTCTATATAATAAAGTCGCAATCAAGACAGTCAATAAGATGCGACCATTTCATTATACAAAACTTTTATCGACTTTTTTGTTATTAATAAACAATTGTATAATAAGAATGTGATTTAAATTATACCTACTGTAATTTTGGGACATTATCGTTAGAAAATAGTAGTAGATAGTTGTCTTATAAATATAGTACTTTCAGAAAAAAAAACCTAAAGTAGAACTGTCAGAGTTGTAATTAATTAGTATCTAAAACTAGATGTAACTTTTCATCATTCAATGTATTCACCGTGCGAGTGTCGGGTCCATCGTTGCAGGGAGAGGAGCTTCAACAGTGCCTGGGACTTGCAACCCAGGTGTAGGTTTAAGGGGCCACTATCTAACGCGTTAAATGCTCACCTTCACCGTCCAAGCTCGTCTCCTAATCAAACTTAGACGAACCTATAAGACTGTCTTCGAAGTATGTACTGATGTTAATTGTGTAATATATATAATATTATTATTAGGTCATGCTCCGTAATCGTCCCAAACTGCACGCTAATCTATTGGTGGTGAAGGGCGTTCAATGGGAGGTCCGCGCTACTATGGAAGCCACCACGCTGCTCATGACGTACATGTGTGGACCACTAGCGGTAAATATACATACATATAATATATTATATTATATGATATAACATATATAATGATTATATAAAATGCGAACTATTACCCGGCTTAATTGCACTTATATGAAATATTCTTATTCTATATCTTCTTCTTCTTATATCTTATATATATATAAAAATGGATTGCTGTTCCTTAGTCTCGCTAAAACTCGAGAACAGCTGAACGGATTTATTTTATCTTAGTCTTGAAATGTTCGTGGAGGTTCAGGGAAGGTATAAAAGCTGAAAAAAATTTATTCATTACGGGGAAAACTATAAAAACAACCCTTTTCTATTTCCCATACAAACGTTTTTTTTTTGACATTAGATTTGCCAACTAACTAATATGTCAATCATTCTGTCGCACTTCAAAACACGGAGATTTATGGCTAAAAGGTAAACTCCAAACACATTAATAAAAAAACGTAATAGATATTTCTTGATTATAGGGCGATACGAAGTTCGGCAGGTCTTCTAGTATGAAATATAATTTGAGATGTGTCATCGTCTTTATAAAGTTGGAACTTGGTGACATTGGAAGTAATTCAGGACAATTCCTTTCTTAAAAATTAAAAAAAAATAATTAAATCAATCTTCATTAAAATGAGTAATACATAGCTTGACAAACCAAAGTTAAATTTGACACTTTTTTAAGTCAGTTACAAAGTTGCCTAGTAAGTTACCCACTGTGGCATTAGCAACCTATCAGTGAAATTTCCATCAAAAACAGGACTGCCATTGTAGAAACAGAAGGAACAAACAGATCAGAGTCAAAAAGCCTTTTCACATGGAGAAGGTTAGAGCATTAATCATCAAGCTCGCTCAAGGCAGATTGGCGATATCAACCTTATAATTACATACAAGTCCAATTTCCTCATGATGTTTTCCTTATAAATACTTCTAGAAAGTACATATATGATTCACAAATATCTTCGCAAAAAAAGGCCTTCAACTATAATATTATTTTAAATTTTAATACATACTCGTATTATATGAACATTAAACACATAATAACACTAATTAAACTATCAATCAGAGTCAAACCCAACTTAAGTTTCCTCACAATAATTTCCTTTACCTTCGATCTATGACATATGATTCGAATAAAAAAACATTGGTAGGTACTATCCATTATTCGAACCCGCGAACTCATACTAAATGTATCATCATTTTAAATCTAAATACATACTAAATGCCCATTAAAAAAATTTATGTATCTATTTAGAATCAAACCCATGTACAGGTTTCTTCACGATATTTTTCCTTCAGTCTCTCAGTGATATCTAAATACTCTTATAATGTACTACATGACTCAAAAAATGCTATTGGTACCATCCAGGTTCGAACCCGGGCCTTCACATACGAAGGACATAATATATCATCATTTTAAATCTAAATACAGTAGAAACTCGATTAACCGGACTAATTGTTGTCGATAGGCATTCGGATAATCGAAAATCCGGATAACCGAATGTATGAAGAAAAGCCGGTTTTGTGCATATGTAGTAAATAATATTATGTTTATATAAAAAATAAATTACAACACCTATGTATTTGGTAATTTGCAATTGGTAATCATGAATTATAATAATAAGGTTCATTTGGTATAGAATATTTGGTAATTGTAATTTTACGTACGCCACTCTCAACAACACCACTCTCTTACGCTTTGAAATTAATTCTTGTCCGGACTTGTCCGTTAATTAATACCATTAATGTTTCTATCCAGAGTCAAACCCAAGTCCAGATGTCGCTAGAAATATCCCCCATGCACCATTCAGTGGTTGTGGGTCGTGGCGCGGAGCAGTTGAAGATCATCATGAAAGGCACCGGTACTCAAATCATGTTCCCCGACGCTGACGACCCTAACATACCCGCGCTCAGGAAGAGCTGCGTCACTATCACCGGGCAGATCAAGGATGTGTATGCCGCGAGGCAGCAACTAGTTGTGAGTTATCTAACAACTGTTTGGACTATATTAACTTTCATTTAAATGAAACTGATATTTTTCGGATATACTACGCGACTTTCTTATTGATAAAAACTACATCCTACCGTCATTTCGGTTACTTTTCAGCAACCGTGATCAGCAGAAGAGAATGAGTGAATATATGTTGAATAATCATAACATCTAGTCTATCTGTGACTTTTGGTATGGGGGTGAAAGGTTAGCCTTTCTGCAGGATTCTATGTATATGAAAAATATCATCAAAATCAGTTCAGTGATTTAGGAGTGAAAACGTTGCAGACGGACACACAGCCACTTTTGAATTGATAGTATTAGTCCCTACTAATACTATAATTGCGACATATCATCCATCGTATATGTTTAAACATCCCTATTCCCTATGTATATTCTTATACCTTATATTCTCATATAGGTACATATTGATATTTAAGACTTCTTGTACAAATTCAGTCAAACTAACTATATACTCGTATATGTATATACTTGTTAAGTTATTGTTAAAAAGCTGTGTCACGGTCATTATGTTATTAAGGCGTCTCATCATGTCTTACTGTTAGCTGTTTATCCTTATATAACAAATTTCCCTCCTTAATTTCACTTATAAATAATGTTTATCAAACAAGGATGCTTCCAAGGTTTGCCTGTTTTAAATTTATATTCGCATCTTAATTATATTGGCAATGCAAAATGTTGAGGAAAATGACACCTCCATCTTGTTATAATTGGAGTCAATTGAATTTATTTTTAATCAACAATTAACATTTAATCGATAGTTAAATGTATGTACGTATAATTATTTGTGTGTATGCATACTTTGGTATGTATATGTAGTTTACGTTTTTGTATATGTATTTGTGTTTTTCGTTCTTGTATATGTATATGTCATAATATGCACTACCCTCTCTAGAATATTTGTCATCCTCATCGGTTGGGTTGCCTGGAAGAAATCGCTTGTAGTGATAAGGCCGCCCCTACTTTAAATTTTCTGTATTTATATGTAATGTTATTACCTATGACTTTGAGTGCAATAAAGTATATTTCTTCTTCTTCTTTTAATCTATAATGTCCGTGATTCCCAGGGTAGTCTCCCATTAGTGGTGATCTTCGACGTGAGCGAGGAAGGCACCCGCTTGGAGGCTGACACGGCGCGTCTGATGTGTAAACACAACGTGTACATCAGTGTGAGACGGAAACCGAAACAGGGCATCGCGTCCGTCGTCATTAAGGGGATAGAGAGATGCGCTGGTAGGTATATGGCGAACACACACACATACGAACACGCACAGACACGTACACGAATACACACAACCAAACACACACACGCAAGAGACACAACCACGCACTCACATGCACACTAACACGAACAAGCAAAGATACACACGCTCGCATACGCAAGCAAACGTACGCACACATATTATGTATGAAATATTAATATTAAAATTAATCTTAGCCTATATATTAATCAATACGATGTCTAATAGAATGTTTGCTTTTATCTAGGTATAATATAATATGAAAATAGACATTTAACTCTGTCAAAATTAATTTAAAGTACCTAATAGGACTTAAGATACTCCGATTAATCATCGTTCTCTTAAGAAACTCATTACATTATTTAATAAAATAACATATAATATTCAGTATCACTGAGTTTCTTTCGCCGGTTCTTCTCAGGTCAGGGTATTTTCTTTTCCGAACCGGTGGTAGTCTCAAGTGAGCATCAATAAGAAAGTGTAATTGCTATATTGAATAAAGTTATTTGAGTTTGAGTTTAATTTAAAAATTTTATTGTTTCACTACCAGGCGACATCTACGAAGCTCGCCGTGAGCTGCTCGGCGGCAAAGAGCCGTCGATCACAGCTGAGATCCCCGAGTCCTACAACATCCCATCATTAACCAACACGATGCCCAACTTCGGTTCCTTCAATCCGTTCTCGCCAACCCACGCCAATGCCATCACCAATTCGCCATGTTCCCCTTATAACCTACAGTTGAACGAGTTGGCCAACTTTGGGCCAATGTTTGGCCATAACCCGCCAACTCCCGGCGGTTACCCCACGCCCTTGTCCCCAGTGGCGATGACCCCGCCAGTGTTCCCATCGGCATGGATGATCCCCTCCCCACAACCTAGACCGGGACAGTTCCACTTCCCTAGTATAGGAAACGCGCCTGTTATGTACAAAAATCAGACTACTTGGAATCGTTAGTATACATTAACATATGGATTACTTAAATATTACCCGCGGATTTCCGAGATTTCCAGGATGTAAACTAGCCTATGTATTATTCCTGGACGTCAGCTTCCTGTATACAAAATTTTATCAAAATCGGTTCAGCCGTTTGAGCGCGAAGAAGTAACAAACATACACACACACTACAAACTTACGCAATTGTAACATTAGCAGGATTATTATTTAAATATTACTTCAATCCACATAATTATTTATCACTAGTTTTTGCCCGCGACTTCGTCCGCGTTAATTTAGTCATTAGTAATATAGGTATAGCTGACCGGGTAAACTCTATTCCTTCTTCAATAACCCGGTATTGGTATTTATTAAATTTCTACTGTTTCAATTAAACAGAATGATTGACATATTAGTTAGTTGTCAAGTCTAATGTCAAAAAATCGTTTGTATGGGAAATAGAAAAGGTCTGTTTTTAGAGTTTTCCCGGCAATTATTCCAATTTTTCTCACCTTTTAAACCTTTCCTGGACTTCCAGGAGTATTTCAACACTAAAATTAGCCAAATCGTTCAGCCGTTCTCGAGTTTTAGCGAGACTAAGGAACAGCAATCCATTTTTATATATATAGAAGATTATGTACATGTATGTACAAACGCACAAGCTTAAATGCGTTCTGCCAAAAACCTGTCAATTGCCTCTAATAGAGAATAGTTTTGGGATTAAATTTAACAAATAATGAATGTTTGTAATGAAAAAGAAAAAATATACATACTGATATAATATATATAAGTATCAATATATTAGAGTGTAATGGGTATGTTTGTTACTTTAAAATAGATTCTTAATCTATATGTACTTATATATATGGTATACATGGTACATATACTTAAATAACTATTTTATGATATTTGTATGTTTTTCTGTTTTTCTGTTTGTTCTTCGTAATCTTTTAAACTGTTGAGACGGCTCTTAAATTCTCTCAGATGTCTGATAGTGAATTTTCACTGCCGTTCCCACTTTCGTTTTTATAAAGAATAACGGAAGACGAACATATTTCGAAAAAAATAATTTCATGCTGATAAAAAATATGATTCATGACATCTAGTCTTTGTAACTGATGGTTTATAAATATTTTATATTAATAAAATGTCTTATATATATTGTATTGATATTCCAGCGATGTCAAGTACCAATGAAATGATGCACCCGCCCCATCAGCACACACATCACCCACAACATGTATGTATATAATAAATATATATTAAATCGTAAACTAGAGAGTAATGAAAGTTCGTTATTTTGTCACTTTAAAACTAAAAGCAAAAATTAACACAAGCCATTACAACAATCAGCTGACAAAGTTATTTCACATAATAAGTATTTTATCTTTAAAAATTTCAATATAAGTACATAGTTTTGAATGCTAGAAGTATAACGTGAAGCTTTATTGATAAAGCAATCAAATAAGTCGTTTATTCATAGTATCAATAAATTACTTTATAAGAAATAAAACGATGTTCTGCATCGATACACCTTAAGATGTGCTTGGGACATCAAACTACTGACGGAGCGTATTCCGTTTTCGTAAATCTTCATAAATATTGTAATAAACATATTATATTTTCTTAACAGTAAGATATGATTATATATGTATACTAGAAGACCCGGCTAACTTCGTATCGCCCAATAATGAAGAAATATCTGTTACGTTTTTTTAATTTATATTTTTGGAGTTTACCTATTAAAGCCAAAAATCTCCGTGTTTTGAAGTGCGACAGAATGATTGACATATTAGTTAGTTGTCAAATGAATGAATGAATGTTAAAAAAAAAGTTTGTATCAACAACTACTAATAAATTAAAAATTAATTAAAAAAACATTGTCCAGCTGACAAAATTGTGAATCTAAACCATTCCCAGATCCCCTTGAAGACACACAAAAAAAATTCCTCAAAATCGGTCCAGTCGTTTAAGAGAAGTTCAGTGACATACACACTCCCAGAAGAATTATATGTATAAAGATTTAATATATATGTTTGTATACAGTTGTTGAACGCTAGTTCCGCAGCGAGCTCCGGCTACCAGAGCAACTTCACTGGCAGCTCTGTGTCACTTGACACGCAGAATATATCCGGTCAGTTAACATAATATATAACTATATATATATATATATATATATATATATTTCCTTTAAAATAATATAGCTATCATAACAAAACACGTAGTATGCAATGAGATCTAAGACTTTAATATTTTTGATTTACTGCTCGTTTTTTTATATCAAATGAGATAGCGGACGCTGCAAAAATATGAAACCTTGGGAGTATGTAGTTTAAATAATAGAATAACGGTAGTATTTAGTACTCCTAAAATATTAGTTTCATTTACATAGTACATACATAATTTATTTTAATATTTTGTGTTTCATTGGAAGCATCGAATCGCTGTTTTGAATTAAGTTCATATAGGCGATAGATAGCGTTGTCTGCCAGTAACTATAAATTAAGCACTAAATCCATCATATACCATCGTATGTTTTATAAGTTATGGACCAAGTGATAAATTGGTAATTTTTTATAATGACCAGGCAGTTAGACAATAGATAATAAGGCAATTTGATAATAATACTGATTATATATTATGCAGGGCTAGACATTATTAATAATTTTACATTTACCACATTATCCTTAACATATACATATATAATCAATATTTCCAGGCGGTGACGGCAGTAACGTGGTGTCTCCTTCCGTGTCGCCCATCAGTAAGACGCACAGCCCCACACCTTCCACTGACAACGAGCGATCACAACATGGTATGTTACACACGCACACACACACACACACACACACACACATACACGAACACACACGCAAATACAGACACACAACATATACAAACAGAGATATAAATGTACCGACATTTAAAAATGTTCCATTTTCGTCTATTTTAAATGTGAATCACTTAAAATTTTGCTGAATTACATTTTAATATTATATTTAATACCAAAATTAACATTATAATTCTTCCTATAACTTCTTAATATAAAGCAGTTTCTGTTATTTAACGATTACACTAAACCAAGTAATCATGACCAAATATCTAACATGATTCTGTAAAATAGCAGATGGTCTGGAACTGCTTCAACAATATCAACAAAACATAGTTATGAACCATGACAAGAGAACTGACTATCAAATGTAAAAACCACATCGAAATCTTTCGATCCGTTTGAGAGCTATGACGTCACAAACACACTCATAGAAGTCTAACTTGTATCATTTTTCTTTTCCTTATAAGTCTTAAAAATAATTTTATATTTATCTTACATGCGTTATATTTTCAATGTCACAAACACACATACATAAACTTATAACACAGCTCTTATTATAATGGTATTAAGAATAATTTTACATTACATATAATTTTTAATGATTTCAGAGCTCGCAAACATAATATCTGAGCTGCCGTTGTCTGAACGGCGCGCTGTCGGCTGTGAGAAGAAGACCTTGGAGAACTTGACGAAGATGTCGCCACTGTCGTCACTGTCACCGCTCACACCGCTCAATGACTACCGGAAGATGAAGGCGGAAGCTAATAAGGTAAATATATTTAAAACTAGCTGCGCCCCGCGGTGTTACCCGCGGATTTCCGGGATGTAAAGTAGCCTATGTCTTATTCCTGGACGTCAGCTTCCTGTATACAAAATTATATCGAAATCGGTTCAGCCGTTTGAGCGTGAAGAAGTAACAAACATACACACTCACAAACTTTCGCAAGATAATATTAGTAGGATAAAAATCTATATTAAATTAAATATACGTATAATATTATCATGCTTCTATTATTTGAAGTATTTTTATAATGAAACACGTGAAAGACAGACTGCTTTTTGATTAATTAAAGAATTGACATTTCATAGTACCATATCACAGATAATAAAACTATAACATCAAACCCATTTTTATACATCCTTCTAACAAGTTAGCTTTAAACATTATCAGGTCACAAATAATAATTCAAGTTATTAGAATCTAAGAAATTCAGATTTCTTATTAGTTTTTCGTATCCCGGTTATTTAAAATTTCGTAGATACTCCGAGTTAAATAATCTTCATTTAGCTGTTGCGAAGCATTTTCAGTTTGAGTTACACATTGAAAGGCACAATGCGAAAGTTGATAGGAATGGATACATTATAAACGATATGTATACGGCACAGTATGTTTTCTAGGTGAACATATATACATATGATTGGTTGAAAAAACATACCTAATCCTGGTTTACCTAGAAAGCGTATCATAATTCTTCTTTTTCTACCTGGCAATTTCCCAGCTGTAGCCAGGGTCTGCCTTACATGTTGTGAATAGTTTTGGCTATTTGTTTTACAACCAGCCGCCTGGCTAACATCAACCCTCTTTTGTGAATTAGCATTAATCAGTGATGTCTAAATATTCTTAGAAAGTACATATGACTCGGAAAAATCACATTGGTACTTGCCCGGGCCAGGATCGAACCCGCGCCCTCGTGCATGAGAGGCGGGCCTTTTAACCACTAGGCCACGACTGACTATAAACTGACTACAAAGCATACCATCCTACTAATATTATAATTGCGAAAGTTTGTGAGTGTGTGTGTATGTTTGTTACTTCTTCGCGCTCAAACGGCTGAAGCGATTTTGATAAAATTTTGTATAGAGAAAGCTGACGTCCAGCACATAGGGAATCCGGGTAATACCGCGGGGTGCAGCTAGTAGTTATATATATATATATGTAATTACATAATACTTATATATTACAGGCGATGCGTGAATCCGTCGGGTCCGGCTATAGAGTTCCTAACACTCGCTGGTCTGGATATTACTTCAGTCACACTTCTCCCGGACCTATTAACTTGAAGGAGGAGAATACTACGGTAATATATATTACTATGTATTTCTATTAATTATTAATTGTTCGTAGATTGTATGGATGAGAGATTATTTCACTCTTGATATATGATTATTGATTTTCGTCTGTATTCATTTAAATGAAATTAGGGTTTTCTGATTACTACGCGTTGTTTAATTATTTTGAACTACATATACCCGATCACTGATGACGGTAAAAATAGTCAAAAGAACGGTATATTCGAAAAAGTCAGTTTTATTTACAAATGGTATATTACGCCCAATTGTAAAGTCTGTGCAGACGAAATATTAGGCTAAAAGTAGTTAGATGCGCTATTTTAGAGAACTGAGTTTCAATTCCTGTTTGTATTTATTAATTTTATAATTTCATTCATCTTGACAAGTTTTATACACAGTCAATATTTCAATTAGCCATTTTTAGTACATCTTTCTTATATATATTACAAATATTATTGTCAAATATAATACGGTGGTAAAGTTACTTTCATTGTGTAATATTCCCAAAATAACTAAAAAACTTCTTACTATGTATGATACTGGTAGATTTCATTTGTAAAAAGATTTACGAAATTTCGATGAAACTTTATAGTAAAGTAGTTTAGACATCAGAATAACACTTATGCTGTATAATTTTAAAATTCCATGTTATTCTCGTTTGATCACAGTAAAAAAGTATTATGTGTAAAGTCACGTGATACGAATTGCAGATGTTGCTGTCATTTGACTACCATATTCATAATTTTAACACAATTACAATCTCTCTGATCCTAATTCCACTAATAAGACGAAGTCGTAAGGAAAAACTCAAAATGTCACAATGGTGAAAATAGACAATTTTATATAAATGCATTATTAATTAAGTATTAAAACTATTTCAGCCGGAGAAATCATGGAACAGATCGGATTTAGTTCGTCCGAACATAGTAGAAACAGCTCCCTCGCCACCAACGAAACAATGCCGCTACCAACAACTATACGATTTGCTAAGAGATATTGGATTACACAAATATATAGGTAATATATTAATTAGAAAATATTAACCGGTTAGTTAGTAAAAAGTTACAGTTAAATGTCGCTGGCGTTATTAGAATTTGTTGGGTTAGTTAAAAACATGTGTGAAAAAAAACATTCTTGTCTACAATACATAAGATTACAGAATCATACTTTACTAGAAATTGTATAAAATTGAATTCCTTCTTAATAACATAATAAACTTAATAAGATTTATGCCACGTGAGACTTACTAAAATATATTTTTAAGTTATAATACTACATGCTTACCACAAGTAAGTCGCTAACTACATACGAAGCATTTCCGAGATTAAAATTTATAAATAAAGTACATGATAATATTAATGTAGGTTCCAAACTGAAAACGCTCTGTATGAGGTGTGATAACTCAAACTTGGTGTAAGCTAATTGAAAAATGTACATGTAAAATATATGTAACTCACACATCTCTATATATAAAAGAAAATCGTGTTAATTAAACTATAACTCAAGAAAGCCTGTACGGATTTGGTTGAAAATTGGTGGAAAGATAACATAGAACCAGTAAAAGGACATATAAGTTGATAAAATCCAAAATCTTATTTATTACCTCTAAGAAGGAACAGAGTTCGTCTGGCCATATATTTCTAATACAGAATTCTGAATTAAAACAGATGAAGTCACAGGCAAAAGCTAGTACAATATAATTTCATTTTAATAAATGTTATTTAAATTATTGTAGATCTGTTCAAGAAGCACGAGCTTGACATGTCGACGTTCGCGTCTCTGAACGAGGCTGACCTCACTGAGATCGGGATAACGGCTTTCGGGGCTCGACGAAAGATGCTGCTGGTCATAGCTGGTACGTTATATACTAATTCACAATTATATATATACTATCCGCTCCCCGCGATGTTACTCGCAGATTTCCGAGATTTCCGGGATGTAAAGTAGCCTATGTGTATGTGTGTGTACCGGATTTCCAGTATGGTTGTATCGTAATGAGGTCTAAGACCTTCTCGAATAATCGAGATTCAAATATATTGAAATGAAACTTATATTTTCGGATTACAAGGCACTATTTATGTAATTATTCTTGAAACTACATACTGCCGACGTTTCTGCAAAGTAACAAAAATGACGTCGGGAGCAGTACATAATCCGAGAATATCAGTTTCATTGTAATTGTTGTACCGTTTCAGACACTCTGTACGGAAAACAAGAAGGCTTCCTGTTTAGTTTTTTTTGTGAATTATCCTACTTATATTATAATTGCGAAAGTTTGTGAGTGAGTGTGTACGTTTGTTACTTATTTACGCTCAAACGGCTGAACCGATTTCGATAAAATTTTGTATACAGGAAGCTGACGTCCAGGAATAACACATAGGCTACTTTACAATCCGGAAATCCGCGGGTAACACGGCGAGGCGCAGCTAGTCTTACATAAATCTTATCTTATCTTATTTCTTACAGAGTTGCAAAAACAGTCGAGCTCCTATAAAGCCGGTTCATCTGACAGAAAGCTGTTAAGCTCACCACAGTACACTGCGCTGGCGCATGACAAATGGTAGACAGCCATAACGTGCACCATAACAATAATGTTACACACATTAAATCTCAATACATTATCAAATTATTATTATAGTGAGGTCGTATATCAAAACCGTTGCGAGCATTAAATATTAAATATAAAGCCTGATTCTTACCATTAGTTGCCATCGTCGAACATACGGAGCGTCATTAGTTTTCCATTATTGATTATTTAACAAAAATAAATACTCTAAACTGTATGTTTGATCTTGCGAACTAGTAGTAAGATAACGCTAACAGTTTTGATACTTGTCATCACTAGTTAATTATCCAAGACTGATTATTGACTAGTAATTACGTCGTCTCGATACAATTGAGATGTATGACGAAGGCCTTTAATGATGTTACAGAAAGTTAATTTCTTATATAGATTTTATATCGATAGTATGGCTTGTTGATGTTTATGAGATTTTTAATATGTACTTTTAATATATAATCCTAGCTAGCGATGCGACATTTGATTTCGGATCTCAGACACGTAATTGTTGAAGTAAACCGTACCTAATTAATATAGTTATAAGCTTATAATATAATGTAACATTTATTTGCGAGGGCATGTTTTATTTTATGATTTTTAACAGTATATTATTCAGCACAATGCATTTGTTATCCGGACTTGAGTTTTTTATATAATTATTTTTCTTTTTTAAATCCACATACATTCGTACAGTTTTAATTTTTGATTATTATATCATGTATATCAAGAAATGTTGCCAGTCGATATAATCTTTGTTAACATATTTTAATTAATATGTTTATGAAAAGAATATAGATAATCGTTATCGGCGTTTGACAAATTTTATCAGTACATCGGTTATAGAAATTTTTCGTTGGACCATATTAAATGACTTGATTTTAAATAGGACGGATCTTTGTTCAGTTTGTACGATAAGTCGCATACTGAATCATTTTAATCAATTAACAATTAGTTATAAAATCATTGTGTTTGTGTTTTATATATATATAAAGTTTTATTTTTAGTGCATTTTGATTTTAACTATATTAACATGCTAATTGAATGAATGCTCTTATATTTTAAGTGTTTTTAGACTCCAGTAATGTGTTGCTATATAATTAACATAAGTAATAAGTGAATTATGTATCAACTCATTAATTTTAATCTTCTAGTTATTTAAGTATTTCTATATAATTTTCTTTTTAATCATGAACTAATGATTGTGAATCTTTTTATGTTTTGATTATGTATGTCCAGACCCCCTGTAGTGATTATGAAATAATACTTTGTGATAAAAGATTGTTATAAGTATCTTTTATAATGAGTTCATGAGTTTTCGTTTTTTAATTTTATTTCAGTTTAAGGGGTGGTATGCACGATGGTTTTGTTTTTATTTTATTTTTTTTAAGTTTTGCCTGTCAGATTAAATATTCACAAAAGTATGATGCTGGTTTTATTATTTTGTTTTTAATACCGCCTTTATTTACAACGTATAATGCTTTTAAATTATTAATTTTTTATTAAAGTTGAAAGTCATTAAACTTAAATTACAATGGCTTGATAATTCTTATTCACACTTAGTTTTTTTTCTTTGAATTCATATTTGGGTTTTTGGACTTAGAATAATTGTTTTTATGAGAAAGAAAGGGAACATAGACCTTTATAAACTAACTGAAAAATAAAAATATTCAATACTTATAGAAAGTATTTAAATTTTGTACTAACTATAATTTCCTGATATAATAGTCATTTGTAACAGCATTTATCATGGAAATTATTGGCCTTTTTTTAAATATCTTATCTTATCTTTCTTATATATTTCTTAAAATTAGCAATTCTTGTATATATGTATATTTATATATAATGGGAATCTTGGTGAAGGCTCCAACGGTGTTCATGAAATAGAAATTGATCTTTAGAGTTATTTTTAGTGTTTCTTTAAAAGTCACAATTCATTGCTAGCATGAATTTGAATGCAACTCATTCACTCTCGCTCTGTCCCCAGTAACGGTTAACACAACCTTGTTGGAAGTCATAATATGTTTTACTTCAAAATAAACAAATTAATAGAAATTTTAAATTTCACAAAATTAACCATAATTTACAGTAAAGAAGAATTTTATGCTTTAATTACTGTTGTAGCTTCATTCGTAAATGAACACTGATTCTATAATTAATTTTGTCAAGTTAATGTCAATCCAGCATTGACATTTGACTTCACTTTGACAAGAGCAAAAGGTGGTGAAAATTGTTTTTCATAAATATTTCATCATATTTTCATAAGTTCATAAAATGGGAAATGCAAATGCAAAAGCCGTGGACGGTAGTGTTCCACCATTGCCAGAACCGGCTCAGGTTGAGAAACCGAAATTGAAGCCTTGCTGTGCTTGCCCGGAAACAAAACGAGCGCGGGATGCTTGGTAAGGTTATTGCATTTTCCACGAAATATTCATTACGTAATGGATTTTTAATTTAATATTGTAATTTTGTCATCATTGTTGCATATTAGTATTAATTGTTGATACTATTGAATATGAATTCGCAGTGTAAGTAAATTGTAATAGAAAAATGATGTCTTAAGATTTTCAGTAGTACAATTTAGTCATTAAGCCTTATGGATCAGATTTATTTACATTTCTTCTAAATTTTCAAATAATATTAGTAATCTTTATCACATTAAGATGAGATGAGAGTATTTGTTGTTTAGTCTTGTATTTTGTTATTCTTAACAATTACTTTACATCGGTACAGCATGTTAAGCGTCAGAAGTCATCTATAAAGTATCTGTTTGTGTCTATAGACGTAGTAGAAAATTAAGATATTGTTAATACGGTCAATACAATATGTCCTTTCATCTTATCAAGGCTTGGTCTCAATTAATAAAGAGTGTTAAGAACATATCTTAAATGTTGATTAATAAAATATTTAATGTAAATCTTATATTCTTTTACAGTATTATTGAAAATGGAGAAGAAAATTGCGGCCCGCTGATAGAAGAACACAAGGCTTGTATGAGGAAGATGGGTTTTAACATATAAAATGCTGGTTGCCTTCACCAACAGCTTTGAACGCAGCTTGGGAATTTGAGATTGAATGTTGTACATATAGCATCTTTCATTATTTTTATGATTTATGTTAAAAGTAAATTTAACGGCATTACTCTGTTAGCTTTAATAATGTATGTCACTGGAAACTTTGTTATTTCTTTATAGATTGTCCAAAAACTTTACTTTATCATCGAAATTAATCATTGTGGAGATATGTGATTGGATGAATGTGAAGTGTACTTTTAGATTTAATGTAGTTATTAGTTTGAGATTTACCAAATGTATGTTTAAAATAACATTTTAAATATTACTATCTTAAACTTATTCGTATTTATTGATAATTAGTGCTTAAGCCATTTTAATTTTTTTTTGTGACCTGTCATACATTAAATAAAACCTTTTTTCTGCCATAAACATGCCATTAAGAAGTTCAAAATCCAAATTTATAACTAAGTGAGTATGATCTGAAGTAAAAACATTATTTATTTTAAAAATTGTACTTACATCTACATGTGTTTAGTAAATAAAGATGTTTTGTTTTAAATATAATTTCTTTATTTATTATAAAACCATACAAACACTTTTGTCTAATTAACAAATGGCTGTAAAGGAAAATAATTTAAAAAGAATGTATTAAATGGACTCACACATTTCCTATGGAAAGAATACAGTTCCAATTATTTGTGGACCTGAATGTTCAAGTGTTATGTTAGTTACATATGGCCCGGTTGACATCCAGCCACAAGCTTCAGGAAAAGTACAAACTGCTTAACATGTATAAATGAAACTTAGTAACTAAACAACTTATTATCTATACCAAATACCTAAGTATAGATTAAAGGCTACTTTTAGAGGGCAGTAATGTCATCATATTGCTAGTAGTATCAGGGAATCCTTGATACAATATTTTATCCATACAAAGCTAATGCCCCGGCGATGTCCGTTCAATAGTCAACATGTGTGTTGCATACTAAATAAATTAGATAGTAAATAGAAATTCCGAATTTTACTAGCAAATTGGTTATGAAAATTAAGTTTTTGTTTAAATATCTTGACGTGACGATCTACTTAATATTCTTTTTATGTTAGTGAAGGCGTCATAAATCCCACGTATTCAGCCATCTGAAATGACAACATAGAAGAATTGACTGTTTTATTTCTTACACTTTATATCTGAGTATTATGCAATTAAAAACAATAATTACAAACACAAGATACGTGACGTGATAAAATTGATTAAATTATTAAGTACAGTGACATCTGTTGATAAAAACATGATTTTTTTTTATTAGTAGCAATAACGACAATATTTTTGTTTGAAATTAATGTATCTTATTTATATCTTGCTGTAATATCGCTTATTTACTGAACTCCCGTTTATGAAAAAAATTAAACCAATGAAAAGATAAACTGACACTAATACAATTGAAAATCATATCTCTTTACAATATTAGTACTTATATCTTGATAAATGCTAGCGCCTAGCTGTTAACTAACAATAAAAAGGTGATAAACAGGTCAAGATCTAGTCTAGATTTAGTCAATAATTTTTACGATCATAGATGAGAATGAATTATTGATTGAAGAGTAAAAAAAGACAACATTATTCTCATTTTTTTGTAAGAACAAAACTGAGATAATTTTGATCAAAAGTGAATCAAAATAATAATTCTTTTAACATCACGATGATAAGGCATCCTTTTAACTATCGCTTTAAAGAAAAACAGTTACTAATAATAGCTTCCTACACTTATCAGTTATCTAAAACGGCTTCCTAAAATACTTACGTAAGTATTACTTTAAGTTTAATCAATACGCGAAAGAAGGCGCGGGTAAAATCTAGTTATGCTACATAAATGTCATAATAACAATAAATACAAAACAAAGATACTTGTGAAGTTATAATGGAATCAAAGTTATTTAAATGATAGTTATAAGCTACGCGCTTTTTATGGTTTTTTTAAATACGATTCGTTTCCTTTACAGAAACCGTGATCACGGATGCATGAGATGAATTAAATTGAATTGGATGAATTAAATTATTAACACGCAAATTAAAATATAAAACTTTATATTCGACGCATTATCATTCAGTGTCATTTACCTTTGAAGCAAAATATCGTATGTAGATTAATTTAAAGTTTTAACCGACATTCTTATTCATTTAAATATCTAAGGAAGTTTTACGTTTTAAAAACTTACAAACTGCTGGTGTGAACGTCGATACAGATTCTTCCTAACTAATAACTTTTCCTGTTCCAACATTCGCAACATCTAAAACAGTCGCTACTACAAAGTAATCGCCCGGGACCTTGATCTTTTCAAGCCTAACCCCAATAGCGTAGTAATACTTATCTGTTATCTTGTATAAACATGACGGGTTCACTAAGGTACAATTACATACAATCATTATCTATACGATTTCTTCACATTACGATTCGAGAGACCGTTTCGCACAACTCGGGACGCTAGCAGTGGATATCGTAATTTTATTTTACAAATGTATTAAACACAATCATTTAACTGTGGTATTAATAGTGTTTTAATATAATATATCTATATATGTTATAAAAATGCGTTTCAAAAGAAATTCAACACAAAACAGTGAAGATAATTCAGCGGCGACTTCGATCGAAACTTCGAACAGTTTTGGGTAAGTCATTGACCTTTCATATTAAAAGTTTTAATAACAACATTTCTGGAACTATAAGTATTAACTATTATACCTTATACAATAGCGACATATACAAACATTCAGACGAGAAGGTTCTTTGAACAACCAGATTTACATGATCAGGACTTTCTTTAATGAAAAATAGTAAGAAAATATGTGAAGATAAAATTTGTTAAGAACTAATAATATATTTTAGATAGTTCTCATTAGGATTTCTAATTATACAGAAAAGTTTATTTTAGTCTTGTGAATTTATGTCAAGAATTAAGTTATCAATTGAAATGACCAATTTCTAACTAGTTATTGCTAACGTTATTGCAGTTCAGTACTTTATAGTTTAATTAGATCAAAGTTTAGAACAATGTTTCGTTCGGAAATTATTAACCTAACACAATTTATAAAATTCAAAATATTTTTTTTCACGAGTTACCGTTAGGTACTTCATCTCTATTTTTTTTTTTACATTCAACGAACCCTGAAACATAATGAAAACCGATTAGACGAGTGAAACAAATTACGCTAATGTTGAAATCCTTTGCTATTAATTGTGGCATAAATTAAAACATGGCTTACATAAGTAGATACACGTATTTTCAATATAATAAAACAGTTGTAATTCATCTAGTCCTAGGTAAGCATAAAATGCAACTTCTTCAAGTATTTTATACATAAGTTATAAATTAAAGTAGGATTTAAAAATAGATTGTTATAAACGATAACAAATTGTATCTGGTATGATTTTGTCCTATCGTAACAAAAATATTTTTTTGTATCGTATTCAGTTTTATCAATGATAATAGTTATATAATTACAACTGTAACCATTTTTGTATAAAACATTATATTAAGTGACGAAATCAGTTATTTTCGGGTAGCCAAGAGAAAAGTTTTACTTGAGACTATGGTAAAAGAGATTTGGAGTGAGAGAGAGACAATCCTTCTCTAACTATTGAATAGAAAATTTATATAAATTTATGTATATAAACAAAGATTGTTTTAATTGCAGAATTTTTGACACCGATTGTTCAGATTTCTCGGGATGTCAGTGCGGAGAGGAGATCAAACAAACAAAAAGTTATAGGTGAGATAAATTAATTATATATACATATATATACATACAGGGTGACTGTTGAATTACTATCGATATTTGAGGACGTGATATTTGACGATCATATATGACAAAATAAAAATTAATATAACATAAATATTAATAAACTTCTAAGTAAAGTTAACCAAAAGTTGTGTAATTAATTACGCATCGTGTGAACACCCTACAGATTAGGTATACACACACACTCACACACACGCGGCGGGGGCGTGGTTTTGTATCAGCACGCTGCCGCACGCGTCCACACTTGGAACACTTGGAACGTGTCAACACTTTATTTATTTATACGGAAATTTGGTCAGAAATTAAGTACCTATTTTTTTTACATAATTCGAATGAGAATCATGTACCGAGTATTCTCCTTAAATATTGATAGTAATTCACCAGTCACCCGGTATATATATATATATATATATATATATATATATATATATATATATAATTTAAAGGCAAAATAATACATAATATTTTTGAAGTGAATATTTTTTATTTGTACACATATAATATAACAGAAGTGCATAGTTTTGTCTTATATTTTTTGAAAAAAAATGCTAACCTCTATAACTTATATAGCAAAACACGAACAAAGAGTTGTGCGACTCTTTGCCTTCAAAATGCAATCGATCGGGAGACGTACCCGTTACTGTTGGGGACCAAGAACAACTACAACACACTAAGCTCCAGTACAGATACATTAGTAAGTATTAATACTTTCATTTTTAATGTTCATCACCTGCCAATAGATAGAGCGACAGTCGACCACTGTACAATACGAAAAAACCTTTTTAAACAAACTATAATTCATATCTTTTTTCCTAATGACAAAAATTCAAACAATTTTCTTTACATATATAATATAATATGTTAATTTACTTTATAATTCATTATTCATTTTATATATTTTATTAAATATGAAAGAATGAATGGATTTTTGTAACTTGTTGAGATTCCGTCCATAACACAAACTTATAAATATTTCATCAAATCAAGATACTTTAATTACTAAAGAAGCCGCACGCTATATTATAAAAGTTGCAAGTTTGAATTCTACTCAGATTCAATTGAAAGAAGAATTTTTCTACACTCTTCCTTCGAAAGTACTTCGGGAACAAAATTAATTAATAAAAATATATTAAGATAAAATATGCTCAGATGTATATTTCCTGAAAGTTATTAATATTTAATGAACGTCGCGGATGACGCATGTGTTGTGATAACCAATACATATTCTTGACTCATCACAGTTGTAAGATAGTAAAGCGTGAATTTATCTTAAAAATAAATTGCAATTTCTATATTTAGTGCACTTCAAGATTAATATAATTATTGCAAAGTAATAAATAATATAATTTTTTTATGAGAATCTTTTTTTTACTTTATAAAATTTAAATGAGTTATAAATAGAAATTATTTTTGTTTTGTTTAGTTGGGCTGGCATTATCTGTTTTTTTTTGTAATACAGACTCAAGCCCGACTAAACATCCGCTTGTTTAGCTTCGTTTAATACAATAAAAATATATCCATATATCATAATTTATTAATTATAGGGTCCAGCCGAATTATCAGGAAAAGAAATCATGGCGACTTATCAGAAGACTTTAGAGAGAAGTATGAAGTGTGATAAAAATAAACAGAGTTCTCTTGTTACCATGTGAGTTACCACTGTATGTATAAACATTTTTGTGCAATAATTATTTTATTTATCACGATTGTCAGAGTTCACTGTCATTAAGCCCAATTTTTATTTCAATTATTATAATGTTAATTGAATGAATATATGTACTCTTTAATTTGAGAAAAACACATGAAATATTTATTGGAATCCCTACTAATATTATAAATGCGAAAGTAACTCTGTCTGTCTGTCTGTCTGTCTGTCTGTCTGCTACGCTTTCACGCCTAAACCACTGAACTGATTTTAATGAAATTCGGTACAGAGATAGAGTTGACCTTGAGAAAGAACATAGGATAGTTTTTATCCCAGACTTTTGAAAGGTTCTCTTGGAAACGCGATATAAACGAACTCCACGCGGCGAAGCTGCGGGCGGAAAGCTAGTAAGTAATAAAATTGATATTTTTATACGAATACATGTTTGTAGTATATTTTATGTTCATAGCTTTATCAAATTTCGTATGAGATCAGTCCTCTAGTATTAGGTACATTCATTACTCTTCATATATGATACTCGTAGTAGATTAATTAATTCGTCTTCGATTAATTAATTGAATCATAAGAGCTCTTTATGTTTATAGCACAAATTTCTGTATTCCTCGTACTTACTTTATTCAACGAGCAATGATATGGTACTTTTATTATAAACTAGTTTTTGCCCGCGACTTCGTCCGCGTTAATTTTGGAATAAGTACTATAAGTAGGTATAGCTGACAGAGCGATCTCTGTTCCGCCCTAGAAGCCGTAATTAACCATATATTGGAATTTATTTAGTTTTTTATTTTGTTTTCGATCAAACAGAGTTAAATATCCTATCTCCGTCTCTAGGTTCTAAGTTATCTTCCCGCCAATTTTCAACCACATCCCTAAAGCTTTTAAGTTATAAATAGTGTAACTAACACAGCTTTCTTTTACATATATAAGATATATATGTATCTTCTTCTACCTAGCAATTTCCCAGCTTTTAGCCAGGGTCTGCCTTACATATTGTGAATAGTTTGGGCTAATTTAATAGGATATATATGTATATACCTATGTATATTTGTATATATGTAAAGCATTCTCTTATGTTCCAGTTTCTCAATATGGAGTACTATAATGGGTTCATCTCTTCTGGCGATGGCGTGGGGCGTGGAGCGAGCTGGACTCCCGGCCGCCTTGCTCCTACTGACCGTGATGGCTGGACTGTGTCTCTACACCGCGTATATATTAATAAGAGTCAACGCACAGCACGGTATGATTATATATGTTGAAGAATGAAGATAACCTTTGTACTACGTGTTTTAGGAGCTTATAAGTTCGTTAAGAATAAATCACGCACGCAATATATGCCTTTAAAATGATTTTCTTGTACGCTCATACAGTAAAACTCAGACTTTGGTATAATATTAGGATCATTTTTCAATTCGTAACTACAAATAATGTAATACAAAGAAATATCTTACAGAAAATGCATCAGAATATAGAAAAGGGAGAAATAAGAGCGCATGATAATTAAGCTAATAATAATTAATACATAATTCAGTAGCACATCTCCAAGCCAATTCATATTGTCTTTTTCTGCAGGTAGTTCGACATGTGAAGTTCCCGCCTTGTGTCTGTTACTGCTGGGTCGCTGGTGGTCAAGAATCGCTCACGCCTTCAGTCTTTTAGTCCTATTAGGAGCGACCCTCGTCTATTTTCTGTTAATGGCCAATTTCTTATTTTACACCGTCAATTATTTCATGGGTACGTAATTAGTCTTTAGTCCCTGGTTTTAAACTTATTGATAATTCATTCGAAGCATTCAATGAGAGTTAAAAAACAAGAGGATTTAAAAAAATTAAACTATACATATTTAAGCTCTTAAAAACAAGTAAACTACATTTACAGGAATACCAAGTTAAAAACTTTTTTTTACATTGGGGAAGCGATTTATCACTTTCCTCCGACCCAAGAGGGGAGTAGGAAAATTGCTTAGAACGCCCCCGGGATAGGCCAAGAACAACAACCAGGAACAACAAAAATACTCCGTAATGCTTATACTTACTCATGGATTAGTAGGCTCGGAGAAAAAAGATAGCTTCCACATCCGACAATGTCTATCTAGCGGTATTTTCCAAATGTTTTGAATTTAGAGTATCCTTACGAAATTAATCTTTACGTAGTGAGGGAGTGACCTTGACTTCCTTCCCCCCTCCCTATGAACTAGATAACTGATAAGGAGTAAACAAGCAAGCCACCTTGTTCTACATGGATATTCTCGCCTGATGGATATGAACAGCGATAGAACCAAAATCATATTCTAATATAATTTTAAACGGTATATCTATATTTCCAGATGTTTCAACATCAAACCAGACGACATACGGCACAAATCTGGTGTGTCCAAAGCACGATGTGTTCATGACGTCACCACAAGTCCCTCAAGAGTCCTCTCCCTTCTGGGGTCTACACACCACTGTACCTGTTTATGTCGCGCTTATAATGTTTCCATTGTTGTGCTTCAAAAACGTCACATTCTTCACTCGCTTTACTTCTTTTGGTAAGTGTCATCTCATTGAAATGATCATTTTTGTTCATTTAAGCCGAACTTGCTCGTGTAGTTGTCATTTAATTGGCTTCTTTATATTCGTGTTATAAATGTAAATGGAGGTGATGGTTTAATGCGCGTTAAATATAGGCCCCTTAAACCTACACCTGGGTCGCAAGTCCTAGGCACTGTTGAAGCTCCTCTCCTTACAACGACGACTTGGCACGCACGGTGAATCTATTGAATGATGAGAGGTTTCGTCTCATATATACATGAATCATTTTCAGGTACACTAGCAGTGATCTACCTCCTGCTATTCGTGATAGTGAAAGGTTGGATGTGGGGAATCAATTTGAAATCAATAGACATTAAATGGGAAGGTTTACATGGAGCGAGGAACGCGGCCGTTCTCAGCGGGATGCTGGCTCTATCATTCTACATACATAATATTATCATTACGATAATGAATAACAACGCTAGACAGGAGAAAAACGTAAATATATTAATTTTATTAGAAACCAATCTATATTTTAATAATTCATTGTGGTTAAACTTGGCTTTAACTACTTTTTTGTAACAGGGGCGTGATTTGACGATAGCGTTTATGTTGGTGACTATAACATACACACTCGTCGGTACAGTCTTCTTCATATGTTTTCCGTTGGAGAAGAATTGTATTGAGGACGTGAGTAATAATTTCATTATATATTTCTTATAATGTGTCAATAAAAAATTCGTAATGTATTTTAAATTCTTTCAGAATATTCTCAACAATTTTGAAAAACACGACGTCATGACTGTGATTGCTAGAATACTTCTACTATTTCAGGTAAAACGTTTTATCATACATAAGTAACTATTTTTAGCGCTCTATTTTTATATCAGTAATTTTTTCACATTTTCTGCCACGATATCTTATAGTTTCACAAAAAAATCTGTACATATCAATTTATATAGGTATTTTGCGAATAAATAAAGAACCTGCACATTGAAACATATGTTTTAAAAAATGACTCTTAAAGTTTAAGTTTATTGTGAGTACGTAAAGTAACTGTTATTCTAATGTAAAAAAATTAATAAAGTTAAATCGTGAGATAAGTTCTATTTGGGTCATAAGGATTTTTATGTTAAAAGTTTAAAAAGCATGTAGAGATATACATACAATGCAAAGCTTCGAAAAAAAGTGTTTTTTTCCTAATTTCGCCCGGTTCATGTATTATAATAATGATGATTTTGTATCAGACATAAAAAGGTTCATTATCCAAAAACTGTGTTTATAGCTGTTATGTTATTATGATTATAAATAAAGAATATAAAGTCTCTTTGAAGTAGCCACATTCACAGAGGTTCAGTGAGCTTTCACAATTATTTTATGATCTAGTTAATTTTCTCAGAAAAATGAAATATTTATTTTATTATTTTTAATTGATTACTCAATATCATAGATGTAAGACTTTCGCGAGTATTAATTTAAATAAAACTAATATTTTCCTTTTAAGCGTTTTGCGTGATCAAATATCTCGTCTGCAAGTGATTACAGTTCCTGCAAAGTAACGGAAACGTCTGAAATACGTATTTTAAAATAATAAAAACGCGAAGTAAATCCGAAAATATTAGTTTTATTTAAATAATACTCATTATTTGACACTAGAGTATCGAGTTATACCTAATTAATATATCTATCAGGTGATGACAGTGTACCCGCTAGTAGTGTGTCTAGTGCGTGTGGAGGCCGCTCGTCTCCACACTCTCGCCTCGGCCCGCGGCGCCGACCTCGTCATCAACGGGAGTGTGGTGGTGGCATGTATCGTCGTCGCGTGTCTTTGTCCCTACATAGGGATTATCATACGGTATGATACTTTAATATTAGAAAGTCACTAGCTTTCCGCCCACAGCTTCGCCCGCGTGGAGTTCTGTTATATCGCGTATCATAGAGAACCTTTCAAAAGTCTGGGATAAAAACTATTCTATGTTCTTTCTCAATGTCAACTTTATCTCTGTACCGAATTTCATTAAAATCAGTTCAGTGGTTTAGACGTGAAAGAGTTAGACAGACAGACAGATAGATTTACTTTCGCATTTATAATATTAGTAGGGATATACATACATATATACATGAGTGTCTTATAATGTTTTACAAAATGGCTGATGCCCGCGCTTATAGTTTCTTGAATACGGGTGACACTTTAATATTGCTATTTCCAAATTACTATAATTCAGTATTATAATTTATTATAATGAGAAATGTAAATAATGTTAAGATTATATTATAATTAGTATAGCACGAAAAGCGCCATTTGTAACAATATATTCCTTACAATGCATTATTCCACTATATGACTATAAGATCATCGTACTGAGTTAGTATCGGACTATGATTGCGAAAACATTGAGTGGTTTTTTGCGTATTGTTTTCAGCTATTGAATTATAAATTACTTGCCTTACTTAAAGCTTAAATATTGCTAATAATAATATATATATTAATAAAATATCTGTTTGTATTTAGTTACACGGGAGCCATCAGCGGTTTGGTCCACGTGTTCGCGTTACCATCACTACTACACATGAAGTCACTGCAGTTGAGAGGAAAACTAAACATATGGATAATCATATTTTACGTCGCCATCATAATATTCGGAACTATTAACTTAGTGATGCAGTTCTTTATAACATAGACTATAAAAAACTACAATAATTAGTGTTTTAAGTCTATTTTTTAATTCTTATGAAAATAAACTTATGTGACGTCATTAGGTTAAATATTAACATTTTATTAATGTTTAAGAATGTTATTTTAAGTCGTAATTTACTTTACTGTCACTGCCGAAAATATTTTTAAGAAAAAACAAAATCTAGTCAATAAATAAATAAAACGAAAATCTATATTTATGTTTTATTGAAAAATAATATACAAATATAATATTTAGGAAACAAAATTACAAGACCAGAAGCCAAAAATGACTTCATTAAAACTTATTATAGTTTTTGGGTTTAATAATAATCACATAAAAAATTTCTTATAGCTACCAAATTGTATTATACATTCAAATATAAAATATATGTAGAATTGTAGATAACACTTTTACTTTATTTTGTATTTATAACGCCAATAACTTTATAGTAACATTTGTATCAAAAAAACAAGATGTTTAAAAAAGATTGTTGCTGATTAAATATTTAAACTGTACACCTTATTAAATATTATGCCCTTGTTCTATTATAAAATCTCTTTATTTACATAAAATTCATTAGTTATAAAATATTATTTTATTATATATAAAATATGTGGTAACATGAAGGAAATTTCTAGATTTCGTATAAGAACAATGGTATGTATCAATGTATGTACTGGTTCTAATAGGTTATGGCCAAGTAGTTGGTCATGCAAACAGCAAAATAATGATAGTGGCGATAGTGGCCCATTAGATGGCCATTTAAATTGCTGTAGTTGGTGGCCTATATATTTGCACATATGACTTGTATTGGTTTTACTGTGATTTTATCGTATCTGGAACTACATATTGTCGATGATAGTGCAAATAGACGTAACTACCATTGGAAGCAGATTATCAGAAGAAGGTTTGAGCTGAAATATTATCTACATTAACGATTTTTAAGATAGTGTTTTTACAATTAGTAATTATTTAGTGTAATTTATATTAACGTAACTCGGCTTTGCACTATCCTCGAAGATATCTAGAATGAAGGTTATCATTTAGAAATAATGAAGAAAACTCCAAACTATCAGTATGTAGTTTCTTATAGTAGTAAGTGTTGTTCTACGTGATGACTGTAGGTTTGTCCCTGCCGGTGTATTTCCTCACTCTGCCGAACCTCATTGCCAGCGTCACCAACGATTCGAGCCGCTCCTCAGTAGACATGTGGATGTCTCCATCACACGGAGTGTAAGCTTCTAGATATACACTGTGGAATATATTAATGTATAGTTAATGTATTGTAATGTACATATTAAAAGTATTAGTAAGAACAATGACATAGTTTTTCAGTTGATACATAATTTGAATTTACATTACTATAACGGTGTCTAAAAATGAAAATATATTGATAAAATATTTTCTAATATTTCAATGTAATCCCAATTAGCAATATACATTGCTTACATTTTTTAAAATTATACATTAAAATTTGCTTTGAAAAAAACTAAGCATGCAATTCTCTATTTAACTAGATGACCTGGCGGACTTCGCACCGCCCAATAATCAAGAAATATCTGTTACCTTTTTAACTTAATAAAGTTAATTTCTTAATTATGTACAGCTGACTCGACAGACAATTGTCTCTCTTCTTTTTATAGGTATATTATATGTTTAATACTATAATAGTATAAGTCTTTAGTATTTAGATAATCTGTCCAGATCGCAACTAATAATATTCTAAAACAGTTTTAAAATGTAACATTTATATTTTTATGCATTTCAAATCAAGGCCTGCATTTATTAAACTGCTAACGCCATCTGTTATACTTTTGTGTGAGGTAATTACATGAAACCCCAATTTCTTTTGATAGATGTCGCTAGAATATAATCTTTAATTTACACAAAATAAATTAATAAAAGCACGCGTAAACGTTAATCAATTGTCATTATTTCTGAACTCAGGTCAAAATTTACCTATATATAGTATTTGACAGGATGGACAACAAATGTTTGACAAATGACAGGTACAACCCGGTGCGATCGATCCTGGGAAACCGAGTTCGATCCTTTACATGTTTTCGTCGAGTTTTCTTTTTTAACATGTATTCTGCTATTAGGGGCGGAGACAAATAAAACCAAAAATGGGGAAAATTGGTCAGCCGACCTCGAGTTATGTGTTGTAACAAACACGGTTTTTTTCTATATATATAGATTTGCTGTGATTACAAATATGTGACATATTGTTTTATATATACTCATTGTGTTATGTTTTGGTGCTGTAGAAATGTTTAATTTGGAGATATTCAACATACAATTTTCAACTAATCAAAATAAAACCTTTAATTGAGAAATATTTTTTAGATATTTATCCATCTGTCTGCCTGTGTTATGTACAAAACTGGTAGATGGATATTACTGGAAAATCAAATACTAAAACCGAACCTCTGTAGTTTTGCACTTTATAAGAATAACAAATAAATATGCTAGTAATGGGTACAACAGCTGGAGTTGGGTGCAGTGTAACAAAATAATATAAAATAATAAATAATTATAGAACTTTATATCTTACCGTAGCGTGGCCCCCTGGCTGCCTGTACCGCTCAGTCTGTATATAATACGACTGCCGTTCTCGAAAACCAGACGAATACCCTGAAATATATGTATGTATATATTATTATTTGTAAGTTTTGTACATACATACTATGCTGTCCAAAAACCAGTTCAATACTAGATGCATTTTCTACCAGCTAACCATAGGCGTGTACAAAGAAATAAAATATAATATAGGGTTGTAGAGAAATAATATTAAAACAAAATGGATAAAAAAGTAAATCAGTGATGTTAAAATGCTCGATTATTTATATAAAATTAAAAAATTTGGTAAAAAAAATTAAATATACTATCAAAAAATAATTTCCTTAGAAGCTATCATTTATATCAATCAATGGCCAATTAATTCGACTCAACGAGGAGAAATCCCAAGAAGGTCCCATTCCATCCAAGGTTTCTTTAACCACATCGTACCTGATTCAAGGCCACACTGCGGTCTATAGGGTCCATGTAGGAGAAGTTATCAGCAGCGACGACCGCGTTCTCAACATCCTGTATATAATGTTTAGAGCCCACGAAACCCTCCGCTGTCACTGTACGCTCCAGGTCAGACATTAACTGACGGCACGAGTCTAATGAACACTCCTCGAAGTCATGCCTAGAAGATAATATAGTTATAACAACTTATCTGAAAGTAGAATAGTGTATGGACCAAGAAGGGAGAATAATATTGATAAGGAAAAAATATGTTAAATTTATGAAATGACATACAAGAGCAGGAATAGAAATAACGGCAATATTACGTGAAATTTGGTGTAGAAGTGGGCGAATGAGATATAAAAGCTAAATCTCTCTACAACCTAGTAAAAGACTTGTGCCTGTCTAAAACTAACATCAGTTCGGTCTTAGAATGTACTTCAAAGGCAGCCATAGGAGGTCCTTTTCGATTTTGGTTAGCAGAGAGGAGCTTGGATGGTGGAGGTGAAAGTTTAACGCGCGTTAGATATGGGCCCCTTAAACCTACACCTGGGTCGCAAGTACCAGGCACTGTTGAAGCTCTACCCTACAACGATGGACCCGGCACCAATCCGTGATTGCATGGAATTCTAAGAAGTTTCGTCACATCTTAGTAGTATTTATTCAATACCTGGCGAAGTAGTTCCTTCCATACTTCCTCCAGTGCTTCATGAGTAGTTCTTTAACACTAAGTCCGCTGTGAGCGATCACATTAAGCCAGGCTAGCGCGGCCCACACGCCGTCCTTCTCTCTTATGTGGTCGGAGCCAGTACCGAAGCTCTCCTCACCGCAGAGAGACAGACGATCAGCATCCATCAAGTTACCGAAGTACTTCCAACCTGATAGAAACATGGAAAAGTCTATTTATAGCCCTGGATAATCTACGTACATAAGGTTAGGTTTAAAAAAGTTTATTTCCAAAAAGAACAAAGTTCGCTTACAAGGGAAATTTAAAAAATTATAACTACAATTAAAATTACAAATAATAAACAGTAGTGATATTAAACAGGATCAGTGAAATCATCTAATATGTGGGTTCTTAATCGTTTATTAAATATATTTAGAGATTTTGAATTGACAACACTTAGAGGCAAAGAGTTATACAGCTGAACTCCTTCAATTACATTATAATTTAAATCAGAGTTCTCGCTTCAATGAGGATATGAGGTACATTATTTGATACATTTCGTAATTACATTTACATCATCTATTGCATCGTGGGTTCGATTTCTAGATGATTTTTAGACAAACAATTAAATGTGCTATCACGAACCTTGCATTTATACATATATGGAAGAGTTTTAAATCAATTCTGTTTAAAATTATTTTCAATCTAAATGAATGTGAAAATATATAAAACATAGGTGAATATAATTTGAACTTTGTCAAACTGAGACAATACTTCTTTTCAAGTATATCGATACTTCCCACGTAAGTTGTTGTATGCCACAAAAATGCTATTTTGGTTTTATTCTGGAAAATATTCTACAATGGATCATTACATCCATTCCAAGTAAAAAAATAACAAAAACACTATTCTTAAAGGGTTTGTTAAACGTATAATGTTGTAATTTTCAAACGTGAACGGATTATACTGTTGTATATGCCTATTCAATGGTTTACGCGGGGAGAGAGGTGGGTAAAATCACGAGCTCGCGCCGCGTATTGGTTACATACAAGAGAGTAAGACTTCTATTTTTCAACGTATACAGTTGTAACTATCATATTTTTGTGTTCATTTCGTATGTTTCGTTACCTGTGGGTACTTCAAACATTTCCTTGCCCATATCTTTAGCGACGCGGTCCACAGCGGCGGCCGTGGGCATGGAGCGGGCGAACCCCTTTACACCCGTCCGCTGGAAGTAAGGGATCACGTGCAGCCACGACGCGAGGATGGCCAGCGAGTCTGCGGGGGTCACGAACATGGCGCCGCGGCCTAGGATCATGTTGCGGTCACCTGGAATATTATATGAGGTAGTTCGTATCACATATATATGATTGAACAATTACAGCCCAACATATTGAACTTCGTCTTAAGTGAGATCGTAGCTTAATAACTGCTTAGGAAGGCAACCTCATTGGTAGATGCCACAAATTCAAATGATTGCTTTTTGATATAAAAAGTGTTGGAGTAATAGTAAGGATTATATTGAAGTATAGTGTTGGAGATGGTTATCAATAGATATATAGGGTTGTAAAATTACAATGACCTGATGGTCTTTGGTAATATCTTAGCTTATTATAGGATAGCAAACTCATTGATAATTGATGTCACAAAATGAAAAATATGCGTACTTAAGACTTTTTTAATCTACATCAAATCAAGGGCCATCTAAAATAATTTCCTACTGTATCTGAGCTTGTTTAATCCACCTCTTCTTGGAAATCTAGCATATATACCATAAGACCAAAATATTTTCTCCACGTAAAAAGAAAATTTGTATGACACTCTTTTTTGCATCATCAAATCTTAAGTCAATAATTTATATAAATTTCTCTTTGCTCACTATCTCTTATGAGATTTATTGTTATTCATTGTTGTAGTCTCTATTGCACAGAAATAAAATGGAAAAAAAAGCGTTATTAATAGTAGAGGAATCATAACTTAACATCACCACGTAATGATTTCTACTAAAGTGTTTCAACCCAAGATTTGGAGACAAAATTCAACGTGTTTCAACCCTAGGGCTGATAAATATTCTATCACCCACCATCCCCATCAAAAGCTGCTCCAAAGTCATAGTCTCCTTTCCTGACCTCTTTGACCAGGTCCTCAGCATACGTAAGGTTGGGGTCCGGGTGAATACCACCGAAGTCCTCCATAGGAACCACTCTACGGAGATTATTCTCTGTTGCCCCGAGCTCGTCGACGAAGATGCGTTTAACATAAGGGCCAGTCACTGTGGAATTATTTATTAGTTTTATTTATTTTTATTTATTTATTTATTTATATTTATTTATACGAATTATAATACATTTTGCAGATATTTTTTTTAATTATTTATTTACTAATAATCTCCAAAGATATGCTAGATCGCTGAGTGTACCATACAAATTTATATTTATTGAAGACATAATGTATGTAAATGAAACTAATATTTTTGGATTACTGATATAGATGAATACTTGCAAAAGTTTTAGATCTTATAATGTATGTATTAGGTTAATATATAGTAATTATTCAAGTAACACAATAACCATATATATATATTATATATTTATTAACAAAACCTCAGAAACCAGTTATCTTTATATCATAATAGCTCACCTCCGTTCATTGAATCAATGAGTATATTGAATTTCTTCTTATCATCGGATCCTTCTAACAGTGTCTTGATTAGTGGGAAGTTGAATATCTCCTTCATATAATCCAAGTAGTCCTTCACCGAGTCTATAACTTCTACCACGAAATCTTTTTCTTCAATCTTTAAAGATAAATTTCAATCTTTATAGATATCTTTTCAAACACAAGCACATCCCTAATGAGTTTAGTCAAAGAGATCATGATTAATATAGCACAGAATTAGTATTATTTTAAGCTATTATCAAGTAACTTACTAAAAATAACTCTAAATTTTTCTTTAGTCCCAAATAAAGAACAAGAAGATATTATTCAGTTTTTTTTTAAATAGACCCATAAGTGTAACACTTTATAAAAAGTATATCAAAAAATTAAGTATTTTATTAAATAATTTGCATATAAATGAGTAATAATTAATTGCAGCTATTACTAGATTATTTTGTTTTAAATATAAAACTTCTAGAAATATAGAACATGGAATAGTCATCATATAAATTGTTAACTACTATTTCATATATTTTTATATAAGCCATTTCCATGCTCTTTATTGCACTGATCTTACCTTGAATCTAGTAATTCCGATAGTTGTTATATCACATTTAATGTTTGGCACAATCTTATATGATTTAATGATGGTGCTGTGACGGTAAATTTCATTAGTCACACCGTCCGGAGCCGGCCCTCCATTGCTTGTGTTAAATTTGATGCCAAAGTCATTGTCTACACCACCGGGGTTGTGAGAAGCCGTTAGGATAATTCCACCTGATTTAATAATATAAAAATATGACATAATTATTCAAACATACATATATATGTATATTAGTCAAGTCAAGTATTATTATTTTACTAACATTATAATATAGGCAATTATCAATATGTTATTTTAAATTTCATCTCTAAACTAGAGGTAAAATTTATTAATCTACAAATATTCAGTAAAACAAAACAGATAACTAACTTTTCTTTATTATTTTGGACAACATTCATAATATACAATTGATTTTTTAATATATGAAAACATTTTTTTTTGGTAAGTTTGCTATTTATGAATTGCTATTAAAAATGGCATGGGTCACTTAATATGTATGTGGTATGTAATATTGATTAAAACAGAAAGTGTATTTAAAACTATATTTATACAATTGAAATTTATTTTGTTAAGTAGTTTTATATAAATGCCAATTTTTTCCCTTGGTGCATTGAGTTTACACACAATTTTACCTATCATAATGACTATTAAATTTTAATATCATGTTTATTATCTGTTTGATGAAGGATTTATCTTTGAATTTACATGTCGCTAGTAATCAGTATAATAAAAATTAATCAGGAAATATAATTAATTCATTTTATAGAGTGATATTAAATTTATAATTACCCAGTGTTTCATTCTTCCTAATGAGATGGGACACTGCTGGTGTAGAGAGAAGACCATTCTGTCCAATAATGAGTTTACCAACCTGAAAAGAATGAAATCACACACTAAAATTCAATTCATTCATTAAAGTGTTAGAGTGTCTTTATAATTGGACCTGAAAATATTTTAATTTTATTTGCTAAATATGTGAGATAGTTGATATATGTTGGGTTTCAGGCAAAGTTATATATAAAAGTTCTATTATTGGAGGGTATTAAAACGTAATTCAGTTTATATTAATATAGAAATATATTTTTTTACTTACACCATTACCAGCACAGATCTTGATAATTGTATCAACTACTTCTTTGACTAAATATCTTCCATCTCCTCCCACGACCAGAGTACATCCCTCCAATTCCTCGTTAACATTTAAAATACTCTGAATAAAGTTTTCTACGTAATTCTTTTGAAGAAAAACTTTAACTTTCTTTCGTAAACCACTGGTACCCGGCTGTTGGCCCTCATAAGGAACCGTCTCGATTTCCTCCACTTTTAACATTTTTATTAAATACCAGAATGTTCTAGCTACCCAGGCAAAGTATCTTTAGACTCTTCACCCAACTGCAATTCTGATATCTCGAGTTCGTAAGGTCAGATACTGCCGCACATAACACTAGCCAAGAACTACTTTAGCTGTCACACAATGTCAAACAAGGTCGCAACGTTCCGTTTCAATCTAGGTATTTATAGTATATAATTTTATTTGATCGTAAAAAAATATATATTTATTATTTATAAAACTTTAAAAAATACTTTCATTTAAAACTGTTTAAATAAAAGTAATGTTTTCCTGCCTTACCACAATTTTATGAACAGAATTATATTTTAATGATATGTTAATAGAAAAATGGTGTACAATGGACTTGGATGTTAGTATATCAAAATATTTTATTTTAAAATAAATTATATTAAATATTTTTTTGATTGTATTTATTTTGAGGATAAATTAAAATTTTATGTGTTATTTATATATATTTTGAAATAACTATCCAACGAGAACCAAAAATTTTTGTGTAACAGCTTTGTTCAAATATTATGTAATACATTATAAAATTTTTGAAAATTACAAAATGTTTACTTTATGATATGGGTACATTTACGATGTTAATAATAAAGATGCTAAAAAAAACTATAATGACGTTTTTCAGTGAATGATCCTATTTAACTACTTTTTCCTAGCAATTTTATTGTAATTATTTTTATTATGTTTTCATACTAGTTATTCCCCGTGTCTCCGTCCGCTCGAATGTCCGCTTACACTAAGTTGTTTACTAGTAAATATTATATTTTTCATCCTACTTGACAAGAACAACTTGAATAAATATAACACTACATACTTATATTATGTTATACTCATACTTAACAGTTTATAGTATTGTTGTTGGTTAGCGCTTTCTAGTACCAAGTAGGTACTATTGTAGTGATTGAACATTAAATTAATTTTATAAAGACTCTGCTTTTGCCTGCGATTTCTTTCCCGTGAATTGTATTGGTTAATAACCAACTAACTTAAATAACTGTTAAATTTCAATAGTAAAACACTTTAAAATATATTATTACATTAGAAATTTTTTTTATATATTTTTTTGTTAAAAAAAAATCTTTAATATCAGCCTAATGTACCTATATTAAAAGCTAAAAGTATGTTTTAAGTTTAAAAAGTTTAGGTCTAATTTATTTTATTTACATATTTATTTTTGACAAAGGGGGCCAACGAGCATACGGTCTACCTGATGGAGGTAGTAATGGTAGTAACGCCCATGAACATCCGCAACAAAGTTTTGCGGATGCGTTGCCACCCTTGATTGGGGAAGAGGGAAAGGAAAGGGCGAGAAAAAGAAAAGGGAGAGTTCAGAAAAGGGTTGGAAAAGGGAAAGGGCAACCATCTCTCTCACTCATCAGACGAAACGCAGCCATTAAAGGCTTCTTCACGCCGATCTTCTGTGAGAGGGTAGTACTTCCCCGGTCGAGCCAGCCCATGTTCGAGTTTTAGTAACTTCACTACAGCCAGGCTCTACCACCTAACAGGTCGTATTCTTCCTAAGGTTTTACAAATAACAATCTAAATACACCTAAGTCTGTTTTTACACGGTCTTTTTGTACACGGTTTTGATATAACACGGTTTGAAAATTGAAAATTTAAATTTTTTTACACGATTTTGAAATTTTATGTACTTAATTTTTTTTTGTGAAATTTTATTTCAAAGTCCAGTTCAAAATTATTCCAGCGATGATAGTGAATGTATAAGCGTTCGAAGCGAGCGAATGCGAATAACTGATGACGACAGCAATTAAATTTATGTTGTTGTATTTATGATTATTATCACTTATTCTATTTTATTTTATTTTTTACCTTAAAAATTGAATAACCTATTCTTTTCGTTCACAACATAGTATTTTAGTTCCTGAACTTGCCATACATTTAATTTATATTACTTTTAAGATTAGAGTGCATATCTTTTTTATCATTAATTACTATGCTTGTGAAAATAAGCATTATATATTTGATTTAATAAAATAAACATGAATTCTTGTTCTTAAAAATTCTTGTTTTTCACTAATTTTAATAGGTTTTAGAGATTAGGAACAAATCACCCATTTTTGTATAAGATCAATGTCTTTTTTACACGGTTTTTTTTACTCGGCTTCTTCTGGAACCAATCTACCGTGTAAAAACAGACTTAGGTGTATGTCTTTCTTAGTTACTATTGTATGTGCATGTAGGATTATAGATACAATTAAGTAATTAAACGTTCGCGGTAAGATTATACATGTTATTTATCCGTGACCTTTAACTGCGAAGTATTATTTACTATAAATAGATAGCGGTTTAAATAATCACTCACTGTATCGAAAACATTCTTATATTTTTATTGAAGAATATTTTTTAGTTATAAAAGTATCGATTAATTAAATGTATTGCATATAGGTTATTTCTTTCAAGTAAATACTATGATCATGTATTTGAGACGAGACTTCTCAGCATTCCATAGATTCACCGTGCGGATGCCGGGTCCATCGCGTTGCAGGGAGAGGAGCTTCAACAGTGCCTGGGACTTGCGACCCAGGTGTAGGTTTAAAGGGCCCCTTATCTAACGGGCGTTAAATGCTCACCTCCACCTAACTACCTACCAAATTTGAAAAGAACCTACTAGGGCTGCCTTCAATGTACGCTCCAAGAATGTATTAATATGAGTTCTTGACAGGCCCAAGTAGTAGCCTTAGTAGGTTGTAGAGAGATTTCGCTGTTATACCTCTCGCTCCCACCTCTACCGCGTACAAATCCACGACGAACCTATTTCGAGTGAGTTCGTTAGTGAGCTAAAATTCCAGATATATGTATGAATATCATTCAAAAGCAAACAATCTTAGGAATAATTATTGAAATCTCTATATGCAATTACTGCTTTTCAAGGTGAAAGTAACAGATTTCATGAATGTTTTTTATAAGTTGCTATATTACTATGAAAAGCTTTATTACATATTTTTTTAATGATATGACTTCATTCACACTGGAGTCGTGGACCAAGGAATGAGAAGAATTGTCGAAGATTCAAATTTTTTGAAAAGAATTATTATTTTATAGGCTAACTTTTACGTAGGCTATTCTCGTTACGTTTTCTTATTTTTTTTTTTCATAATTACAATTATATATTTCTTATAATTACAATTATATATTTCTTATAATAGGTATATAAAAAACCAAGCTCTATAATCAAACTTCACAATAATGATGTTGAATGAAGAGTGTTTTGTCACGCTAATTTGAAAGGTATTACCAATATTCAGTCAACTAAATCTCTGTTATCAAAATTAATCAGGCGGTACAATTTAGGTTATTGGCTTTGAATAGTATTATTTTACGACCTTGGCTTCCCATTGTTGAAAAAAATGGTTAAAAAGGTGTATCCCTACGTTCGTATTATATATTTTTTAATTTAGATTTAGTATGTTTCGTTGACTGAGCAACACAGTTATAATATTATATTATTACCTATTAGTACGCAGTCAGCCTTTAGTGAGGACGGTTGTATTTGTGTAAAAATAATTAAAAACAGAAGTTTAAATAGTATTATACAATACTAGATAAATATATACTATATTTTGATAACAAGGTATGTTAATGATATAATAATAATATTTTTTATACCTATTTAATTATTATTATTTTTTTAATATATAGAATAGTTAATGTGGGACTTTGATATAGATTTTTTTTGTATTCATTGTTGATAATGAATTAATCGTGGGAATATTTTAATCATAAATAATAATTTATAATTAAGTATCTGAACACGTTTTTACAGATAATGCTAATTAAAAATAATAATCGACTGCTTCGCTGACAAAATCAAAGTTGTTTTTTTTTATATTATATCTAACTTTATATATAACTAGCTTTTGCCGCGATTTCGTCCGTGTGGAATAGTGCCTTCCGGCAGATTTTTGGTTCTTCCCACATAGTTCCCGTTCTTGCGGGGTTTTCGGAATGGTCGAGTTCCCGTAGAATTTTCAGGATAAAACCTATGTTTTTTTTTATTCACAATGAAATACTCTTAACCAACAACATACTTATTTGTTTGTTTGAATAAAGGTTAATATTATTATGCTGATACAACTTAGACAAATTATTTTGAGAAATTAGGTACCATAAAAACGGTTTTTGTGAGTTAATCTTAAAAGATAGACATATACTGTCGAGAACTGTTTTTCAGATCATTAAAAGAGCTATTATTCTTTAATACATATTTTTTGTGTATCTTGAACCGTTTTCACGGCCCACGCAACGGAAGGCTTCAAAGATGAAATAATTTGTCCCGTTTTTTACACATTTACCACTATATCCTATTGGTCGTAGCGTGATGTTATATAGCCTACAGCCTTCCTCGATAACTGGACTATCCAACACAAAAAGAATTATTCAATTCGAACCAGTAGTTTCGGAGATTAGCGCTTTCAAACAAACAAACAAACAAACAAACTCTTCAGCTTTATAATATTAGTATAAATGGTGTAGTTTAAAAAATATTTCATATAGGTATTATTTGTAATCTGTGAGTGCAAAATATTTATTTTTAATTACATATTCAATTGTTTTGTAATTGCTTGATTATGTTTTACTGACTTATTTTAAGTATTTTTTTACGTAAATTTCCATTTGATAGATAAATTAATGTTAAATTAGCTAAGTATTTTGTTTATATAGAAATAAATTAATATTTGTTTTATTATAATACCTAAATGACTTTTTATGTTTATTTATAATTTAAATCACAAATTAACATAGAAGGTTTGAATGGATATAGTATCCATTCCATTAAGACAAAACATTGACATTGGCTCAATATAATACGTACTCAGTGTGAATGAAGCCAAAGCAATAAAAAAATAGTGCAATAGACATAATATTTTTTCAAATCTTGCGAAAAATTGCCAATTTTGCTATGAAATATCGTAGAGAAATTTTAGTATCATTATAAGTTTTTAACACACATTTATTAACTTCACTTACAAGTGAAGTAACATACACGTTTGTTGGCATGTAACCAAAGTCTTTCAGCTCGATTTTGCACTCATAGATAATACACTATATGTATTAGAAATATGTTTGCACTGCTAGCAATCCGATTTTTTAAACTTTTTAATCCACAAGAACTCAAAAATTGGGTTGTCATATCGTCCTGAAGAGGTTGCCATTTGGAAATAATCGTGTTTTGTATGTCACAAATTAAATTTTTAATAAGTAAGCATATTATTTAGACTCGCAAAGTCTAATGTAAAGTTTTGACATCTCTATATAATCTGTGTACGTTCCACAGAGTATATATTTATATAATTAAATATCTGCTAAGCTAATATTACACGTATTGCGTATTAAACAAAACCAAGCGTGACGTTACCCAACTGTAACAGAAGTAGAAATGAGATTTACGTAACCACTGGTTACTTTCAAAGAGCGGCTCGGGTCAACGACCTTTGAAATGCAATTGCAATGACCGTGAAAAGCCGGTCGAAAGCCTTATTCATATATTTAAAGCCTTAATAGTTATTAAAATGTACTTAGTTGGTATATTATTTTGTAAATGTAAAAGAGTTTATAAGATTCTGAACAAGTTATTTTAATGTTTTTTTATCATTATCTGTGCCAACTTGCGTAAAATATTTCTTTTCTATGTTGGTGTATTGTAATGTGGTTAAAGTACACTTTAGACAATACATTTATGTTGAAATAAAATAATATATGCGTACTGCAATATTCAAAAATTGTTAAAGGTCAACATATGATTGATTGAAGAGTTACAATGTTTATACAGGGTGACTGGTGAATTACTATCAATATTTAAGGAGAATACTCGGTACATGATTCTCATTCGAATTATGTAAAAAAAATAGGCACTTAATTTTTGACAAAATTTCCATATAAATAAGTAAAGTGTTGACACGTTCCAAATGTTCAAGTGTGGACGCGTGCGGCGGCGTGTTGATACAACACTACGTCACGACACGCGTATGTGTGAGTGTCAGTGTATACCTAATTTGTAGGGTGTTCACACGATGCGTAATTAATTACATAACTTTTGGTTAACTTTACTAAGAAGTTTATTAATATTTATGTTATATTAATTTTTATTTTGTCATATATGATCGTAAAATATCACGTCCTCAAATATCGATAGTAATTCACCAGTCACCCTGTATATTGTATTTTAATTAATTTTAATATAATTTGAAATATTTTTAATATTCCAAGAAAACAACGATCAAGAAAGTTATAAATAATATTTATATTCTTGTTATTAAAGTTGCAAACTACTGTTCTTTCTTTAATTAAAAATTCTAAAACAATCGTTGAAGTTTTAAAATTATGGTAATTACTTTAAAATGAATGGAAGATTTATTTGTTCCAAAACTTCAATAAAATTTGGTAAAATAACTTTTTGTGTGTTAAAGCGAAACTAATAATAGGTTCTGTGGTCGACGGTTTTTTGTGTTCCTTGAGATGAGGATATTCTTTAATTATAGTAAAAAAACTAGACACGTAACTAATAAAAGAGTTGATATGGTTGTATAGACGAATAAGAAATAATTTAGTAGGTGGTAGAGCCTAGCTGTGGTCAGCTACAACAGTTCAATGGGCTGGCTCAACCGGGGAAGTACCACTCTCTCACAGAAGATCGGCGTGAAGTAGCCTTTAATGGGTGCGTTTCGTCTGATGAGTGAGAGAGCCGGTTGCCCTTTCCCTATTCCTACTCTTTCCTACCATTTCAACAAAGATGTTGCGGATGTCCATGGGCGACGGTAACCACCTTCCATCAAGCGGGCCGTCTGCTCGTTTGCCACCTTTCACATAAAAAAAAAATTAATAATAATTTGTAAAGATTTGTTCAACTAGATCAGCATAGGACACTATATAACAATTATTTGTTATTTTATTATCTCAACATTTTAGTGAGTTATTTTATATTAAATCATTACTGTTGTTCATATTTATTTAAAACAATTTTTCTTTATAAAGGTATGAATTTACATTACATTAAATGAATGAATAAGGTACTAAAACAAAATGTTTTTAAGGAATAAGTAAATAATTTCACTAATAAAACAATTAAACCACGAAAGTAAAAACATCGTAGCTGAAAAAAAAATGCGATTTTAAACATTTAATAGCGTTCATTTTGTTTCAGATTTTACCACGATGTCATTTTTAAAATCCATTTGTATATACATAAGAATATTAATTGACAAGACGATAGATTTCATATTTTCATTGTATTGGGAAGGCAAGAAGCAAGTCATACCGGACCTTGAAAAGAGACATGCCTTCCTCGCTGAGAGCGCTACGAGTTTGGCGAGGAAGATCAAAAACAAAGAACTGAAATCTGAAACTTTAATTCAGGCCATGATTGAACGAATGAAACAGGTGAAGTATATCATTCAAAAACCCTTTTTTCAGATACATTTTCTCACCAGAAAACATAATTAAGTTCTTCCATAGAAACATGATATGTAAATACGTAATGTATTTCTATAATAAAACATTTTTTTATATATGACTTTTAAATAATAGTTACATATAAAGCTTTTTATTGGTACTCTGATTTAAGTATATTTGGAATAAACGGTCATACCAAAGGGATACGTCAAAACTATTGTGTGTTTATCTGTCTATCTGAGATCAGGCATTAATAAGTATGCCATTACGAGCCAATACAATGAGTTCTAATACTTTCGCGAGTATTCATTTAAATGAAACTAATATTTTTCGAATTACTACGCTTATTATTATTGTAAAAACTACCTACATGCTCCCGACATTTCGTTTTTTTTTGCAGCAACCGTGATCAATGATTCACTAAGTCGGGAGTATGTATTCTTTAAAAATAATAACGCGTATTAATCCGAAAATATTAGTTTCATGAAATGAGATTTAATGTTATAGCTATCAGTGAAAACGTCAACAGTCTATTCAATAGGATTAGTGTATGATGAGAAGGTCAACGTCCTTCCGTTGAGTCAGTGGTGGCTCAGTGGTTAAAGGGCTCGCCTCTCGTCGCCGAGAGCGCGGGTTCGATCCTGGCCCGGGCAAGTACCAATGTGATTTTTCCGAATCATATGTACTTTCTAAGAGTATTTAGACATCACTGATTAATGTTGATTCCCAAAAAGAGGGTTGATGTCAGGCAGGCGGCCGGTCGTAAAAACAAATAGCCAAAAAAAAAAAAAATACTATTCACAACATGAAAGGCAGACCCTGGCTATAGTTGGGAAAATTGCCAGGTAGAAGAAGAAGAGAAGGTCAACGTCCCTTTTGGTAACATTTAAACAGCTATAATAGCAATAATAACTAGGTATACTGTGAATGTATACAGTTTTATTGACTCAATAACATAAATACAGTGAGCTCACCTAATTATGATTTCGACGGTCGGTGGATGCAATGAAACCAAAATTATTTGACTTAATTTAATTAAAAGTAAGTTACAACTAGGGTGTGACTATGTTGCACGAAGGTTGAACAAATAGTCAATAAATCTAATGAAATTCTTAAAAGAAATGTTATAAACTAAAAACATAAAAGAAATATAAAACCAAAAACTGTCTTCACACGGAACGGCTGAGTCAGACCCGTGTAGAATAGACGAGTTTACCCAGAACCTAAGGCATCCTCTGATTACACCGTATAAAGATAATTATATTTTAATCAAACGACCACTTGTGACACCGTCACATAACAACCTAGAACTTGTTTATTTATCTACGACGCATAAAAATTGCACAATAATTAGGTAATCAATGAGGCTAAGTTATTGCAATGAGTTAGGGTTGTGAAAATATAGTTTTTAATTAATTATGTGTAGGTTAACCCGCTGTTAAATGCAGTCGTCGCGGATATGTACGACACAGCCCTAGAAGAAGCGAAAGAGATTGACAGGCAAATAGCTCAAGGGCTGTCAGAGGAGATGGCTAATAAACCCTTTTTAGGTAAATCAATTGGCTGAATAAATTAAACCAAGTCGTTTAGAACTTATATGGATTTTATTAATGTTTAGGGGTGCCATTTACTACTAAAGAAAGTCAAGGTTTAAAAGGAATGCCAACTACAATGGGTCTTTGGTGTCGTAGGAACGATAGAGCCACTGAGGACAGCGAGGCAGTCATTAGATTAAAGAAAGCAGGGGCTATAGCTCTAGCTACCACGAACTTGCCAGAATTATTGATATGGTAAGTGATTTCATTTCATCTCGTCTAGGTACTCGTGATTACAGCTGTTGTAAATCTTATAAAGATATGTTTTATATTATTTTCCTTTTTAAAGTAATCATTTCTTAAAACTACAACTTAATTATGAATATACTCAATTTTAGATTAACGACGTATATTTTTTCTCAACTATTGTTATTTCATGTTTTTTTTTATAAATACGTAAATCTTTGTGACGTCACGAGAACAAAAATGATTTCCGTGTCAAAACAAAATGTCCGCTTATATAACAAGCAATATGTACTTTGTCATCACGAGCCTCGTTTGCTTCTGTATATGTAACCTGTTTTATTATATAATCATTGAATGTTATATTATTTACATTAACATAATTGTAATGGTTTAACGAGTTATAAGGGAAGGTTAAAAAGATAATTTGTTTGAATATATATATAATAAGTAGTTGGTGGTTTGCGGATAATGTGTGCAACTACTACACCGATTTAAAAGCTACTTTCACTGGTAGAAAGCTGCTGCAATATAAATTAAATTAGGTTATTTCCATTATATATTATACACTTATTCCTTGAACCAAGTTCGCTTGCGATTTGAGGGGTTATTGATATTCATATAAAGTGTAGAAGGTATCAAAGACTTTTCTTATTGTTTAGGCAAGAGACTCGTAATCCAGTGTATGGACAGACAAACAATCCTCATCATACGGGCCGCAGTCCTGGAGGCTCTAGTGGGGCGGAGGCAGCTCTCTCTGCCACATACGCCACAGCTATCAGCTTATGTTAGAATTTCTTCATTATAGTATTTTAAAATCTATCTTAAACTTTACCTTGAATACTCACGTATTAAAGTTATGTGCAAATGTTAAAGTCAAAATAGGGTTTAAAAGATTTTATAATTGTTCCAAAGAAGTATTTGTTTCATCACTATATATGGTATCTAGTATCTATCAAACCTTAAAGAAAATTAAACAAATTTGATAAATTAAAGGATTAAGCTTATGGGAATGTTACATATGCAATTAATATTGGATGACAACAATAAAATTGTTTGTTTTTTTGGTGTAGTTTAAATGATTTATTTTATATATTTATTTCAATAAGGCTCTGATATTGGCGGCTCGACACGTATGCCAGCGTTTTTCTGTGGACTATTTGGTCATCACCCTACAGCCGGTACAACTAACACCAAAGGTTACATGATTATATTATTTTCTGTATGTGTGTATGTGTGTGTGTACGAGTGAGTAAGTTTGTATGTGTGTGTGAAGCAAAGAGGTTCTATAGTATAGGTTTTTTTTTAAAATAATCGATGCAAAAAGAGATATGTTGTAAGTTTGACGTATATATGCATGTATGTGTCTATGTTTATGTATGTGTGCGTTTGTCTATAGCATATTAACTCTCTAACATTATCATTTTCTAAGTTTTTTTCATTTGCAAAACCGTTTCCTTGCGGTAATTTTTAGTTTTGTGTAGTTAATATCGGTCCAACGTTGTAAAAGCATAAACTCTTTTTTAAAATGATGTACGGCATTTTGGACCTGTGATGATTAGATCAAGTGCCCTAAGCTTTCCAGTACTAGAAAATTAGTTGAATGTATTAAAAAATATATGTTTTTAAGTTTGAACTAGAGCCTGTTAAGATATAGAAACATTGATCAGAGTTAATACAAAAAAGAAATAAATCGTATAATCTTATTTACGATATTGGAAATTGAACTTTTGTTTTACGTATTCTAGGTTCATTTTATCGTACCGGTGAGGAAGACAGTATGTATTGCTTGGGATTCATATCCAAGCATGTAGAAGACTTGGCGCCTCTCATTAAGATTGTGGCTGGCGATAAAGCTGAGCTACTTAAGCTGGACAGAAATGTTGATTGTAAGGTAAAGAAGTATAAAATAACAATAAGGTAAAGAAGTACAGAACAACAAAACAAACAAGTATAGTATAAGTAGTCTCCTAGTAAAGTAGAAGCATTTTACTATGAGATGTACCTTATTATTTTGTTCTCGCTTTGATCAAAAGTAAGCTTTCCGTAAAAATCGAGTGAAAAAATCTGAATGTTTGGTACCAAACCGGTTTTTTGGACATCGGTTTCGTTTTCTATCCCTAATATTAATATTAATGGTCCGAATTAAAAATCTTTTTTATAATAACGCCCTAGACAACCAAATAAAACTTCCACTCGATCGTACGTTCGGTTGTCGAGATCATCTCCGTGGATGTATGAACAGAGTCGCTAGTATAGAGTTCCGCTTGCTTCAATCAATTATTATAATATAAATATCCATAGTTCATCCATAGTTTAAGTAATTATTATAAGTTGTAATAGTAATTAAGGCTTAAATGTATTAATTACTACAATATTTTGGTGTAATTATTTTATTTAAATTTAAAGTTATCCCCTTTTGCATTAAGCCGTTGATTTTTCCTTATAAAAGTAGTTTACAGTTTAATAAACAAAAACTATTTTGACGTCTTAGTTTTGGTGTTGCCTTCTAAAATTTAAATAAAATTATATTAAACTATTCAAAATTATAAATAATCTCTTGCAGGACATCAAATTTTATTATTTAGAATCGAGCAATGACTGTCACATTAGTCCAATCCAACCTGAAATAAAAGACGCCATGCATAAGTAAGTTATTAATAAATAAGACTTAAAATAATCAAAACATGATATTTATTTTTTAAATGAAACTATTAATTTTCGGAATATTATACGCGACTTTATTTTTGTCAATAACAACATACATACTTCCGACGTTTCTGCTACTTTATGATCACGGGCTGACGAAATGTGAATGTCTGTCAGTTGGTCTGGTCATTTTATCACCTACCGACATCCATTTCTTAATTTTCTTTCTGAGATTTCATTCTGATACTTATTACTTCATATCGTTTTCGCCTATAATTACACTTGATAGTGTTTCTAACCAAAATATTTTTACTATTTTCAGGGTGATTAAGAAGCTTCAAGAAGATTTCAATACCACAGTGGAGCCCTACCATCACCCAGGTTTCGACAGCATGTATTCGTTGTGGGCCCACATGATGGCCAAGGAGCCCGGGGACTTCACTACCATGCTTGTCGATGGAAAGGATCGGGTCAATGGCTTTAAAGAATTGGGAAAAAAGGTTATATATGTACTTATTATTTAAAAAAAAGCAAATGCTCTATAAGTCGACGACTGATTTTAAAGATTTTATATTAAGAAAGTCTGAGTTTATACTTTCATTTTACTTCAAGTTTCCAAAAAAAAGTTTTCATATTTATTTTATACCACGATTAAAAAGGGGACATTTTATTCTTGGACATCAATTAATACAGCTTCAGGTATATTATCTTATTAGAAATAATACGGATTCTTGAAGAAATATTATTGAACGAAAGGGTACAAGTAAAAACTAAGTATATTTGAAAGTAAATTCTAAAAAGTTGACATTTTTACGTGATAATGATTTGTGAGAGCTAATAAGTAATTTCACTGACTGTGCGACAGTAGCTTAATGATTTTTGAATTAAACTGAATATAAGGAGAATATATTATACAAAAAAAAACATATTAATATTTATCCAATTCATAATAATAAATAAATCCTTGAATCGATTTTTTCATTGACAACTGTCAATCTTGTCAGATGCTAGGGATGAGTAAGTTCTGCCTGTTCACGATACTACGAGTGTTGGAGATGCAAGTGTTGCCAGCACCTAACAAGGAGTGGGCTGAGACGACGATTAACAGTATGAAGGAGGACCTCTTTGTATGTATATTGTTATATTAACTAATATATATACATTATTACATACTGATCTTGAACTTAATTTATTCATAGTTATTTCTATATTATTGTAATGAGATCTAACGCTTTCGAGAGTATTCATTTAAATAAAACTAATATTTTTCGGATTATACTATGTGTATTTTATTATTTTTAAAAACTACATGCTCCCGACGTATCGGTTACTTTTCAGCAACCGTGATCATTAAACTAGACGATATCTCTAATGTAATTTTTGCGATAATAAAATCGGCGTAGTATAATCCCAAATATATTAGTTTCAGTTCTATTTCAACTTTGTAATTTCTAAAATGGAAGTCACGTCATATTCAATTATATTTTATACAATAATTAATACTCTAATATTTATTTTATTTCTCCATTAGAGTAAATTAGGTAGTAGCGGTGTCCTACTTCTTCCAAGTTCGCCAACTGCCGCTCCCTACCACTACTCGCCAGTACTGAGGCCCTACAACTTCTCATATTGGGGACATGTTAACACTCTCAAGTGTCCCGCGACACAGGTAACACTAAATACTATTTAGAAATAAAACAATAAAAGATTTGCACTATAATTTTCTAATGAACTGTCATACATAGCCAATGACAATTTGTAATGATAAGGCTCAAAAGGACTCGAATCCAGAGCCGTAAGAACATAAAAAAAAAGAATAAATATTAAGTCTGTTAAAGAGCTTGATAAATTCTTTAAAATCAAATCGTTTGACAAATAGTCGATAAAGTTAAGGTATTTTTTAAATTCATACTAAAAGAATTTAATAAGTAATAGGTTAAATGATATTGTGATTATAAGCCATTTCATAAATAAGTACAAATTATGCCCAAAGTATTCGATCATTTGTGATAGCAATTTTGTTTTTATGAACATCTACAAAGTTGCAGTCGCCAATAAAAACTATTACGGTCTATAGTATACATTCTTTTTCTAATTTTTGTTACATTATTTACATCTATGTATTTCTTCCTTAAATAAGAAAAATACTAAAAATACTTGTTAATATTCCATAAACTGAACTGTAGAACGGTATTGATATTAGCTTTTTTATGACAACACATTTAAAAAAGATTTTTCATCATATATTTTCTACTTAGTTATGATACTTACCAAAATCAATATGTTATCTTTAATGTTACATAGTTTTATTGTCCAATATGACCAACTATAAATTCTAAAATGACAACATTGTAGTCTTATACGTCACGAATTTAAAAAGTGAGGAAGCATATTTTTATATTTTGAAAGAACATTTTTACATCGCGTTACATGTACCTGACTGTATTTAAAATTCAAAATAAACTGAACTCTTGCACTTAAGAAGATAGTTCAATATAGCTGTTTATAGAGTGTTTTATTTATTTTTATAAGGGCAGTGATGAACTTTAAAGATTTTATTAATAATTGATTAATTGAAACATTAATTTCCAGGTACCTCTCGGTAGGAATAGCGCTGGTCTTCCTATCGGTATCCAAATCCTGGCTGCTCCATACAACGACGCGCTCTGTCTCAGCGTCGCGAAATACTTAGAGAAAGAGTTCGGGGGAGCGATTATGGCTTGTGATATTAAGAAATAAATTATATATGTATTAAAAATAATTTAATTTGTATTCATACATATTTTGTGACAGTAATATTAAATATTTCTTAAGGAATTATCTCAGAACATATTATTATTCTTAAATGTTTTTTTGTAAATAATTTGTTACGTCGAAGAATCGTAATAAAACTTTTAACAAGTGTAAAATACTTAACAACCCCAAATTTGAATCCTGCCTACTATTAACGAGATTTTCTCAAGTACTTATTATGATTTACATTTTATTGACTTATTAAACTTATTTAACTTTTCATCTATCCTATTAGATTAGAAAAATATTAGAACCCACTCTCACCTAAATGTTACCTTTGAATATTATAAATAGGATACAAATGTTAGATTGCTGATTTCTGTTACGAGCTATAGAGCAGGAAACATGTTACGAGTTGTGGAGCAATGTTTTAAAAGTACGCCTTTAGAAATAGTAAATAATTGATTAAAAAAGTAAAAAATAGAAAGTGTAGAGTATAAAACACAAGTCCTACAGGTTCAATATTAATAATGAGATTTGCGGTCAGAACTAAAGGTGACGACTCGTTTTATGTGAGTACTAACCGTTATATTTATCCTGATAAGTGATGACATTATAAGACTGTTAAGATAATTAATAGAGTAGGTAATTAATAATAATTGATCTATCATTTTATGACAGATTCTAACGGAATCAATTGGATAGACCCGATAGGTTTTGTCAAATGTTATCAACTATCATTGACATACGAAATCAATAACTGACCCTCCCCACAGATGTTATGTAGAGGTCTACAGTACCAGGTGGTACAAAATGGTAAAAAAAATTGTACTGCATGAATATTGGTTCAATAATTTCTTATATATATTTTACTAAAAGTATCAAAAATGTATACCTACCACAGGACACAAATATAAATACACAGAAGGATATCTCTGCCTTATCCATTGAGATATTAACGTCATGAAAAGTAAATCTGTTCCATTTTAACATTAAAAGATATCTTATTTGAGTAAACACTAAACAGTAAATAATTTCATGTAAGAATTAAACAATATAAAAAAACGTAATAGAAAAATTTCGCACCCGTCAAACTTCAAAGTTTCAAATTATGTGTATTCGAAGTTTTGACACTTGTCTTATAGGATATTTGAATAACAATTAGCAAAATACAGAAGTCACTTCAAAGTTCACACTTGTCACTTGTCAGTAATTCTCAGAGGCTGTGTAAGCAGCGCACGCGTGTGTCGTTAGGGTGTGTAGTGGCATTGTAAAAGGATATTAAAATCGAATTTATAAATATAATAACACATTTATTTTACCAAAAATGGTTACGGTGAAAGTTAAAAAGCCTAAAACTGAAAAACCTGATGTGAGTTGCTATGTACTGTCTATAAAATATACTCATATAACGAGTATATTCTTTATTTGTTTTAATGCTTACTCAATTCATTTTTGCTTACACAAGTACTTGTTGATGCACATAAAAATGTGTTTATAGCATCTTATAGAACCTTAAACGATCTTAAAGTTGACCTTTCATTTTATAGAGACGCAAAGATAAAAGCAACAAAATATGTAAAGGAATGATGGTGAATATATTGATAAGTATATACTTTACTTTCCGCTACTACTTGGATATGTTGATCGACTACGCGTTTTCTCTTTACTGGGATGAATATCGTCAACAATTGCCAAATTTAGAGAAAAAACATGCCATACTTATGGAAAGTGCTGTGAAATTAGCTGAGAAAATAAGAAAAAAAGAACTAAAGTCAGAAGATCTCGTTACTGCCTGCATTGAGAGAATTAAACAGGTGAATATATTAAAATAATCTTTACACTAAGTAAAACGTGTATATAGAGGATAAATGTATATTTAAATATGATTATATACAGACATTAATTCGAAATGTGTCAAAACAAAAAAATCACATACATTAATGCAACTTTAAATATTAAAATTTTATTAATGACATGGAAATTTCCACTGAACAATGGCAGACAAAGTCTAAGTCTCAGTATAATGTGCAAGTGATAATGATTACTTTAATAATAGTTTTTCTTTGAATCTCCTTACAATAAATAAAATCAGAATAATCATAATTCCTATTATTTTTTTTTAGTTATTTAGTATTTCAAGTCTTATTGGTACCAAATAAAAAAGAAATATTATTTCTTTTTTCAAGATGTCTTTTATTTTTTTAATACTTTTCACTTACCTTAAAGAAGGATGTATAAACATTATCCTTTTAATAAAAAAAAATATAAATAAGGTCTGATTAAAGGGTGACTGGAGTTTTTAGATGCTACTTCTCACTAATAGTTGAGTTGATTGGTATTCTTCGAAATCATTCTGAGTAGATCATATATAAGTATTTCTCTTTATATACTGCTATATTAGTGTCAATTTGGTATTTTAACTCATTGTTACTATAATTGAGTATTTATTTTCATTTGTTATGCTTATGGAGCTTAACATTAAAATAGCAATATATTTAACCAAATCTAACATTTAGTTTCAACTACAAACAATAATTTTATAAAGAATCAACATAAATTTACTTACAAATTTTTCTTTGTTTCCATTACTTTGTAGTAGAAATATGTATGGGAAGAAATACCATAACAATAATTGATATCATATATCGGAGATGCATCTCAATTCTCAATGTTGAATGGAGTGATTTTTTGATAATAACAATGTATTTATTAATGAAACTACATATGTTACCTATACATTGCTTATAATATTTAAAATAAATATTTCTTATATACCTATTTGTCTAAATTTGCAAAATCGTCTAATCTCTGTAATAAATCTAAAAGTATAGTTGTTAATAATAATAGTTGTAGTGAATAGAAATAGGTTTTTGATGCAAATTGCAATAATATATTTTATTGGTTGGTTATTTTAGAGGTAAAGAAGTGAAGACTACACTTAAATGTATTCTGCCAATGTTGTAGTTAAAATGTTACTAAAATTATTTTTTTATTATTTAATAAATAGTACTTCATGAACATTGTATACATGAATTACTATTTATTAATCATAAAAACTTTTATATTCATTAATGTATTACAATAAGCCATATCAAAAAATCTCTTAATAATTTTTAATAATAATAAAAAGGTTTAAAATCTGAACGAAGCAAAAAACCACTTTAACTTAAAACGTCTTACAGCACCTTATTATAAAATGGACATAATATTTACAATTAAACTTCTTTCTCTTGTTATAAAAATATTATCTGCATAAAAAATAAAAAATTCCAGTTATCCATAGACAAAAAAAGTAAAGCATAAGCATAATAGATTAAATATATTTTTGACAGGTCAATCCAATTCTTAACGCGGTAACAGACCAGAGATTTGAAGAAGCATTGAAGGAGGCTCGAGAAATTGATAAGAAGATTGAAGATGGACTTACCAATGAGGAGATTAAGAACAAACCGTTCTTGGGTGAGTTGAAAAATCTATGGATATATTTTGCTTACTTAAACTGTTGATTTTGAGAATAATTTATATCCTAGTGTCGCCATTGTTTCACCTACTGAAAAACCACTATAACTTATCCTAGCTAAATGACATTACAAATTCTCTTGGGCACACAAAACTCCCATTTTTTTCTGGGTCTCTTATTACACATTTGTTGCCTGCAACATCCACAACGGGGTGTTATAACCCCCTTGAGAAAGGCAGTTTTATTATATTCTATTAAGAAGTTTAAAATTATTTAAAAGTATAAACCTAGGATTTAATATTAGAAAAAATGTTGCTTCATACTTTCAGTATGCAAAATAAATAGTGCATCAAATAATAAGTTATTTAATATATTATGTCAAAATTATAAATATTTTTAGAAAAATGCATAATTAAATGAAAATTATAATGTTTCATGTTTATAGCTCAACAATTATTATCTAACGATTTAATCAATAGTTAGAAGACATCAAAATTCAAATTTAAATTTTCATTTCTAAAGTCTAGAAAAAAATTATATACATTCAGAAATTTTAATTCTTGTATTTTAATAGTCCTAAATTTTTGATACAACTGAAAGTATAAAACAATGTATGATGTAGAAAAGACAATATAATAGTTGAGATTGCTTGAAAGTTTTCATGCAACATGATCATATACACCTTATTAATTTTATAATTGGCTGCCGTCTTAACAAAGTAGATAGAAATTTAATTATATCGTACCACAATTAAGAATTACATTCTTTATTTTTATTTCACGTAATAGTACTGACGTAACAAGTGAAATTAGTATTAAGCTAACAAGTATCTTCTTCCTGGCAACTTCCCAGCTTTAGCCAGGGTCTGCCTATTAAGCTAACAAGTATGTGTCGTCGTAAATACGATGCGTTTCCCGTTTCTCATTAAATGACCTTCGTTATTTATGATAGTAAACTATTCACGCGCCATCTGTAGTGTGACGAAGAACTTGGTGTAAGCGTACAGATTATAAATAGTATTTTCGTCAATAATGACATATTGTTTTTTTGTATAAAGGATTATGAAATAATTATTCAGCCGATGCCCGTTAAAATATAGTTTGTGTCGTCAATATAGAGAATGTGGATACCGGATAAGTTACTTAGGGATATTTAAAATAATATAGTAACATTTTACATTGATCTGTCTCACTAGTCTGTGACATTTAATAAATAATAAACTCTTTGTTTTTTATTTTTTTTATTATTATGGCTAAAGATTCGTCGTATTCTTGTTATTTTGTTACTTATATCCTTATTGTTACCGCACGCCCTTAATATTTAAAGTGCATAAATAATAAAGTTCAAGATGTCAGCGTTTAACGACTGAAAAGTCACGGACGATTTAAAGATTATGCCCTTTATACTTTTTATTGACTATTAATATTTTGCACATAATAAAATCATAGATAATAAATAATGTTATGTGGAATATATGAAATACTAGCTTTTGCCGCGAATAGTGACTTCCAGCAGATTTTTGGTTCTTCCCACATAGTTCCCGTTCTTGTGGGGTTTTCGGAATGGTCGAGTTCCCGCAGAATTTTCAGGATAAAACCTATGTTTTTTTTAATTCACAATGAAGTACTCTTAACCAACAACATATTTATTTGTTTATTTGGATAAAGATTAATATTATTATGTTGATACAACTTAAATAAATTATTTCGACCAAATTGGGTACCATAAAAACGGTTTTTGTGAGTTAATCTTAAAAGATAGACATATACTGTCGCGGACTGTTTTTTAGATCATTAAAAGAGCTATTATTCTTTAATACATATTTTTTGTGTATCTTGAACCGTTTTCACGGCGCACGCAACGGAAGGCTTCAAAGATGAAATAATTTCTCCCGTTTTTTACACATTTACCACTATATCTTTGCTCCTTTTGGTCGTAGCGTGATGTTATATAGCTCACAGCCTTCCTCGATAACTGGACTATCCAACACAAAAAGAATTATTCAATTCGAACCAGTAGTTTCGGAGATTAGCGCTTTCAAACAAACAAACAAACTCTTCAGCTTTATATGTAATATTTGTATAGATATTTTGAATGGCTCGGGCTTAATTGTAATTTTAGTATGAATTTTAACTATACAGCAACACACGGTTAATAGTTTTGCTTTATTATGAACTAGTTTTTGAACGTGACGTTGTCTGCTTCAGTTTCAGTTTAGAAAATAGAAATGTATAGCTAACTAGGTGAACTCTATTCCTTAAAGACAGTAGATAAGAAGTCTTTCTATTTGATCAACTTGTTTTTTTTTCTTTTATATGTTATATAGGTGGTAGAGCCTAGCTGTAGTCATGTAACTACAGCTCGAACATGGGCTGGCTCGACCGGGGAAGTACCACCCTCTCACAGAAGATCGGCGTGATGTAGTCAGTAATGGCTGCGTTTCGTCCGATGAGTGAGAGAGACGGTTGCCTTTTCCCTATTCCCTTCCTTTCCTGATATTTCCTTATTCCCACCCCTCCCTCTTCCTCAACGATCAAGGTTGGCATCGCATCCGTAATAACTATGTTGCAGATGTCCATGGGCGACGGTAACTACCTATCACACGGTAGGCGGTCTGCTCGTTTGCCACCTTTGACATAAAAAAATATATATAGATATAGATATTAAATGTTATGTAAATTTCCATATTAGGTGTACCATTCACTGCTAAGGAGTCTCACGCTGTTAAGGGTATGCTCCACACTCTCGGTGTTCGCTCCCGTCGTGATGTCCGCGCCGACTATGACGCGGAGTGTGTGAGGCTGCTTAAAGAGGCCGGGGCTTTGGCCCTCGCTGTCACAAATGTACCAGAAATCAACAAATGGTGAGATCTATACATAATAATGTACCTTCCTTATCATGAGCCGTAATCAGAATATATATACTAGTTTTGCCCGCGACTTCGTCCGCGAGTGAAATGTATAAAATGTGTTAAATAATAAATGTGGTTACGTCAACCACATTTATAGTCTGTCACGTAACACAATACAACTGTTATAACTTGAGTCCAAGAGAACACGGAATTCCGGGATAAATGACAGCATATATCCTATTATGACGTCTGAGCTACATTACTATAAAGTTGATTCAAAATACTTTTAGTAGTTCTTGTATGAAAGTCAACAAACATACATTCGTCCTCGCAAACTATAACATTTATAATAATTAATATAAGTAGGATATATTACAATGTTCATTGCCATTAGCTAACTTAAAAAAAAGCATAAAATCGGACGTTTTTCATTTCATTTATACTCGTACATATATCGATACTAATTTCAAAAGATTCGTGAATTAAAAATTACAAAACTGTTGTTTGACTATTTAATTCATACGCGTGGTAAAGTATCTACCACTTAACTGTCAATAAGTTACGTAATATTTTATGAGTGTGTTAATGTCTTTATTATACGATGATGTAAATCCATAGCATCATTATTTGTGCATCGTATCTCGCATTTTTTTAAATAAATATACTTGTTATCTGACAGAAGAAAATAGAATTGTTAATTTTGAGTTGAATAGTTAATATTTTTTTATAATAAGTAATAATAGAAAATATTTGTCACAAAAGAGTTAAACGTGGTATCCCGCAAGTCGCAGGTTCCAATAAGCTTAACACAAGTTTGCTGCGTCACGTTACACGAACAGTTTCGCGTTTCTTAATCAGTAACCTACGTTAATACTACATATAATGTGATAAATTATACGAATGAAACATTTTTTAACTTATGTAATGTGATGACGCAACCTTGGCACAAAGAGTCACGGGTTCGATTCCCGATCGCGTCCATAATTTGCGATAATGAATTTGGAATCCAATTTATAAAATATACTTATTGTTCCCAAAGAACACATAGATAAAACATATAGATTAAATACGGCTTGATATTTAATTTGGCAGTTAAGGCATTATTAGTATAAGGTCCAAAATGCAGTGACAATTTCACTGGAAAAGCTTCCAAAGTTATACAGAAAATTTAAGTTTAAAAAAAAACTAAACAAAAAGAAAATAACAGAAGTTATAACTTTAGATTGATAAAACTGAAATTTACGATACTTTTCTAGTTTTTGCTAAGAAAAGTATGCTCTAAGGAGCATAAGTTTATACTACTCTAGTTTTTATTCATATTCATTACTTTTTTCCTTTTAGCCCGTTTAAATTAGTTTAAAAAAAAAAACATAAAAAAATTAACGTGTCAAATAGTCCAATTGATCTTTTACGTTTGAATCGATGATACAAAGTATGCTCGTATACTTAATAAAACGTATTCTTATCAGACAAATTAATTTTTAACAGCTCGTACAATTGATCATATCGAAATGAGGATGCGTTAACCATGAAAAAGACAAAATTGCCGATATGTTAGTTTGCACAATATTAATAGTACCCATCGTTATGACTTAGTGCTTGTAGAACGGAATTCCAAAAGTTCCCGAGGCATGGGAGCTTGCGTGTTGTATTTTGTTTTTGCCTCATGGCATAGAATATAGATGACGCTCCCTTATTTTGCCAGATAACTTTTATTTCATTTCAGACAACATTTATTTAAGTCAACTGCTGAAACTAATTTTATATAATAAGGTGTTATTTATTGTGAGAGTAGGCAGGAGACTCGTAATATGGTCTTCGGGCAGACGAACAATCCTTACGACACGGGCCGTACTGTGGGGGGCTCCAGTGGGGGGGAGGCGGCCCTACATGCGGCGTTAGCCTCGCCTATATCATTATGTGAGTATGAAACTTCGTTGTTGGAGGATGTTGGAGATCTTTGGAGGACGTTGGAGATGACATCATACTGAGTAGAGCCTTAGAGCTGCAAAAAATATTACAGAATAATAGTTTCGTCGTAATTTGAATTTGTATGGAGAGTAAAAAATTCTGCAATACAAATACCAGTATTATAAGTTTGATGTGTTACCAGTTTACCTTTTTGATTAATTTGAAACTGTCATATCAAAAAATTTATGAGTGCAGAAAATCTAGCAACTGTTTATGTTAAAGTATAGTCTTTTTTAATGTTCAGTTTAAATTTTAATGTTCAGCGTTACTTCCAGTAATGTCTTACAAAATGACTGAAGGAATTACAGTTTTCAAATACAAATTAAATGTTGACATTACAAAATTACAAATGTTCAGTATTATAAACTTTAATTAAAAAATTATTCTAAGATAGTGTTCTCAGCAACAAATTTCTTTCATTCAGTATTATTCTATCAGGTTCTGACATCGGTGGTTCAACTCGTATGCCTGCCTTCTACTGCGGTCTATACGGCTACAACCCCACGGCCGGACACACCAGTCTTAAAGGTATACTATATAAAATTATAAGTCTATTTTTGATTCATTTTATATTAATTCTGTAAAAATTTTAACATGCTCTCATGTACCAGACATTTATTATGTGTCATAAATTGAAAATAAAACACTATAATAATTAATAACTTACATGTTATGTATGTGTAATTATTTAACAACTATTATTGTTATTCTTGTTACGTACGTAATTCATATACTTAAAATTAACCGGACATATCCTGGGCATATAAAATATGATATAATGATTCTCACTCCATACAACGACCGCGTTTGAAGCAGAAGTGACGACAATAGTATCCTAAAGGGGGGGGGGGGGATTAATCATGCAGTCTTAGATTTGGTCATATATTTTTATTACAACAGTTACGTAGCAGTAAATAATGCAATACGTCCTACTCTTCGATTACTTTATTTCCGTTTAATTAAATTAGGCTAATGTACTGTGTGACAATATTTGTGAGGGTTAATAATACATACTCCCGACGTTTCGTTTCCTTTTCAGTAATCGTGATTTCTGGCAGACATCTCGTCTTTAGTTTTGAAATAATCAAATACGCGTAGTAATATTAGTTCCATTTAAACACCCTGTATAATTGTTTTATTTTTATTCATCAGGATCAGCTCTCCGTAGCGGTGAGGATCCAACTATCGCGTCCATCGGCTTCGTCAGCAAACATCCCGAGGACTTGGCGCCTCTCACTAAGATTATCGCTAATGAAAAGGCTGGATTGTTGGATTTGGATAGGAAAGTCGACATTAAGGTATTTTTGCACCCTCGAAAGTTTTCTTGAATAATTTTGTTTTAATTTTCTTCTTCCTGGCAATTTCCCAGCTTTAGCCAGGGCCTGCATTTTTGTAATCAATACACCCTCAGTATTAATTAATAAATAATTATTTCAGGACATCAAATTCTATTACGTGGAGGACGTGAAAGATTTAAGGATCAGTCCCGTGTGTAGTGAACTTAAGAAGGCCATGCATAAGTATGAATCATATTTAGTATTGCTTTTTGCAAAATTTACTTCAGATTTTTCTTGGAAATAATTTGCTCAAAAGTATCAAATTATTGAAAAGTACTTTTAGTAGAGGATCCCGATATAAGCGACCTTCACCGAGATGTTTATTTGATGAAACATATTTTATATTCAATTTAACATGTCAATAACTATATTACATATGGGTTGCCTCACAAATTTTAGTCCAGGATATGATTAATTAACAATTAAAAATAGATTTTTTTTCAAATATTTCACCGGTTTGTTTATTAGATAAATTCCACACCAATCGAAAGTACGGAGCCCATAGAATATGAAAACGTTAGGTTGCCTATTGCCAAAATTCTGTTGCCAGAAAATAGTTATTGATCGGGTGTAAGCATAAAAAACAAAGTTGTCAATAAAATTTAAACTACCTACATATTCTATTCCATCGACCTCGACACCATCTCCATACAATTTTTTTTGAAAATCATAGAAGCCTTTCCCGTGATTCGGATTATATAAAAATCTATATTAATATGTGACAACTTAATTCTAAATGTATTAAATAATTCCACAAACTGAATTATTAAATTTAAAATTAAAGTCACAGTATTTCAAAAACATTCACACGTCATTTCATTGCCACGATCATCTCTATTGACATTTTATTCCAGACCAAAATTCCAGAATTATTCCATCTATTATTTGTTTCCAGAGTAACATCGAAGCTATCGAAGGTGAGTGAACCACCGAAGCGTTACAACCACGCGGGGTTCAACCACTGCTTCGCGTTATGGAAACACGCCATGACGCGAGAAACAGAAGACTTCGCTAAACTACTTATGAACAACGAGGGAAGGGCTTACGGGGTTATAGAGTTGGGAAAAAAAGTTAGTATCGATAATAAATTTACTTTACCGATTCGAAGCAAAGTGTACATCCCTAGTCTTTACTTACCATTAAGTCATTCGCGCACTAGTCGATGTTGAACTACAGTTTGTCAAATTAATATTTATTTCTTTAAATATAACAGTTAGATTTATATTATGTACTAATAATATATTATTTAGAACAATGATTGGTGTATTCTAATTAAAAAATTGCTTTATTAAACTACAAACGACGAGCTTCGAGTTTTTCCTATATTCACCTTTGCTCAGTGGCGGCCGGTGGGTTATCGAACTGGTGGTGCACTTTACTAAAATATTAAAACTAGAAAATGCTACAAAACAACAATTGACATAAAATATGTTTATTTTTTATACATTAATTAATGCAACGACATTTTTCCGAAGCGAAATGTTCAATCACCTACTTATTAAAATCGGGTGTTGTTTGTATATTTTTTAAATTCAATACTAAGCACAGAAAGTGCATTTAGCAAGTGCATGGTATTTCGTAGAAAAGTTTTGATTCTTTTCAATTTCAATTCGTCATACATCTGGTGCTCTCGGTAATCTTCGGTTCGCTCGTGCGGCGCTCGAGAACCGACTCATTACTCGGTACATTTCTATGAACTATCTTTTGTCTCACGCGTCAGGCGTATTGATGCGTATCACATACAAGATGTATTAGCAGTCCTCGTGCACTCGCCGAAGCGCACGAGATATTAGTTTAGTAAAGCGCTCACACTCATAATTTGTAATTTAATTTTTCATTGGTTTTTGTATCTTTAAAAAAAAAATATTAAAATGGTAATTTAAAAATAAAGATGAAGTAATATTTTGTAATTTTTAAATCTTTTGAATTGGTGGTTCATCGCACGAGTGCACTTAAGGTACAGCCGCCACTGCCTTTGCTCATCATGATAGTATTATACAGACTTACAAATGAAATTTTTAAGCTCTTTGACAGTGCCAACAACAGTGCCAAGTTTGACAATGCCAACTTGTGCTAAGGATAAATAATATGTTATCTTAACATATTCAATCATATATAACATGTTCATTAATAAAATAATATTTTTAAATGTAAATTAAAATTATTCAATATATGTTTTCAGTTAATTGGTCAGTCTGACTTCACATTAGCCGCTATCATGAAGCTGTTGGATGATCAAGTGTTACCGGCTGTGGATCCAGCTTGGGCCGACCAGCTCACAGACAGCTTGAAAGATGATCTCATTGTTAGTATCCTTATAATATTCAACTATAACATATAGTTTGCTATTGACCAGTGGCGGCCGGTGGGTAATCGAACCGGTGGTGCACTTTACTAAAATATTAAAATTAGAAAATGCAACAAAACAACGAGATGTCAATCATGGCTCAATTCGTCATACATCGGGTGCTCTCGGTAATCTTCGGCCGCTCGTGCAGCGCTCGAGAACCGACTCATTACTCGGTACATTTCTATGAACTATCTTTTGTTTCACGCGCCAGGCGTATTAATTCGTATTTCATACAAGATGTATTAGCAGTCCTCGTGCACTGGCCGAAGCACGAAAACATTTGACCATAATAAGGATTTTTTTTTTTACGTTTTTATATGTTTTAAAAATAAATATTAAAATGGTAATTTAAAATAAAGATGAAGTAATATTTTGTAATTTTTAAATCTTCTGAATTGGTGGTTTAGCGCACGAGTGCACTTAACGTACAACCGCCACTGCCATTGACTAAACATATATTCTATTAAAGCTATATGTATGTATAGTTTTTGTTATAATTTTTTTTATTGAGTAAAATCAAATATTTTAAACTCTAATGTGGTTCTCAAAATTATAAAAAGTTTCGGTGGCTCAAATCAGATGCAAAATTGTTATTTTATAAATTGTACTGTGAAATTTTTGTTTAATATAATATGTAAAACAATTATTATTAAACCTAGTAATACGAGAAAGTATAAATACATAAACTTGTATTGTTTCTTTACTAAATTAATTCTTCATCGTTAACTCTGCCTCCTATTATCCCAATACAATATCAATGTAAAGTAAAAATACACATAAATATCAAAACATTTAATAATATTAATATATAATAAAAATCATATGTTTTATATTTCCAGACGCTGCTGGGTGATACAGGTGTTCTCATATTCCCTTCAGCGCCGAGTCCGTGTCGCCCTCACTACACCCTGTACACTGGACCATTTAACTTCGCTCTATGGGGAATCTTCAATGCTCTAAAATTCCCCGCTGTACAAGTAAGTTTTGAATATAAATATAACTTTTATAATGACAACCATATATATACACAGCATCATCAATATTTTAAGAATAATAAGCACGATTCCACACCAAACTTGTTAATTTATTTTTTTTATATTTAAATTTCCATCATTTGACATATTAGTAAAAATATTTTATGTTTGTTATTTTCTCTAAAATAAAAGAATTATATGTATGGTATTTAGAGACTACGCTGTGAATCAGTGTTGTTTTAATATACATTGAAAAAAAATAATGTCCATAATCTCTACATAAATCTATGTACTAAATTATTTCAATTGAGTCTTCACACTATCATGTTGCATTAGTTATTTAACCCACCATCTATCAACTTCACTACATGTCTCTGCTTATATTAATCACAATAAATATCACACACAATTACACCAAAGCATTTAATCCATCGACTTATACTAATGGACATGCCCCAAAGATGAGACTTGTGGCACTCCGAAAGAGAGGAAACGAAGTTTCGGTCTATCTTTATCTCTCTCAAAATAGTACCGAAAGCTTAGGCCATCTCTCTCACTCTTTTAAAACCAAAAAAATACTGCAGACTATACGCGTACGGCATGTCCATTAGTATAAGTCGATGGTTTAATCTCACCAGCATATATATCTTCAAGATATTTTTCATCAATGGGTAGTTTTTCCATCATTCCAGCAGTTCATTGTTAACAATATAATAGCCTACTATAAATGTCAATATTATTATATTTCCAGGTGCCGGTGGGTCTGTCGGCCGGTCTGCCGCTCGGCGTGCAGCTGGTGGCGGCACCTGGACGGGACGCGCTACTACTGAATGTTGCAACACACCTGGACGAACACCTGGGAGGATTCACACCGCCTTGTGCTGTACCACTTAATAACGCTTAGGAGTGAAGGTTTCTATGTATTGTAATATGCAGTGGCGGCTGTACCTTAAGTGCACTCGTGCGCTGAACCACCAATTCAAAAGATTTAATAATTACAAAATATAACTTCATCTTTATTTTTAAATTACCATTTTAATATTTACTTTTTAAACATATAAAAACGTATAAAAAATTAAATTTCCAATTATGGTCAAAAAGTTTGAGCGCTTTACTAAACTAATATGCGCTTCGGCGAGCGCACGAGGACTGCTAATACATCTTGTATGAGATATGCATTAATACGCCTGACGCGTGAAACAAAAGATACTTCATAGAAATGTATCGAGTAATGAGTCGGTTCTCGAGCGCCGCACGAGCGGCCGAAGATTACCGAGAGCACCTGATGTATGACGAATTGGAATTGAAAAGAATCAAAACTTTTCTACGAAATACCTCGCACTTGCTAAATGCACTTTCTGTGCTTAGTATTGAATAAAAAAATATACAAACAATAACCGATTTTAATAAATAGGTGATCGAACATTTCGCTACGGAAATGTTGTTGCATTAATTAATGGATAAAAAAATAAACATATTTTATGTGAATTGGTTTTTTGTTGCATTTTCTAATTTTAATATTTTAGTAAAGTGAACCACCAGTTCGATAACCCACCAGCCGCCACTGGTAATATGTAATTTAAGTTTAATACTTACTTGTGATGATCTATGCTATTCATTTATATATGAGACTGTTAGACTGTATTCAATACATATAATATGTAAGGTGGTGGAAGTCAGTGTATGACAATGAATAAAACTTCATATAAAATGAGAAGAAATCTTTTAATTCAATATTAAAATCTTTTATAATCTGTCCACCCCCTCTCCCCGCCCGCCTCCCCGCACCCTACTGTAGTAACTATGCGTTCAACGAATTGACTTTACACTATCCACTACACTTAGATATAATTTAGACTCCGTATAGTAATGGTAATGTTTATATCGAGCGACATATCAACGTATGTATTATACTATTTATCATCTATATTTGTACATCACATCGGGTCGCGTCACCGGGCGCCGGGCCCAGCCGCGCCGGGCCGAGCTCACAAACAATTATACATAACGGGAAAAGAACGGCGAGTGTGACGTCACGCGCCGGACGAGCGGCAGCGGCAGAGCAGCGCCGCGGCCAGGCGACGCAGCAGCGCCGGCGTGGGCGGTGTGGGCGCTGCAGGCGGGTGGGCTCGCGCCGCATCGCCGACGTCGCGCGTGGGCGGGCGTGAGCGGGCCTGCGGGGCGGGCGGGGGGCGGCGGGCTGGCTCTCAGCTCGGGAACTTGGAGAACAGTGCGTACTGCAGCTCGTAGCCCGAGAACCGACAGTGCTGGGCCTCCTTCTGCTGGAACCCGCCCACCGACGGGAACTGCTTCAGCTGGCGACTGGAGGCCGCCGCCGGGGAGTCCTGCGACCACATTGAACGATGAATGAATGGATGAATGGTGGAATGACGACAGACGATACCGACTATACGACATAGTAGTGTTACGTAGGTGTTCAATATATAATAGGAGTGTCTATTTTGTCTCAAACAGGTCCTATTTTGACATACATTCACTGTCAGGTGATCTAACTAAGATAATATTAGTTTAATTTTATAAATTGTGTTATGAATGTAAATAGTAGGATGAGGCAAGTTATATTATAAAAGTTGTTCAACTGACCGGTGTAGCGAACACGGTGACAACGAACTTGTTAGGTCTGAAGGCCGCCAGTACTCGAGCCAGCAGGGCGTCGGGCGGCAGACACACGTTGGACTCGAACGATACGTACGAGCAAGACGGCTCAGGAGTTATGTGGATCGTCATGTAGCAACCCTGGACCAGACATACATATATAATAACATACACATATATATATATAACATACAATATATGAAACTTATTCTAATATAGTCATTCTGTTTATATTTTATATGATAATGTTACCACAATAAGGATATCCGATTAAGTCCGATTTAGAACTTACAGATGGTAATTCCAGATCCCTCTATTGACAGCGGGAAATACATACAAATATATTAACATCATATATCATCAGAGACCACTTCTATTTATTAAATAATTTAATATTACTTATAATAAACATATAAGCATTCTTCATATTACTTAAGAACTTTATGCATTAATCATAATACTCCAGTACTATACAAATATATAATATATTGAATATAATATGTATTATTTTTAATTCTATGTATATACTAACATCTTTAGCGACCCCGTTCATGGAGTAGCCACAGGGATCAAACAGGTAGTCATCAATCACCATGCCGGGGATCAACTTGTCTATACCAGAAGCCTGGGGACAGACATACAACATAATGGTCAAGAAATAATTTTAAAATACATTCTTTTTCTTGTGTATGATAAGATTTTATTTATCATATTACTTTGGTGTACTTATAATGCAGTTAAATTCAAATAGGACATTCAATTATTGAACAGGATTCGAACCTACGACTCTGGAATGGAATTGGAAACCTATGATCACAAGTCGAATATTAAATAATATATGTATATTGTACAGTAACACCGAACTTGTATCATTTTAATAATGTCAGTTCTATTAAAATTACATTACATTGAATGACATTTATAACTTGAGTATATCTATATACAATTATAGTAATTATGATCAGAAGACAGCATATTTTTTTAATAGCTCATTTAAATAGTACAGTAATGTTTTCTATATAGTTTAATGTGTGTGATGTATGTATGTATGTTGGGTGTAACTACTGACCCTGGTAGCATCAGCGGCTGTAGCGGAGGTGGCTCTAGTAAAGATGTCCATGACCGCTGGGTCCAGGTCCGACATGAGGATCTCTATAGTCTGGTCTGGTTCCGACGACTGGGGATGCTGCTCCTTCTCTAGGGCTGCGACAGTACCTGGAAATGTATACAAAAATATGAGGAATTTATTGAGGAATAATGAACAATTCAGTTAGTTTAACTGTCCAAAATAAGATATTCCATATAAATATTAATTATCGTCTGCCCGTGATCACGGTTGCTGAAAACTAGCCGAAACGTCGGGGGTATGTAGTTCATAATCAAAAATAAAAACGCGAAGTTAAAATCCGAAAATATTAGTTTCATTTAAATGAGTACTCGCAAAAATCGAAAAAAAAATCAATTAAGGCAGTTTGTCTTTCTTGTGGGCGCTGCAAGCCTAAGACCCAGAAAAAATTGTAGCATTGTGGACTAATCGATGAATTTTAATTTAATTTAGCTAAGTTACAATAATTTTTCAGTAGGTGAAAAATTATACATTAAAAAATGTATTCCCAAAGTGGGTAGTAGACGAAAAATGATTTTGAATACTTATATTAAGACAGTAATTCTCAGATATATTGTCTATTAGCTTTCCGAGAGTTATATAGCGTTTCCGAGAGAACCTTTCAAAGGTCTGGGATAAAAACTATCCTATATTCTTTCTCGAGGTCAACTCCATCTCTGTACCAAATTTCATTAAAATCAGTTCAGTGGTTCAGGCGTGAAAGCGTAGCAGACAGACAGACAGAGTTACATTCGCATTTATAATATTAGTACACACTACATAGTAATAGAATGTTGAATCAGTCATAAATTTTATTACTGCCAATCATTCATATCATCAGTCATGTTTATCCTCTATACCAACCTTCTAAAGGCAGCAGCGTGTACAGATACCAACAATCACCCTCGGGGCCCATGATGTACGCGCGACCGTCCCCGAAGAACGAATCCAGTAGCTCCACCTGGTTATAACACAAACATTATGTATTATAGATAGGATATTAATATCTCATATTTTGAACAAAATGTCTTGTTGAATAATTCAATTATAAAATTTGGTATAGCTATAAGGACTAAGGGCCAAAGACATGTGACATTGAATGCAATAGGAGAATTTAATTATGTAGAAAAAAGCTATCTTTAATAGAATCTCTTAATAGTTGAATAATTCATTAATGAAATTTTGTGGAGTTACAAGGAGTAAGAGCCATGTAGACAAAAACATAGGCTACATTGCTTCCAATAATGAATTGGATTAGACACTTAAAAGCTATAACTTTAATGGAGGGTATGTAATTGTATATATAGAATTTTTATTATATTTATGTATATACACAACATATTGGATAAACTTTTATAACAAAAAAAAAAGGTTGTCATTTTCAACATAATATGTATTCCAGAAATTCAGTGGAGAGTTTAAAAAAACGTTAATATATCTGTCGTCGTAACAAATACTTAATTATAATTATACGGAGATAATATGTTTGTTATCTGGAACAATTTTTACTTTTAATTACATTATCAAAGTTATTTATTTTAAAAAATGCATATTTTTTATTTATTAATGCAATACTTATGGAACATGAAAAAAATAAATATAATGTTAAATGCATAGTAATTATAATAAAAATAATTCAAACATCTAATTATTACCCTTTCAATAGCATAAATCTCAATAAAAATAAATTTTAGACAAAACCATAATATATATTATTCATAATAATTTAAAATATGTATGTATGTATAAAAAATTGCCTATTAAGATAAGAAAAGTCATATAATTCAATTTCATAGTAATTATAAAAATACTAAATAGTGCAAAATACATAGAAAAATTAGTTCCACTTTATAAACGCTATAGAATTTAATGAAACGTAAGATTTTGATACGTGTATGGTTGTTTAAAAATGATTTTTAGGGAAACGTTTTCTTTTTCCAAGTAATAACTTGCTTCAGTTCAAATTAGGATTAATGATGATTAGTAAGTAAATAATTTGATTACAGCGAGAAGAACTACTTATATTTAAATATATTTTCATACTGTTGGTGTTTGTTTGTTGTACTGATGGATGTTTGTTGCTCTGTGACACAAGAACTACTAAACGGATTTTGATTAAACTTTACAGTAATGTAGCCGAGACGTCAGAATAGGATGTAGGTTGCAATTTACCTCAAAATTCCGAGTAGATCAAGCGAAATCACGGTATAACTGTTGTATTGCGTATAGTGACGTAAGTAGTACGTAACGCGGACAACAGATGTCGCTGCGAGTCGATTAACATATAATATATTGTTTTAAAATGCACATTTCAGGGGCCAGTTTCAAAAAAATAACGCGAACGACGTCGTGGGGCAAATATAGTATATATTAAAATATATAATATATAAGTTTTTTTTTACATTTTAACGATAAATTAACATAGAGACAGTAAAAACAAAACGATAATGTATGATAATAATTAGATTAATATTAAATATCAATATATAAATTGGAAAATTCAGTTAGTTACTAAGAAAAGTGTGTTTCTTATTATTTATTAACAAGGTGATCCTCCCGGCGTTGCTTACTTTATTATTTCCGCGTTTATTAATCGAAAATGATATTTAACATATACTAATAAGTAATAATATTACTTCAAATTATTTGTCCACATGGTTATAGAATAACAAACATACCAACTCTCAGTATGTAGATTAATTAAAATATATTAATGAAATAAACTTTACGAACTGGTGAGATTTCAAAAAGTAATATTCGATACCATGAGATCTTTGAAGATTAAAAAAAGCACATTCTTTTAAAGCGGATCCATTACTTTCTTTTGTATGTTTGCTAGGACAAAGTTTCTAATTTCATTGAGTCATTATCTTTGAATTTTTTATGGCAAATTACATTTCTCCGTTACGTATTATAATAAAAGACTATGTACAAAGAAATGCGATATATACTCAAGTACTTTGAAAGCCTAGTACGCTAACATTTATAACACCCTTCTGAATCAAAATATTCTCATATAAAGTTTTAATATGACATAATTATACTGGTGTTATTAAGACGAAACCTCTAAGCATTCAATGTATGTATTTACCGTGCGGGTGTCGGGTCCATCGTTATAGAGAGAGGAGCTTCAACAGTGCCTGGAACTTGCGACCCAGGTGTAGGTTTAAGGGGACCCTATCTAACGAGCGTTAAACGCTCACCTCCACATTCCAAGCTCTTCTCTCTACCTTTCCAAAATTTGAAAAGAAGCTACTAGGACTGCCTTCGAAGTACGTTCTAACGCACTCTGATATGGTATATGCTAAAGCTTACCTCTGAATCAAAGTTGTCATGCGGCTTAAGCTGTTCGGCTGGGCGTGCGAACTCCCGCCTGGAGTAGAACACGTTCTCTACTCTGGGATATCCAGCTGTTTCCATGGCCAGCTGGAGAACAGCTCGGACACAACGCAGGGGTGTCGTCTTGCCACAGGTCTTCAATATCCAGCGTCGGCGTGACACGAACATGCTGCTCTCACTGTATAAAACGAATATAATATATGTAATAATTAAAATTGTTTGGGAAAAATATTACTTCGAGACGTAAAAATAGTTATTATTTCTTAATTCTACAAGATATTTAATATTTTTTTTAATTAAAATAATCATTATACTTTGTATACGTATATAATTTTTGTTAAAAGATTGTTATTAAGTTTTTTTTCTTATATAAATAAATAAATCAATTTATTTATATATTTTGCAGTCATGATAAAAACCTAATTCCAGGTTCTAAGTCTACAGGATGTGATAGCAAAAACCAAAAAAGCGGTTCATAAGTTTAACAAAAAAAAATCTCCACTACATCTACTTATATAAAGCATTCGGTGATCGTTGAAATAAAATTTTTCACACAAAATGAATAACATAAGTGAATGAAAAGATTTTATGGAAACATATATGAATCAATCAAATAATTTTACAAACATTTCTTCAAGTTACAGTCACTTGAACCAAAGTTAAATCATAACGAGAATTTGTACAAATATTTTGCATTCAACTTTTATATTATTAAAATATTGCACGAGTTAAAATTACTTTAAGAGATCAAGATTATAATAAGCTGTTCGTCATCTTTTCATGTCTCTAGAGGCTAAAGATTTAATCAAGTTTATAAGCCTACAGCCTCTTAATCTCGAGAGTCATCATCATCAGCCTATCAGAGCCCACTGCTGAACAAAGGCCTCTTATAACATGGAGGAGATTTGTGCATTTATCACCACGCTTACTCAAGACGGTTTGGCGATTTCAAACTTATAAAATGAAATTAAAAGACCAGGTTTCCTCACGATGTTTTCCTTCACCGTCTGTCAGTGGTGTCTAAATATTCTTAGAAAGTACATACATATGACTAACAAAAATCACAATTGTACTTGCCAAGTTTCAAACCCTCGCCCTCATGCACGAGAGGTGGACTTTATCGAGATTGGATAGTGCATTATCGAAATCAGTACAGAAATGTCTCAGTTTTTTCATTCATATACCTAAATGAATATGACTATGATCGTAAATGAAAAACAATAAACTAATTGTACTTAGTTTAAAACGCAAACTAAGAGTAAAGCTACTAAGATCGATGTACGTATGACAAAAATAAAAATATATCAACTGGCCACAAAGAATAATTCAGAACATTATCAGTTACATCATGTGTCTCACAAGGTTGTTCTTATGATTATAACCCTGAGACGTTTTGAAACATATTCCAGAATAAAATTACATTTAAATTACAATTGATATCAATTCTAACAAACTTTACTTCTATCTAAGCGAGGCCGAAGTTCACAGATATTAATTGTTGACACACGCCGTACACATTAGTTAAGGAAATAGTTTATGAGATAAGACGGTTCATTTCTGATAATATTTTTATTACTTCGCATTATATATTAGATTATAAGTTTCATTGAATTTCCTGTATCTTATGCAACAGTCGTAGAAATACTAAGAATTGTTGGTAACTTGAAACTAATTGTGAAACATTATCGCTTGATGCAACAAAAATGTATATGTATTATAATATATATACATATGTATGTGTTAATCATAGGCAAGTATCATCCATACTGTATATATTAATTATTCAATGTCTTGTAGAATTCGTTCTTAGTACAACATTTAAAATCTCGTCTGCCCGTGATCACGGTTGCTGAAAATTAGCCGAAACATCGGGAGTATGTAGTTAATATTGTTAAATAGACAAGAATTTCGGTAATAAATTTAATTACCATACCTATTATATACTAGTTATATATTTATATATAAATAAATGGTAAATTCTCAAGAAGTTGTTGTGTACAATGTAAGCATCTCAACGCGCAGACTCCGATCGATAGAACAATTTGTACGAAGATTGACACCAAGATACATTATGATGAGTTCACATTAGAATTTACTGAAATATTCGAAATACGTTAATGGAAACGCACCCTTAATTAATGTTACATTTATATTTGAATATGTATATCAATTTAAAAAATATTTTAAAAACATTAAATCATTTCCTAGTGTTAATCATAACACGACTATGTTATACATATATTTACGTACGCTCGTTGTCTATAAATATGAATATATTAATAGAATTATAATTCAATGTGTGCAGACGAGCACGTGGTCAACCACGTTGTAGGCTCGTGGAGTAACCGGTACATGACTTGGGGAGACGGGTTTTATACGAGAATTAATCTTCATTACGTAGGTATATGACAAAGTAACTCATATATACAATATGAAAAAAAAAAAAAATGACCTGTAACTATATACTTATATGTAACTAGCTGACAAAGCAAACGTTGTTTTGCCATATAAAAATAGGGGTTCGAGATAAAAACGTAAATATTTAGGGGTCTAGGCATTTTTAGTGCATATTAAACATTATAAAAAAATAAAAACAAAAAATTTCGTCCAAAAACTCAAAAATAATAGGGGTGAACAACCCTTATTACTTAGGGGTATGAAAAATAGATAGTTCCCGATTCTTAGACCTACAGAATATGGTAAAAAAAATTGGTAAAGCCGTTTCGGAGGAGTACGGTAACTAACATTGTGATTTGTGACATAAACCTTTTATAGGTATATTAGATAAAATATAAATAAATATTTAATAATATATTTCAAAATTCAAATAAGTCACGTATATAATGATATTTTTAAATTCTTTAATACTCGTTACTTATTGCTCGTCTGCGGTACAACTAAGAATTGGCACTTGAAAATTTCAACGCATTAATTTCCTTATAGTTATGTACTTTGTGATATTATGGATGATTAATTTTAGTTCAAAATTAACTTTATACAGAACAAAGTAGGAAGTTTTTTGGTAAGTATTTCATAAAAATCTAAATATAATATTATTATTATTTGACAAATGATAAGGCTAAACTGTGCTACGTGCTTAGTTTAAATTACGTACGTCTGAACTTTATTTATTTATAAAATTAAAATTTTTATTTCTAAATTTAAATATAGGGACGATTACTTAAAAAAATGTTTTGACAAAAGCAGTAAAAAATATATCAATCAGTATTAAATTTGCTACCAAAAATATATGGTTAAAGCGATAAAAAAATGTTTGTTTATGACAACTGAAAAAAAATGAAAGAGTTTCGCGCATAGTGTATGCCAAATATTTGACTTCAGTCTTTAAAATAGAATTTAGTATTAAACTAATATATTTACTTACATAGAACAAAGAATTATAACTTTTGAAACGATATTAGGCCTATTAGGAGTTTCAAAACGGGGGGAGGGGGTATGTGGCAATTGGCATTGGAGATAGTAATGGCATTGGCATTACCGTCTCGCCAATACAACTTTTATTAATGATCTTACAATCCATAAATCAGATAACTATACAGTAAAAGATAATAATCATACGTCGAAAAGAACTTTATTATACAATACATAAATTAGTGAGCTCAAATTAAAATAATGCGGAAGAATTTTATACAAATAACATATAATATATGATTATAAAATTATAAATTTACCTCTTTTAAATGTTTAAAGCGTGTATATTAAATCATTCTTCGATAGTATTTCCCCGTAAGCATTTACATGTACACAGTTAACCCTCATTAACTTTGATTTGATACTAAGAACAATGTATAATTACTATTGAATAATTATGCAAGCTTACTTACACATAACACGCGATTCGATAAAAAAATTTACAAGACTAAATAACAGATTATTTCATCTCGTCTTCGTGATCACGGTTGCTGTAAAGTAACCGAAACGTCGGGAGTAGATATAAAATAATAAAAATCACATACTATATGAAAAACTTATCCTTTGAAAATGTACAAGCAAAAATCTTAGATAACGTTATGATAAAAGATTTTTATTAGATGAACCTTCACCAAGAATTATATTCACAGAAACAACAGTGATCAAACTTTAATTAAGGATTAATGTAAGAAGCAAGCATACTTGCTTATAGTTTTACCGTTGCTCCTACTTGTACAAAGATTCTATACAAGTGTAAACAATAATATAAATCGTATTTTTAAAATACAATGTTTCACTTAATATAGTGAATATAAAATATGTACATATTTTTGAAGAAACATTTTGAAACACCTAATTATTTGGAACGTCCTTAATTTCGGAACAAAGAAGTAAGTTTTTTCGTACGCCAGCGACACTCTCAAGGTGAGCTTAGAGATTGGCATCCAATGACTGTTTATTAGAGGTCAAATTAACAAATATTATTAATAAAAAACTAACTATTACTTGTTACCATGTGTTTTATAACTATAACCATAATAGTTGTACATAGAATAGAAGTCATTTATGACGTATGTAGGATATACAACTACGTATATTCATAACCATGTTCCGTAAATAAAAGATGGATATAAATCTGGACGCTTTGTTGATCAAACTCAAGGTCACAGCCGCGTGGCTAGACGTCCAACATTATATACATACACGAACACACACACACAAACATACATGTGTGTGTTATATGAAACATTATAACATATGCCTAATAAAAACTGGTAGGACGATATTTGGCAATGTCAGCCTTGAAGCCGGTTTGAGTTTTATACTACTAACAACATCACTTGTGACGTGATAACCTGTCAGAAACTATTACATAAGAATATTATCCTTACATAATAGTTAAAGTGATACTATAAATAGATTTGTTTAATTGCGTCGTAATTTCAGGAGCCGTTTTGGGTGTCATCCGTGATGGTTGACACTGCGCATGCGCGACTCTCACCACCTTGACCTTATAGAGGGCAGAGCGTAAACCTAATGTTTGATCGATAGTGCAACGTTCCGTAGAAACTACCAGAACAATATCCGCACGACGTTACAGTTAAAAATACATATAATCTGTACTATACATAGATTACAAACAAAGAAACATATGACCTATATATGTGTACGTGTGTAACGAGAACAGGTTGAAATACACATGTATGTCCACAGACGATGTAATGCAATAAAAAAAACATTGAAAACATACTAGAATCTTTAGATAATAGGAAATAGTTACATATTAAAAAAAATTAAGCAAAGAGGCTCACTACTAAATCCTCTTTGTACGATACTAATTATATATAAAGATAATTAATATCTTTATAAATATAATATATAACTGAACAAATAGTTAAAATAATATGACGAAGTTTTGTTAATTGGTGTGATAATACATCATGCAGCATGCTCATGGGGACATCGTTTGATATCAACGAATAAGGTCAGAAATACTTTATCTATCAATATTTGCTAATTCCAACTTTTTATCTTATTTAAATATAATAATAATATTTATGTTATATACACACACACTACTAGTTTTTGCCCGCGTCTTCGTCCGCGTTAATTTCGGCATTAGTAATATATGTATAGCTGACCGTGCGAACTCTATTCCGCCCTAGAGGCCCTAAATAATCATAATATATTGGAACTTATTAATTTTTTTTCTATCTTTCCACCAACTTTCAACTACATCACTACAGCTGTTCTTGAGTTATAAATAGTGTAACTAACACGACTTTCTTTTATATATATAAAAAGACATTAATAGCTATTTATTTACCCTACATAAATTTTAAATAATTGAAGGCTAATTTTAAATGAATTCAAAGAAATATTAGTTCGATTAATTATTATTATAAGCGTTCAATTTTAACTTTTATGGCTTGACGAATCAATACTTAATTGTAGGTAAAAAAAGTAAATTACTTTCTTAGTATTTATATTAAAATAGCTGGAATACTTCCATAGCTTTTATATATTTCAGATATTATTGGAATGGTGGAACTTTAGGCTGGGTACATGACCTGAAACTATTTCTCAAAAAAAAACAATGGTATTGCCATTTACCAAAATATTTAACTAAATTACAAATATACGTATTAGTTTAATATATTGTCCGACATTTGAACAAACTTGTAAGTAATATATTTATTAGAATAATAAGCGCACCATTTTTGATTAAATATGTAGCATATTTGAACGGACGAAAATTTATTTCTGTACTAAACATATATATAAGTCAAAAACCAGCCCAAATTATTAATCTGTTTATCACTCTGGCTGTTTGCCCATTATCAACGTCAGAGATACGGGATGAGACGCTACGTTTACGTTAGCTACGTAACGTATACCGTTAACTACGCAATCTACGTTATTTATAATATAAAGGAAAATAAATAAAAAATTATCATCTTGGCTCATATTAAATTGGGAATGTATAATAATTAATAATAATAAATAATAATATTTAGTAAGTTTCGATATAAAATTAAAATGGCTTATTAATTATTATGTGAATCCTTAAATTAGAAAAATATAAATTAACTACATATTACAATAGATATAAATTAAAATTAAGTTCAATTGAGAATAATTCCATTAAAACGTAGTATTATCAGTGCGATAATATTTGCGGTTAAAATAATTTTACTATAATATATTTACATGACCTCCCTAATCTTTGAACTTTCGTGTTAGTACATATGACTAACAACTACGTCACATATGGAGATTGGACGAACGCCGCGCAACTGAATGGTTGAAAAAAACGATAAACAGGTTAAAAAGCTATCGCGTGCTGTAATCGATTGAAAAAAAACTAAGGGAAATACAAGGTCCATTTATAATTATAAAGATTTAACATTTACATACAACAAGACATTCAGTTAATTTTTTTGTTTTGCAAGTCCAACAATTATTTTCTTTTATTGTTTTGTTTGAAGTTAATATTCTTTCAATATAAAATTAATTAATATGATTGTATTTTTAGAACAAAAATAATATTAAATATTTTCACTAACTCAAAGAACAACTCAAATCTTAATTTGAGTTGTTCTTTGAGTTTTAACATATATTTTTGGAATTTAAGTTAAATTCCAAAAATATATGTTAAAAAAACTTTAAATTAAATTTTTCTTATCTTCCAAAATATTAAAAAAAAATTGTTATAATAATATTACTTAGATACTAATAGTTCTGCTATTAATTAAATAACAAGTATTTTATTTCATATACCACAATTTAATTAATTATTATCTTATTTTGTATCTGAGCAGCAAATTACTATTTATTAATTATTAAAAATATTCTAAAAGACATTAAAAACAATTATGTACTACAACAAAGTAATAATCAAATTGTATACTCAATAATAACAAATATAATAATTAGGTATATATTACCTTAAAACATAGGCGTCGACTTGCTCGCTCTGCGTGAAAGATATGATTTCACAGCGGACTATCTTCAGCACATTCTCCCATTGTTGACTGAAACAATAATAATATTATAGCATATTGAATAACTTAAATAAATGTAATAAGCAATTACAATGTTCTGAACCATTTAACTATTACAAGTTACTATAAAAATCACCTATACATCTTTAAGAAGAAAAAATATTCATTAATCTATGAACAATGTATATTTTTTAATGATAATAAATTTTTTATTGCCTTTTATTTATAATAGGGAAGGCTTTTGTCTTACTCTTTACATTCAGGTTATAAAAAAAACAACATTTAATATCCCATTTTGAAATAAGGATAAAACTTATTTATTAATTATATATTTCTCAAATATAAAAGAAAAATCGTATGTTATCAATCTTAAAACAGCATCCATAAAAATCTGCTCAGTTGTTTTCTGAGATTTTGTTAATTGCCATCCCTTTTGAGAACAAGTTCTGGAGGTATTCATTTTTCATTGCAAATTACAGGGCGAAACCAGTTGCGACGAATTACTGTCTTGCTTCACCGAAAAATTTTGAGAGAATGCTTTTTTTGGTATGTACCCACAGTAAGTGGAAATTTTATTCCAAAATTGTTAAAATACAGAATGTATTTAACTTAACTGAAATATGTTTTAGTTATAATAAAGACGTCTAAGTGGTTATGTAATATTCAGATATTACTCATTCGAAATCGTAATAACCCGCCTTTTTCTACCAATCAATACACTGTCGTTTGACGGCAGCCCGACACAAAGTCTCAGAATATTTATGATACCGGCATCATAGTGAAACAGCTGATTCGAGAAGCTTCCATAACAATAACAATAATTTGAAGACACTATTTTTAAAGTGATCTTGCATTTAAACGACACTCCGTGTAAGCAATGGCAATTTATATTTGTTTACTGATGTAACAGATAAATCCACTCACAGTCTAATCTTTGCCGGTAACCTTTGTAACAGTAATGGCCTGTAAAATGAAGAAAATTGATCATATAATGAAGAAATAAGACACCTACCGACTGATTTTCCTTAGATCCGCGTGTTTCACCGGCGTAAACCATATTTCTATCAATTTTTCGACACCCTCAAAAAATTGATCATTACTCTCACTATTAGATATTATTTCCGTGCTAGCCATATCGATGTTATGTTAACTTTGTTTTAATATTATATATTACTTAATGTATTCAATGCACTGCAAAGTCTTGACAACCACTACAGTTCGACGTCGGAAGTTGACTGAATCAGCTGAATGAAACAAAATTATTGGCGAAATGCAGGTGATGAAAAGATGTATTGTCGTTCTCTTTCTTACAGAGCGAGCGAGTCGGCGACGGCGGCGCGCGTTTCGAACAGACTGAGGTTTAATTATAATGCGTTCAGGGTTTATATAACTATTATACCTACTCGTTTATTGTGTCCTACAAACACGTTCTTATCTTTTTTTTTTGTAAATGTTTTTACGGCTCTGGATACGGTTTTTATCATTTATTGAAAGAATATTACCATCTTTAGAGCTTTAATTTTTATTTTATTATGTATATAAAAATTGTTTATTAAATTTTATCAAAAATTATAAAATATTTCTCACATGGAATTCTTTTTGATTACATAATGATAATTACTGAACCATATTTTTATTGTGTGTAAATGTCAATAAACTATATATTAGGTATGATAAAATGATGTGTATATTGAGGAAAATGTAATTTTTACTTATATATAAACTATTAAGTATCAATACCTAATTCATTTTGAATAAAAAAGTTTTTCTTATAACTTTGTTTTGAGCCGTATTCATCTTGAAAATTCAAGTAGGTACATACTATTAATGTTGAAAGCTCAATTTGTTTATTTTACAAAATTTATACTGTTTATTATAAAGAAATACTTATATTTAATACAACAATATTTATATGTATAAAAAATTAAAAACTGTTATAAGAAAAATATATATGTATGTCATAATTTTTCAAAAGATGCTATAAGTTGGTGCAATCGGCCGTCTTCCATTTTTCTAATTGCTTTGAATTTTGGTTTAATATCTGGTACATCTGGAAACTCATCATCTTCTTTCTCATTTGAACAGAAATCATCAATGGATGGTTCGAGGTCCTTCTTCAAAGATGTTGTCGATTTAGTCTTCATATCTTTCTTGCATTTCAAATTTGCAACATCTGTGTTTATTTCAACTAGATTCTTGTATATTCTGTCGTTGAAATGAAAATTGAGTTTTTTTGTAACCTGAAATAATACTTGAATTTATACACAATTATGAGTTAGATTTTAAAAATATATCAAAACTTTTTGGTATAAACCTTAGCATTTATTGCAGTTTTATTGATATTAGTATCATTAGTAGTTAGTGGTGGAATGGCTGAATGAGCCCCAACCAAATAACTAGCTAACACTTCGCTTGTACATAAAGTAGGCTGATCCAGTTTGTTTTCCTTTTGTGATCCATTTGCTTTTAGTACGTTCGAAGAATCACTATCCACGTCGAGAACAGCTTTGGACTCTTTAGAAATACGTTTCTCGTAGTTACGTAGTAGAGATTTCTTTACTTTGGGATCATTAGCCGCTTTTTTCATTTTTAAAACTAAATAAATGGACTAAAACAAGTTCATTTTGTTGTGACAAAATTCTATGAGATAAATTCAAAAGTCATTTGACCGTTGACATATTAATTTTAGTTATACATTTAGGCAATGACATAAACTTGTTTTTGTATAGTATTTTTATAAACTCTGGTAGAATTATTAAGAAAATTATATTTAAATAAAAATCATTACGAACAATAACAATAGTATATATACTGTTTAAACTTAAAAAAAAGTTTAAGCAATAACTTTAAATTGTGTATTTAAAAACCACATTTTTGATTAATTTAATGTTACTTTTGCAAAGCAACATTATTAACAATTGTTTATCTATTACTTATAAAAAATCTTGATTGCTTTGTAAATGTGACAAACTATTCACTGACCACTGTCATTTTGACACTATCACATCTGAATAGAGATTTGTTGAAGGATTTCAATTTCTGAATTTCCTAGGCTGTGCTGTAGCTATAAGTCTTATACGTTTTCTTAATTTGTACAAGTTTCATATATTTTATATTTATTAACTAATTTATTTTGTTACATATTTTAAAACATGAACAAAAGCGTAGAATTTAAAGTATGGGAAATACCAACCATAAGGTTTTTGTATATTTGTGAAATAAATTGCCACATATTTATAACTTGTTTGAATTTCAGAATCCCGATAATTCACCTGTTGAAAACGTAACTTTATGTGTTTCCAACGATGGTGTAGTGCAACAGATTAAAGCACTCGTAAGTTGTATTTCACATATATGAGGAAATTTCAAATTAGACTACGGCCGCAAACTTGTGCAATATGCGATAAGTCAACTTTATATACATATTTTTTAGAAATTAACTGATTTTTAAAATTAAACTTAAAATCTAAATAAATTACTGTTTAGTATTAATGAAATTGTTGTACAGCAATCTAATAAGTTGATATAATTTTAATTTAGGACCCATATTGGTTAGAGAAGAGGGACCTCACACTGTATGAAAGACCTCCATCAGGTGAGGAGCTGGTCGTAGGAGCATTAGATGCTTGGAAATCAAAGATGCAAGTGTACTTAGAAAATTTAAAATGGCTATTAGGACTAGAACATCACAGGTGAATGAATATGATATGTTTTTTAAGTAATTTGTAAAGAAATATGTTAATAATAATGTATAAAAAAATATTTTAAACATATTTAGAAACAAATACAGTAACTAATGAAATAATTATGCCATATAATATATATAATTTGTCATAATAGATTTTGGAGCACAATTCTATATCATCCTCAATGTATGGATTGTTTAATATCATTCATCCAAGAAGCGAGTCCCCCTTACTTACCAGTTCATGAGTGTGGAGATGTAAGAATAATATATGAAGACATCCGCAGACTTGTGTTGATTGTGTTCAGTCGACTTGTCACTAATAAAGAAAGTAAGGTGAGGTTTGTTAATATATGTTATATAATTTGTGGCGACTTTGTTTCATTATGTATAATATTGGTTCAGATAATTATATACAAGAAATTACTTATTATTTGTCTTGACTGCCCGTGATAATGGTTAGTGTAAAGTAAGCGAAATGTTGCAAGTATGTAATTAAAATAAATGAAAAGGGATAGCACACATGAACATATTAGTTTATTTAAAAGAAAATACTCTTTAATGCCAGTTTTACTTTGAAAATGTAACATTTTTAAAGAACAATTATAATTTGATTTTCATTTTGTAATTTAACTCTTAAGACGTCGGGTGGATTTTTGATTATAAGAGACTTTTTGGATTTAAATGTTTTATTATTTTCCTTTGAAATTTTTGATTTTCTAAGCCAGCTTTAAATTTTACATAGTAAATTGTGTTACACAATAAATAAAAAGAGATAATTTCAGTGCATTTTTTCTTCTTAAATTTTACTAATTATGTTAAGTATTACATTTTAATTTAAGCTGATTTTTTTTTCATACAATAATTATCTATATTTCAGAATCAATGGATGACAAAGGAATATTTAGGTGACATTATATATAACAATTTTATATTCACGATACCAGTTTTATGGGATCTCTGCCTCACTTATGGTGTTGATAATGCAAGACATATATCAAAAATGGTAGAAACTGTTTTCACATTACAACCCACATATAACACAGATACATTGTTAGCATTGACATTTGTTCAGGAGGTATGTTATTTCTATAATAATTAAAAACTATGTTATTTATATGGCTTTACATGCCTTTTTGTATATAAACTATCTGTTAAAATATCTATATGACTTGTAATACATGACTTGGTGTTTTGTTAAGTCTTTTTTTTTGAATAGAGTCAGGAAACTAAACATAACTATTTATACATGTATAAATGTTCTGGATTGATTGTGTGAATATTTATTTGTTTAACAATTTTTTAAACATGCCAGAAACATTAAGGACAAAAATATGACACAGGAAAAATAAGTTTAATAGAGGCTCCTTTTGTAAGAGGCTTAAAGATTTATATATTCAAAACAGATTATGCCTTATTCCAGATATATGAAATTAATAAATAGACATATTATGTATAATCATATAAAATAGTGATTCAAACCTTTTAATAATATAAGACAGATTGTTTCAGTCATTCAAGTATATAATAATGCAAGTTAACAAGGACTATGAGAGCGAGGAACCACCAAATTTGCCAGAGACGTTTAAGGGTTTTGGAGAAATTCGTCGACCGTCTGGTAACAAGAGTCATGACAAACTGACATTTAACGTGCTGAGGGATCTGGTGGTCCATATGTTAGATACGGCTATGACCTTGAGGATATTTGTGGAAGTATACCCCAAGGCAGCGGAATTGATGAAGAAGACTAATTTTGTTTTAAGGTGAGTGTTATACATATATTATACTTTTTGCAAACGGTTTTTTTCATGTGGGTTACGGAATTGGATTCAAAGATAATAGGTTGGAGAAAAAATCCCTACTAATATTATGAATGCGAAAGAAACTCTGTCTGTCTGCCTGTTACGCTTTCATGTCTAAACCACTGAACTGATTATAATGAAATTTGATATAGAGATAGAGTTGACCTTGACAAAAGAACATAGGATAGTTTTTATCCCAGACTTTTGAAAAGTTCTCTTGGAAACGCGATAATATAACCGAACTCCACGCGGGCGAAGTTGCGGGCGGGAAGCTTGTATATATACAGGGTGACTGGTGAATTACTATCGATAATTGAGGACGTGATATTTGACGATCATATATGACAAAATAAAAATTAATATAACATAAATATTAATAAACTTCTAAGTAAAGTGAACCAAAAGTTATGTAATTAATTACGCATCGTGTGAACACCCTACAGATTAGGTATACACACACACTCACACATACGCGTTTGGCGGCGTGGTGTTGTATCAGCACGCCGCCGCACGCGTCCACACTTGGAACACTTAGAACGTGTCAACACTTTATTTATTTATACGGAAATTTTGTCAAAAATTAAGTGCCTATTTTTTTTTACATCATTCGAATGAGAATCATGTACCGAGTATTCTCCTTAAATATTGATAGTAATTCACCAGTCACCCTGTATAATATGTTACAAACAGATTCAGAGGGTACATAGAATTTTGCAATAATTGTCTTAAATATAGTATAAGAAAGTTTCTTTACTATCCATCCATCCATTCTTCATTCTCATAATAGTCATTCATAAACAGAATAAATTTTTAGGAACCTCTGTTTTGATCGCCATTTATAATCTAATTTATTATATTTTTATTTACCATAAAAATTTTAATACTGTTCATTCAACAAAATTTTTTGAAAATTGTTAACGTATTTATGAATTGTTTTCAATGTACAAAATTTCCAGTGTAGTCCAATTATATGAATACGGTATACCGCAGTTGTATGAAGTGTTAATGGAAGTGGGCGATGAGACGAGCGTCACTTACACCGAAGTAGAATGTTACATCGATATGACGAGGTCCGAGATCATAGATACGTTTAGAGAGATGCTGGCGGTGTACAAGAACGCCATATTTAGCGGAGAGTGAGTATCAATTTCAAGAACATGTGAACATGAGTGTTGGTTTAAATGAAATTAATATTTTTCGGATAAACTTCCCGTATTTTATAATTTTAAAAACTACATACTCACGACGTTACGGTTACTTTGTAATATCTCGTCTGCCCATGATCACGGTTGCTGCAAAGTAACCGAAACGTCGGGATTATCTAGTTTTTAAAATAATGAAATTTCTAAACATATTTGTTTCATATAAATGAATACTCGCGAAAGTGTTACAATTAGATCTCATTACGAGTGCCAGTTTTAGTCAATAAATGTCATTGTATATAATTTATGATATTAAGCAACGCCGTCTATCGTAAGAACATCACTGTTAAGACATTCTGAATGTATGTTTTGTATGTTTCAGCGGCAATATCTCCAGCAACGTTGAGTCGTATTTGTCTTTGATTATGGAAGCTCTGTCAGAACGGCTTCTGATCAAAGACTACCACTCGTGTTACCCGCTGCATGAAGATATTGATATGTTAAGGCAGGCTTACCCTAATATGTATCCTTTTGTTAAGTGTAAATGTACATTGAGTAATGAAAAGCTATAGCAATCTAATAAAATCTGTAAAAATTTCGAAATACTATAGATGTGGGATATAAGTGATAGAAATATAGTTTAAACTATCTTTGGATATCCCATCTAAATACCTTAATATGCCATCTAAATACCTAAATTGTAATAACTACGCCATAGAAGTTATACTATATATTGACTTTAGTGATACCATAGTTACTGTTTATTGGATTTATATAAAAAAAAATACTAAAAAAATTATCATCACTGATAATTTTTCTCAATAAGCCACAGAGACTCAGTGAAAACCGACTTTATACTGCAAGCTATCTTCTCGAACGTCGATGATCAAGCCATAGCTCAAACAAATCAAGCAGAAACAAATGTCCACACAGAATTAGCGAACGGTTACACAGAGAATGTAGATGCCAAAGAAGATATACCAGATAACGTCAAAGAAGAATCATTGATAAGTGAAGTGAAGGATATTTTACCACATTTAGGGGACGGATTTATATTGAAATGTTTGCAACACTACGGGTTTAATGCCGAGAGAGTTATTAATACTGTGCTGGAAGATAGCTTAGACGAATCTTTGAGAGGTTTGTCTATACAATGTTTTCATTGTAATATAATTTTGTCTCTCAGTTATGTTAACTATTTTTTGATTGTTTACTATTCCTTAATTTACTATTCCTTTAGTCAATTTTTGAAGTCTTTATTAGATTTGATTTTAATTTCAGTTGTAGTCTCTGAATGGACTTTAATTTGAGGCTACGTATTGTATCAATGAAACCAAGTCAACATTTCTTGGGATTTAATTAAATTAAGTAATCTAACTTGATAAAAAAAAGTTTTTTCCATCATCAACAGAAATACTTTATAATTTTAAACTTATATCAAAAATATGAGGTCTTATTTCCAAAAAACTATTTCCAGGTCTAGACCGAAGTCTGCCAATCATTCCAGAGGACGTACTAGACCAGAAGTTCTTAGAGACCGGCGTCCAGAGACTGAACGTGTTCGACGGAGACGAGTTCGACATTATGACCAGAGATGACGTTGACTTGTCGAAGATTCACATCGGGAAGAGGAAGGACAAGTACAAGGATCTGAAGGACATGTTGGACGATAAGACGGCCGTCAAGAACAGGATGGACATATATAGCAAATATAAGTAGGTTATCATATTGGGGAATGTCATTTATGCACGAATTGTGTACACAACCACAAACACTCATACACACACGCAAAACGCGCACACACAGGCAAACACGTATGATTGTTTTGTACCTGCCCACTTTATATAGGGTCGGCACAACATGTTTTTTTTTTTTTAAAATGCTTTATTGCACAACACATGGAAAAAAGGGTTAAATACAAATCATAAAGTAAACTGTACATACACGGTGCGCAAAGGCGGTCTTATCGCTTAGAGCGATCTCTCACAGACAACCTTTGGTGATAGGAGCTTAGAACGAAAACAGGTAAGTGAAGAAAAAGATACAGAAAAATGAGGAAATATACAATATAATAATATTTATACTAAGGTATAGTAATAAACTACACATAACTACATCCCAATAATACATACATAGAAATATAATACATATCAAAACATATATACATAAATATAAACTACATATTATTACATACTTGCATACATTATAAAGATATGGATAGGTAATAGTTTCTCAAACGATGCTTAAATATTGCCAAGGATCTAGACTGCCGTATATCAGTGGGTAGTGCATTCCAGAGTTTGACGGTTTTCACAGTGAAAGAGTTACCATAAGTTTGTGTCCGGCTGCAGGGTGTGACAAGTTTGTTGTCCTCACTAGAACGCAGATTGTGCGTGTTATCAAACCCAAGAAATTTGAAGCGTTCTTTAAGATAAGGTGGTGTATGCTCAACATATAGAATAGCATAGAGAAGAGATAAGGCGTGCAAGTTTCTTCGAAGCCTGATTGGCAGCCACTTCAACTGAGACCGATACTGCGATACGTGATCATACTTACGCAGGCCAAATATGAATCTAATGGCCAAATTTTGCAGCCGTTCTAATTTATTCAGAAGGTCTTCAGTTAAATCAATGTAGCAGGCGTCGGCATAATCTAGTATTGGAAAAAGAAATGCATTGGCTAAGCTGATCTTAGCCTTGATGGGTAGTAAATTTTTTCCATCGCCTTAAAAAACCAATGATGGCATACATCTTACGACTCATTTCTGCAACCTGAGGTACCCAGGATAAGGAAGCATCCAGAAGTAGTCCAAGATTTTTGACAGTCTCTTGCAGCGGTAGTGCGTGGCCATCAAGCATGATTGGAGATAGGATTTTGTCTTTGACCCTCGACAGAAGCTTAGGACTGCCAAAAACAGCCACTTGTGACTTCCTTGGATTCAGTTGGAGTCCGTAAGATCTACACCATTCACTGATCTTTGCCAAATCATTATTCAAACTTGCAACAGCCTCATCGATACCGTCCAAGGGAGCGGTAACATATATTTGGAGATCATCAGCATATAGATGATAGGAGGAAGAGATAAGTGTAGAGAGAGTATTAATGAAAATAGAAAAGAGAAGAGGAGAGAGTACACCACCTTGCGGAACACCAGAAGGGATATCTAAGAAAGGCAAATGTGTTCTTCTCTTCCACAGAATATGTTGTAAATAGTTTTGGCTAATTGTTTTTTACGACCAGCCGCCTGCCTGACATCAAACCTCTTTGGGAATGCATTAATCAGTGATGTCTAAATACTCTTAGAAAGTCCATATGACTCGGAAAAATCACATTGGTACTTGCCCGGGCCAGGATCGAACCCACTAGGTTACCACTGACTCATGCAAACACGTATGATATGTAATTTATATATATCTATGCGATTTAAAATAATTTCTTAAATGTACCATTTTGGAACAAAATCTACGGAAGAGTGTTTTTATATATATACATATCTATGTATATTGTTTAATATTTTCTTAGGTAAAAATAATTGTTTTTAAATGTTTAGTCTAACTTACGTAATTTGATATGTAAGTTAATTTAATATAATGTGTTATGGTTTAGTCTGGTCTGTGACGAGTCTGCGATGTACTCCGACGAGTACGACGACACGTACGACGAGGAGACTCCTGTCACTACGGCTACCGAAGTTGATGACCGGCGAGCTTTTGTTACACCTAGAGTTTTGAGGGCGAAAGAGGAGGTAATATATATGATATATATGTATATACATTGCTAAAGTATTGAGAAATTAAATAGTTCCTTTTTTTTCATATTGGCATTGCTAATTCTATATTTGAGAAATACTTTTTAGTTTATGTATATAATTTCTATGAAAGGAGTGTAGTTGATTTATTGAAATTATTATATATATATGAAATAGTAAAGCAAATTTTGTAATGCCATAGTTCAAAACATGACAATATTAATTATTATCTGTTCAAAAAAAAAATAACTATGTATCTTGGTTCATTTCAATAACTTTACATGATACTTCTCAGGTGTCTTCCGAATCAGAGGAGGAAATTGAACCGAACAATGTTACTAATGCTACTACTGCCACCAGTAGTACTACTCGTAGTAGAATGGACTTCTGTGTGAATCCTGAGGAGATACGAGCTAGAAGAGAGGCAGCGAGGGCGGCGAGGGGGGGAAGAGGTTACAGGTAAAAAGATTCATTTTACATAAAAATAAAAATTCATATAATTACTAGCTAAATAACTAAATATATAGCAGTATGAAAAAATCAACACATACAAAACGATTACTTAGTTAAGATAGATATTGCTTAAAAAATAAGTTCATGAACAAATTGTTTCATGAATAATAATAACAATATCATAATATATAGATATGTAGAAGTAAAAATTAACATAATTACTAGCCAAATATGAAGAAATCAACACATGAAAACTGATTCCTTATTTAGATCAATATTGCTTAATAAATACCTATAAAAATTTATTTCCATAAATATTACTAATAATTTCAATGAATTATTCCATAAATGTAAATATGATTTTTATCTATGAAGTCATAGGAATGCTGACGTCACTGGCAGGCCCAAAGGTCAAGGTCAAGATAAGGAAGTACTGCTTAATAGAGACAGGAAGGAAAAGAATAAGTCGTCCAAAGGTAACCACGGGAGGAGACACGGAGCGCAGTGGAAGAGATCTCAGGGAATGATGCCATCATAGATTAATCAATCTACTATGTACTACTTGGCTACTACAATATATTCTACTACTACTACTGTTTGGAATGTCTAGTTGAAAGTTTGAAGTCATCCATTACTATGACTATAAGTAAAAGATTGAGCATTTTCTGTGACATATATTATTTGGTTATAATGTCTTGTTTTAATTATATAATATTTTGGTATTTTTTAATTTGATGTCTATTTAAAGTATCTTGTTGGTGAATATTAATTCACAATATCATTATATGTTACTGCAAGCTTTTGTTTGATAGAAAAAATATCTAACAATTATTTCAGAGCAGAATAATGCGACATTGTTTCTGATGACTTTATTAACTAGACATTTCAAATATAAAGTTGTAAAATGAAAATCACTTTGTATATTTATGAAATATTAAATTTTAAAGCATTGCTTCTGGTTGTACCTGTTTTTTAAGCACTCTATTAGTTATTATATATTTATATGGCATTAAATATTTAATTATTATTTTCTTTGATTTATGTCCCATTTTTTATATAGCAAAAGAATTTCGGTAATATAATAATTTTATACAAATTCAATCATATCTCTAAAGGTAAAGTATTTGTTGTTATTTATGAAGTCTCAGGAATCAATTTTGAGGTTTTATGTGGCTATATTAATTACTTTTATATTTCCAAGAGTTTTCTTGTTAAAGAAATGAAGTTTTTTTTATTGTATTGCCATTTTACAACCATAACTGGTATTTAAGTTATTTTTGATTTTAAAATATAAACAACTGTTAGAAAACTGGTACAAAATAATATTTTTTTTAGTTTATTGAGATGTTTTGTTTAGAGTAGGCGATATGGAGTATTCTCTGGTACCAACATAATAATAGTAATAGTTTGATTACTCTTGAATTAATGTTAACTGTTTCGGTGGTTATCTTATAAAATAGATGGACAAAATTCATCCTGTAAATACAATCACTCAATCAATCAATAGAAGCACTTATGTGATGTTGTTTTCAAAACCATAATGGAAATGATATTGATACGATTAAGAAGGGATTTTTTTTATGGGAAAGATCTTGGTACATCAATAGTACACAAGATATTTAACATATCTTAAACATTTTAATTCCAATCTATATATAATTGTAATAAACATGATTAATTAATGGAATAATTCAGACGACAGAGGGCTACTAAGAAAATCGAACAGTATTTATTTAAATTTATTCCTGAAATACACGAGTCGGTGAATGATTTATTTTTGATATCTTTTCCCCGCACATGCATTAGATGGTTGAAAAGGTAGAACTTAGAAGTTAAAACAAATAAACACACACATTCATTTACACAGCATTGACGTCATATACTGATCACATCCCTCTGCGTCGGGTGTCAAAATGTAAATAAACTTCTTTCTATGGCATTTTTCTGGTATGATTTGAGCTTCGTTTTGTTAGGTCCGGTGTGTAAATGTTTTGCTCCAGGATTACGTCTGTGATCTTAAAAACACGAAGTCCTTTAACAATTTAAAAAGTTCTGTGTGAAAAGAATTCCAAAAATAGTTATCAAATAAAAAAAAACTAAATTTAACTGGAATGAAAAAGTAAAAACAAATTAATAAATATATTTTTTCAAGATCTATATATACGAACAAATAAAGAACCCAACGTAAAGCAAAAGAATCAAAGTCTATACAAATCCAATGAACAATACCAAGTGATATTGATAAGTAGTAATTAAAGTAAAAAAACTTTAATAAATTCATAAATTTTCATAGGCACAACAAGCAACAAATGTGCTCATTAACCCCGTAAAATTTCTATGAACAGAACTTATAAGAACACGTATCATTATACAATTCCGTCAAAGAAGTAAATAGAGGAGTAGCACTATTAAGATAAAATCTCAATGAAGGAATTATCCCGAAAAGATAATAAAATCCTAGAAGCTTTTTTGTTTCTAATAATGGTCTACCTCCTATCACTTTGATAATGGAAAAAAAATTACGTTTAAAAGTTAAGTTTATTTGATTTTAATTAAAGATGCTTTCACTGGCGGATATAATATGTAATAAGGGGTAACTTAATGTATTTTTATTTTATTTGATCGCGCTTACAAAATGAACGCTTGAACGCTGAAACTAAAATCATATTTTTAGAATTGAAAGAGATGGTTATTAAAATTATGTAGATTATGTAGTGTAGTGAGAATAATGCAAGTACTGCCTTATTGGGCAGTTTTCAGTTTTGCCGCTCTGGGCTGTCGACAGATTTGCTCCTCCTCTAGGGCGGTACTGGATAAGAGTGAAAGTGCAGTCTAGTCTTAATCTACAGGTGGTTGGTGCACAGATGTGTGTGTTAAACTTTCACTTTTACTTTAAATGAATGAGTCTTCACGAGTTATGATATCCTGGTAACTATGATTCTGAATTGTTACGCAATCGTATGATTTTCAGATACGGATTTCGCCAATAGTGTTTGTTAGACATGATTTTTTTAGCTGTGGCTAGGGAATACCCGGTTGGTAAAACAGATATTCTCTAAATAAGAAAATAATCTTAGGATATAATAACTCATCTAGAGCAGTTAGTATTTGAGATATTTTTAACCTTTTCTCTTTGTCTTCCACAATCAAGGTCGGCAACGCATCTACAACATCTCTTATGTTGCAAACGTTCTTGGGCGACGGTGATTACCTTCCATCAAGTAAGTCGTCCGCGCATTTTGCACATTTCAAGTGAAATGGGACCACAAATAGAGTAAAACAAGAAACAAGCCCAGCTCGTCAACACTTTTATAGAAGAGGGTAACAAATTCTGTACAGTTGAAAAGTTTTTGCATAGTGATGCAGATTTTATAGAAAATTGCTGAATATAATCAGCTCTTGTGGCTTGCCTTTATGGACTCCCAAAAGGCTTTAAATACGTTGGTCTATTCTGAACTTTTTGCACGGATGTTATGTTGAATGAAAAAGTGCTGCCTTGTGCTGTTGATGTGCGTTTAAATAAATTAAATATGGCAATACATACATTCTGTGTACCTCATCCTAAGTCTCTGCTTACGATCCTCTCCATATCTCGGTAGGACTTTGATATCTGGAACTCCGGAAGGTAGAGGAAAAAGATAAGAGGAGATGAGGTGAAGTGAGGTTCGAGCCGAGTGCATGAGAACTATATCCATCAGTGGCTTGGCACACACTCACACACGTTCACACTTGGCACACACACACACACACACGTTCACGCACACGCACATGCACACACGCACAAAAAACCCTCACTCAACAAGTCTTGTAGACAGTAGTTTCTAGACTACTGTCCATCCAGGACTATTTAACAGACTACGCTTAGCTTCATAACTAAAATTGACAATGACTGACTTTTGTCTGAAAACAATACGATAAAAAATGGTCCTTTTAAATATTTTATGTATCAACGTGCAGTTTGGTCACGTTTATTTCACGATAGGGAAATCAGGACCTCATAAGGTGGAAGGAGTGGCACATTTTGCTACGAGATTTCTATGAAAAGTAAAAGTATTATTGATTCAACTACAGTTATGTAGTATGTCCATAGTATAGCTTCGACGTTTTTTATAACATTGCACACAATTAAAGCATGGTGACAAATTGGACCAAGTATTGCTGCTAGTCTTATATGACGAGGGCTCTCAAAGTTAACATTATTGTGACTTAGAAAATCTCCGAAAATTATTTTTTGACATTTTGTTTTAAAAATTAAAACATGAAAAAATATTTAACTTCTTACGGAATACGGAATTATAACTGCATAATATTACAACTGTCCATAAAACTAAATCGTATGTTTAAACAACATACATTCCTCGTAATTTCAGTTTTTATGAATATAATAAAATACTAATTGTTTTAAGAAAACACACTTCAATTTTATTTCATTAGATTTTGAAAATACTTAGCGATCACATGAACAAAAAGAACCTTTAATACTGTGCTACGTTCTACTAGGCGATGCTACAAAAATTAAGAGAACATATTAATACAATAAGTATAAACATAGTTGTAATAATGGGAAAAGTTATAAAATAAACCGAGATATACATCCTAGTTTGATTAAATTTTGAATTCCTTTTCCTCATGATAATGCCCACAAAAATATTTTTTCGTAAGCTTTCTTTTAAAATTTCAATGCCTATGAGCAGATGGATTTTAAGACGATTTGATTAAATTTTCATTAAATTATTTGATTTAGAATTACTTAATAGTTTTTACTTACCATCTGATGGCCCGTTTGGTCGTTTCATGTATATTCTAAACAGACCTTTTAAATTTTATTTATTTTAAATAATTAACAACTCCCTGTCAACAATTAAAGAGCATCACTGTGCAAGTGCAACGTTTCTTAAACGAACAATCTCAGTCTCGTTTATCTCAATAAATGGTAAACCAGGAATTCATAAGAGTCGAGTCGTGTGCATCAGACTTTGAAACACACTATGGAACAACTCAGTTCTATGTAAGATGTTTTGAGTTAGGGCAGAGTGTTACGGAACAGTCACGTTGTTCTTAAAACTGGCTTACCAGAAGAAGAAAACTTGAGTGGCCATGTGTTTGGAAACTTTATTTAAATTTCTTTGGTTAGATAAATTGCTGGCCAAGTCAGTTATTATGCAATGGAACGTTAAGTCATATCATACGCATATTGTAAATGACCGATAATAATTGTACTTATTTCATTTTTCCAACTAAGAATAATAGGAGCGAAAGAAATAATAAATAATGCAAATCTGGATCTCGCCAAAGAAACTTATTTTTTAGTATAAACAAAATACGTTTATACAATTAAAATACAGTTTTTTATGTTCGCTTTCTTCAGAACTATTACGAATTTAAACAAATATGGTTAAGAAAGAAAATTTGTGTTGATACATTATAATAAATAGATGATAAATTACCTACACTTTTCAGAACTAAATATCAAAAATATGTTATGTAACTTATAGATAGGAAATCAGCAAGCTGACACACACAATAAAATAACCAACA